TTTAAAAGGGGCAAAGCAGAAAAAGAAGAATCACTGCTAATTGACTTGAAATAATATCATTTTTATCCTTATATAGGTATATATATAAAGATAACAAAAGCTTATGTATAACTTTGTATCTTTCAGGCATCACCAAGCGATCTACCCCTACAACTCCCGGTGCTAAGCTTCAACTGTGTTCTTTCTAAGAAGAAGTGAAGAGAAAGAACGGGGGATCTTCAATGAGTTTCAATTGTAAGTAGTTGATTTACATTTTCAGCTGTAGTTAAGGCTTTCCCACATTCTGGTTCACTTGGTATCACAGGACCTCCCAAGTATATTGGACACAGAATAAGAATAATTCTTATTCTTTGTCTTAGGTATGCCATACCAATGTTTAAACGTAAAGCAATTATTCTGTTGAATAATGCATAGAGAGTAGGCTTACTTCAAAAAGGTTGATACCCACGAAACATTTGTTTGTATTGCAAACGTAGCACTGTTATTTTCACCGCAATATCAAGGTGCAACTATTTGTTGCAGCTAAACGTTGTAAACGCGACCGTTTATTTGTAAACAAGGCCCAACGAGAGGCCACCTCATCGGGCAGTTTGAATGCTTGCGTGGGCGCTTTGTTGCTCAGGACCCTAGCGAAGCACCGATTGTCTTCAGAAAAGAACCACGACAAGAGATTCTAGTCCAAATTATGACAACAGCATTCGTCTAACAAAACATGATTTATTACGAATAGGCAACACCTGGATATCGCCCCGTGCCTCTTGAAAATTCTCAAAACATAAACCTGATTCGGTAGTGTTATCGTATACGGATGGGCAAGATATGATTTCTGATAAGCAGCAGGTTCGATCCAAAGGAAAGACTCGTCTAGTTCCCTGCAACTATTCTCAGTCAAGGATTAAATAGAAACAGAGAAATTCGACCATAAAATGTTTAATGCAATTGGGTTTTTCAAAAGCAACGGTTTATGAGACCTCACAAGTCGATTTTCACATGGTAGCATTAAGCAACAGCCGTTAAAGAAAGAAGAAATACGATGGTAGGATTTGAATTATCATGTTTTTATGAACGAGCTGAATAATGACTTTTTTGATTCGCTAATGTATCCATGGTTTTGATTGCATCACACTTCTATTAAAAAGTGTTTCACGAGACTTAATCCCAAGGCTAAGATTGTTGTCCAGTCGATGTTAAACTGTATCTCAACGAATCAAGTTGCTCTACCAATACTTGCAGCGTTTTTACTACTTTTTGAAATTATTTACACGATAAGTGTGATCAAATTTCATTTTATCTAACACTCCATGAATACACCACTTGTGCTGCGTTCGTTAATTATACACACTTTTCATAAGAACAATATAATATTTGTCTAGTGTCGATGCTCGAATTTTCGTTGAGGATTGATATTATTTTTTTGGGATAATTTGAGACACTGTGTTTAACGTTTACCCCCCCCCTCCCCCCCTCTGCTCTTTCTCCTTAAAATCCTCCGTGACGCTCCGGAACCCAGGGTACTCTTATATCAACCGTTGATTTTTTCTACAGCTACATACTGTAAAACTAGCACTTGTAACCATACCATTCTATCCCAAATTGAAAAGGGTGTGCGAAAAATTGCTGTATACGCTGGTGGCTCAAGTTCAGTACTACAGATAGTAGATAAAGGATAAGAAAGACAACGATATATGGTTTAGACTCCAATTCTAATTCCAATAGAGAACTGTATAATTCCGTAAATTCTAACTTAGGTTCCAATTCGATCCGTTCTAATTCTGTCTTCTCTAATCAACTTCAACTCAAAATCTCCTTTCTAACGCATACTTCACGTGTACAAAAATTACAACAACAGCAACAACTACTGCAGTACGTCATACCATACAATTTCTTACAAAGAGATGCTTTTTTCTGGAAATATATTAAGAGACATCAAAGGCTTTGCTGCCCTACCATTCTATAAATAGAACCGGATATGTAATACACTTGCGCAAATCCACATTTCTCTGTAATAAATCCTTAATACTACACCGTTTATGATCCTTTTATTACGATAAGCAAAGGAAATCCTTTTCCTAAAGTGAAAAGACAAGTTTTTAATTAGGTAAAAACATTATAATTCAAATTGCTTTAAAAAAGGTCGCAAAAAGAAAGATTCAAGGACATATTTAGCTTGAGTTGGTTTTATCAAAAAGCTCATATTTTCAGGTAACATAAAGAAAACTTGGATTTCTCTACTGTCAGCTCTTTAAATGAGTTGCATATTTTATAGTGGTAAGCCTGTCTACAAATGCTCCATGAAAAAATGCCATTTGATTTGCCGCTGAGCATATTTGCAAATAGATATCAAGTCATTTAATCCAAAGCAATTAAAAGGTAAATATTGTTGAGAATGCTAGACTTTGTTCCTGCCAGTGGAATCTAAAGATCCAAGATCTAATCGCTATTTGGACTTACAACGTCTCTACTTCATTGACTAATAACGTTCCATCATTCTACCTTGAGGGCAGCAGTAAGGAAAAGGAGGGTTTTGCCCTTTACTGATCCACAAGACATTATATTTGCAAGAGTTTAAAAAATCATGTGACATGTTAATTAGCGACATGACGTACTTGGTAATCAGCGTGGGAACGAGTCTTTTTAATACATTCAATTGTCATCGTCTCATCTAGCCCTTTGCCGTTATTGCTATGGGTGCACCCATTGAGGGTCTCCCAGAGGGGGGTATTTGCTCTCGTGTTCCCTTTGAGAAAAACAACCAATGCGTCCCCATGTTTCCGTTTAAAAATAGAGAAAATGCTCCCTTCTTCCCTTAAACTGGTGAAAATTTTCCCATATTCCTAGAGGGAAATTTAAGTTATTCCCGTGTTCCTGTACCATTTGTTGCTTTGTTTCCTTGTTCCCGAAAACCCCTGGGTGACCCTCCCCATTCTTGAACATCATGTCTCCATCAATCCCGGTCCTTCGTTTTTCTCCATCAATCCCGGTGCTTCAGTTTTTTACTCAAATCCTTCAGATTCCTTCCCCATCGTCGACTTCCCTCGACTTCCCTCGACTTCCCTCGATAGTGCAAAGAAATATTGGTAATTTATGGGGTAATTTAGCTCTTCAGAACCAGTTGAGAAAGTTCTGGTCGATCTTATAAATGTTCAGTGCGAAAGCCTTGAATTTGAGAAAAGGCCATCGTTTGCACCTCCTCTTTCGTACTCATGATATCAGGGCTTCGCCTCCTCTTTAGTTAAGTGTTAGGAAACGTCATTCAGGTCCAGTTCCCCTTAGATGAGCAAAACCCGCGCAGCCATAGTTTAGTTTTTTGGGACCACCTACGTTTTCTATTATGTGTATTATCACTTTGCTCTTAAGAACTATAATGATATTATAATATCGCCTTTTTAAACATCCTACTGATAACTCTATCGTTCTTAAATAACATGCAGATCCTAATGATAACTTTGTAACTCCAATCCTATTGAAAATTCCAAGACGCTCCATGGTCCAAGGAAGATCTTTTATCGCGTTTTTTATGGTCATTTTTATTGACCGTACATACATTTGGTATTTGATGCAATCAAACCAAAAATGTACCACCGAACATATTGGTGTTGTAAAGCGTTCTTTGTTTGGAACAAAAAAATGTTTTCCTGATATGATAGGTCGCCATTTTCAGCAATTTAGAAAACAGAATGGCCTGGAAGTTTAGGTATTTTCAACTAAATTTTCAAGTTCTTCCATTTTTCAAATAAGTACGTCGATAGACAAAATATTCTAAGTGACAAATTCTCCCTTAAACGCACCTAAAAGCTACCATTCTAAGCTGAGGGTGTGGGATGCCCTACTTCACAGTGTTAAGGATCTCATTCAAAAAGCATTCTCTGCTGGGTTATCTAAATGAACTTTTTCAGGAACCAATAAAATGTATGGTTATCTATTTGCCAAGTATCCGAACTGACGCCCAAGCCTTCTCCCTACAGCTGCCCAAAGCTATGATGCTCAAACCACGAACTACATCTACTTCTACCAGGTTTTTGGTCACATTGCCCATATCTGCTTCTGATGTATCAGCAAAACAAGGGTGGCCTAGTTGAATTTTTGAGGGAACATTTTATTATCAACTCACAATGCCTGTTTTGTTGCTTCAGCGAAACTACACAGTAAATGTTTTGCAGATATTTTTAGCTCCTGGGGCTTTCAAAGTAGATGTGACTTCGAGAGCTAAATATTTATTTTCTTGTTCTTTGCTTTTAGGGATAAATTTTGTTCTTTTAAACTATTTTGTTGGAAAGTAGTTTAGTGGTTTTGATAAGCTTACTGCTATCAATAACATTCACTCATATACAGACAGAACCTCAAAACCAAATGCAAAGTCTTTGTCTCTCTGTCAAAGCGCTTTAGATCTAGATGAAGTATTAAGGCTAAAACTGATCAAGAGTCGACCCAATGGAGTATCCTGCGCTTTTGATTTCACAAGATGATAACACCGCATGTGATTATAACGAGGTTTCAAGGGCCTAAGTATGTTTTCAAGAACATTCGTAAATACAGACGTCTTTTGCCAGCTAATTCAACAAATCATTAAAAGCTGTACACACAAGTAATTCAAAATACCACTTTCCTGGGTTGGTTTTGTGTTTTGCTAAAAAGACTCTTGAGATGGCGAATAATATGTAGTTTTTACAGGGCGTGTTTCCATGTCAAAAATATTCTTTGCTCCGCGTGACTTGGAAAAAGACGTTTTGGTTATCTAAAGCCTTAGAGTAAAACATTTTAGTAAAATGATTACAAGGCACTATCTTCATGAAAATTTTCAGGATTTGTTTAGAAATCCCAGAGAGCAACTAATTCTGAATCCTTCGGTGGAACAGCTAAAGGCAGGAACACAAGGCTGAAGAAAATCTTGTCCATCATCATTCATTGTAAATATGTTGCTAAAAAAAAAGAAATAGTTTTACTTTGGTACTTAAAATTGCTATTTTGACCGAATAATACTTACTCAGACAATACGAAACTAAATTTGGACATCTAGGGCATTTTAGAGTAAAGATTACTTGGAAGAAAAAACTTTCCCTCGATATAAACGAGTATGACCATCGGGAATTTTATAACAAAGTTTCCAGCTCAAACCTCGAGGAATTTATTGTTAGGTTATGTACTATAATGTTACTTTTATTTAAAAATATCACAAGAATAATAGAATTTAGAATTCCCCTTATTTCGAAATAGGTTTTGAAATTTGACCGCTTGTCAAGTTTCATGTTTCTAACGCATTCAGGCAGGTCTCCGAATAAAAGTTACGGATTTACCAGACCAAAAATATTACCTTACTCACTGATTTCTAAGAAGGCAAGTGAGGAATGAAGAAAGGGTTCAATTTTATCTAAGAAGCTTTAAAAAATAGGTTGTGCGTTGCCTAGGTTATGTTTACGTAAATTAATACAGGTGCATCGATAAGGCATTTCATGTTGCCCTGGAAACTAATGGGTCGTCTCTTGCTTATGGACTCTGTACCGTTGTTTTGAATGACGAAGAAAGATTTGAAAGATATTTATGTAAACACGATAATCGATTCATCATAAGACATGCGAACATACAGACTACATATGAACGTGTTCCTTATAAAGGGAGATTATTCATGACTTCGATGTTATTCTAATAAGATAGCTGTCTAGAAAGAAGACGTAATGGCTTCTCTTGAAGAGCTGCAGAGTTTCTTAGGAAGAAAAGGTCTTAAGAGGGTTTTGCAGGCAAATGAATCTTGTCTATGGGGTACCAGTGTTGTGGTCATTTATACAACCTTCACCTGTATCAATACCTGTCAGGTCCCAGGAAGGAGTCTGGTGGGATATCTCACATCGTATTGCATAGTCCATAGTAATCATGTCACCAAAGGCGTACCTTGGCGATTTGGAGTGGAGGGGGGGGGGGTGTAAACGGATGAATTTACCGACCAAAATTCAACTCTTGCTAGTCAATGTATACATACCAATATACTATATAAAGTCAAGGTACGCATCTACCGACCATCCATAACATTTACCGACCATCCATAACATTTACCGACCATCCATAACATTTACCGACCATCCATAACATTTACCGACCATCCATAACATTTACCGACCATCCGTAAAATTTACCGACCATCCGTAAAATTTGCCGACCATCCGTAAAATTTACCAACCATCCGTAGAATTTACCGACCAACTTTCCAAAAGTGGGGGAGTGTACCACCCCCACACCCCCGGTAGGTACGCCCCTGCATGTCGCATGTCAATCAATATAATTGAAGATTATAAATCGATACATTGTAAAGAAGGAAGAGAAGGAGGATAGTTTAAAAAAGAGGAAAAACGTTGCTCTTTTGCTTGAAATTGCTACCTGTACGACCTTGCTGCGGAGACGAGCCTTTATTTAGTGGGCAGTCCGCTGTACTAGAGTCAAAGAGCCGAAGACATTATGAAACATGCGTTCTGACTCCAGAACAGAGGGTTGTCACATACATTTGAAGATTTTCTCTCGTTCGTCTCCCCAACAGAACCTATCATAGGGTTGATATACCCTGGGTTCCAGAGCCGCAAAATTTTTAGGGTTGATAGTGGGTTGGGGAGGGTGGCAATGGGATGTTGATTAAAACAGTTATTATCAGCAACAATAGATCAAAGAATTACTTGTATTACATTTTATGGTTTGTTAGGGGCGGGGCAATGAAAGTAATGCAAAGTGTCTTCGCGATATGGAGAGATTTACAAGGAACCATTAGCCCTGTACAGTGACGCTTGAAGAGGAAGTTGGCAATGTTACGTGCAGACACTTTTGAACCTAAGCTTATTTGCAATGAAGATGTTATCTTTTTCACACAGTGCCAGTTATGCGATGTTTCTCCAATAAGGTCATTCAACTTCTTTTGGTCGTGGATTAGAACCTCCTTTTTCATGGTCACAAGAGGTTGGATATTATTTAGTTCAAGTAGTGACTTCATATCGACAAGGACTTGCAAACCGCAGAAAGATTTTGGCAACAATCGAATAAACTAGCTTCAAGTTTTTTATCCTTCGACGAGATTTTGTGTTTTGTTCTAAAACAATAGGGCCACACCTTGCTAATTCCACGAATTAAAAAGCCAGACTGCCGTGAGATATCATAAGTTTTCAGAGACTGCGAACGTATATTATTCACCATTGTACTCGATAACCTGTGAGCATGAATAATTAAATTTGTTCTGCTGTTTTGAATAAATATCTCACTTCTCTTGTTTTATAGACCTTTGAGGCGATCATTAAAAACAGAGACTTCAAGAAACTGGGCGAATATGACCATCTGTAAGACATTAGACAATGCGTTTGAATGTTTTGAAGGGAACAGTTTAACTCGTGTCCACAAAAGAGTTCAAAGACAAGATAACCTTGAAATAATGGATGAAGAAGTTGATTTTGAGGAAAGTAGATTTGCTTCTCCAGAATCGCACGTGGAAATGACAAACAACCAAGATAAATTGCCACATTGTAGCGCTAGGGTAGAAGATACCAAGAAAGATGGCGCTTTGCTTCCAAGACCTAAGCCTTTAACCGCGAGATGGAGCTTTCCTGCAAGGAGATGTGTTGATATTCTTAAAGAAGAGAATATTGGTATCCGAAAAAGACTTTCTGTTGAGGACATTACCAATCGAAATGAAAATCGATCAAGTTTGATTTTTGACTGGTTGACGGATCCAGAGAACAAGGTCATGTTCCAAGGCCGGAACATAGACAGTCGTATTTTTCGTAGCCATTCGGCAGTACAAAATAGGCCGGTATGTAATATTATTAAAAGTAACCGGTCTCATTCGTTGAGGCAAGAAGCAAAGGAGGATAAGACCTGCTTGGGAAACAGCAGCGTGTTCCGTGAGGACTCTTGCACGTCAGAATGCACTATGTGTCAACGAACACGTGAAGTTGACAAGGAAATTCAACCTCGATTTGTTGAAGGACCTGCTTTGACGACTGAGAATAGAATTACAAACTTACAGGTGTCAAGTCCAAAAAGAGATTTGGACGTCAATGATTTAAAAAATTCTTCATCGACAGAAGAAGCACGTAGTCCTGTAGATGACGTGAAAATGGATATTTCAACGGAGTTCGGAAAGCTGAATCTGTCATATGAAAACTCATGCAACGAGCATAAACCTATTTCTGTTTGTAAATCGTTACCGGGTTACAGTGGACTCTCGAAAAAGAGAATGTTACAAAGAATGAATTCCGATGCATTTTTTTATAAAGACATGGTAAGGGATTGTGACGGCCTGAGTTACGAGAGGAAAACGAGAAGCTGCTCTAGTCGTAAAAGACGAAATCGTTTGAGTTTGCGTTTGCGAGACCTCGTCGATAGTTCGTCACATTATACTGGTTCCACCAAAACTCAAGATTCGGGTCTCATTGTAGACGTTAATTCCAAGGAATTTATAAATAACATTGAAAAAATATTTTCGTTATGTGACCTGCAACAGATTCAAGAACTCGCAGAGTGTGGTTTTGATTTTAATGTTAGGGATAGTGCGGGAAACTGCGCATTACATTATGCTGCCCTGCGGGGGAGCGAAAAGATAATTACAAAGATCCTGGAAAATGGCGGTAACGTATGGGCGCGGAACAATAGGAATCAGTTACCTGTAGAATTGGCATCCAACATTAATGTCCGTATGTTGTTGTCTGGTGTGACATTGTTCTATCGCGGGCAGTACTCAAAAGAGATAGAAAACAGATTGACGTCAAAGGCGATGAGCTTCGAGTTGTAAACAGTAAACACACGTGCTTTAGTGTAGGCGCTAGCATCAGAATTCAGTATTCAGAAAGACTTCTTATCTTTCATCTTTATTGTCTGATTATTTAAACTGCAGTAAAGTAAGGTTTCTGAGATAATGCCTTTTCAATTCGGGTTATATTTGCTGTGATGTAGAATACCAAATGACTCACGCAATTACAGGGAATGTAAAAAGCGTCTTTTGGATTCTTTTCTAAAGAGAAACGCTACATATATTGGCTCATAAGAGATCATTCAAGTAATTTTCAACAGTATATGAAAAAATGCAAACCTAAGCTACTCAAATAAAAAGAGATTTTACCATTCTGACTCAAGTTGAACTTGAGGCTTCTTACATATTTAAAATTATTATTGTTGACGAACAATTATATAGATATATATGACGAACAAATGAGTATAATTAACATATTTAACACATGTTTAAGATTAGCTGAGAGGGCACTGTTTGCGTGCGAATGTAATTTTGTCCTAAAGTGACCTACGTCCTAAGTTTTTCTACCATTAAAGTCTTCCAAATATATAGTTATCGACAATATATTTTGGTTTTTCAGGAGCTACTTAAATGCAACATTTAACATTGATCGTATCGTATCAAAATGAAACCAATAAACCGTATCAAATAGGCTACGACATTTGACTTGAATTTTGGGCTACATTGTGCGAATGTTTGGATGTCTTATCAATCGGCTGATTCTGGTTTAATGCAGCTGTAGGATTAGTAGTAGCCTATTTGATATGATTTATTGGTTCACCTGGCTTTTAATAGGGGAAAATAGGTAGTGGTGCTTTAAAAATTCCACCTTTTATCAGGACGATGGGTGTAGCAAATTCGATGCTTACATGCACGCGCATTTGTTCGCAAGGTTTTTCCATAACATTTCTTAGAAAACAGAAGTTGTATTTAATAAACTATAACGATATTTCCTTTATTTATACGACATACTGCTTGTTAGGGCAGAATCTTCCGACATGAATAGCATGCCTAATGTATTTTCTACCGTTTTTGTAGTTTGACTGTATTCTTAAAATTGACTAAGGCAAGTTCAGCATTGTTATTATTGGGCTATGTAAGAGTTTTATCCCGGTTATTACTATCAGTATTTGTCAAAAATTGGACAGAAACGCCATGCCAGTGAGTTTTAGACAAAAAGAGCTACTACTAAATCGCGCAACATAGATTAATATATTTCTCACAAGTGGTATGATATTCTGCATTTAATCAAGATTGTTAAAGCATTTGTCAATTCTTAAAACAGACCTGTAGTACCACTAAGACTAAAACTGTTCAACACGTTTCTCAAATCGTAACATCTAACCCCCCCCCCTTCCCCTCCCCCTTGGTTATAAAATTGAGCCCTGGTTGTAAATTTGAGCCTTGGCTGAAAAATTGAGCTAGAGTTTTGATGATATTGCAATAAATATTTATTAGCTGCCATTGACTTTAATGGCAACACTTCAAGGATGTTCATTATTACAGAAATTGGTTTTTACAGGTTCTTCTGATCTTCATTAAGATGATAGAATGCCTTGTCGTGTTTCCTCGAAGTGTGTGAAATTGGTTTTTAAGTTATTTTAGCTCTTTAGAATGTATTATTGTTTCGTTGATTGATGATTTGTTGATAGTTTGCCAACAATGACATTTATTTAATTCAAAGCTGCTAACAATGTAGCATGAATGAAATGTTTTTAATTCGTTAATTTATTCGTTTACTTGATTTTACTCTTGACTGTTTCTTTCATGGTTTTAGTCTATTTTCTTGGAAGTCGGACAATGATGCTGTGCTCTTTGTAACACCAGGCTATGTTCAGCATAGAGAGATCCTATTAGGTTCAGAATAACGACAAGTCTTACTCGTGTACACACATCAGCTGAATACGACAGTTAAGAATAAGATAGCTTTCCGCCAACTTCTTTATTTCTGAGAGCTGAAGCATGGACCAAATTCACCAAGACTTGAAACTTGCAAGTCTTTTTCAACGATTACGTATGATTAATACAAGGCAATCTCTTTTTCATTTCGATAATAAACACGTTAACAGCGTTTTTGCTTCCTTTCCATAAAGAATAACAGTTCTTTAATCCAGTTAGATTATTTTAGCTACATGATGTTAACTTTTTTTAAAAAAAATAAGTATTTTGAACAAAATTTGCGCTTATTACTTTTGCGTGATCAAAATTCTTTGTGATGATTCATTTGCTAAAATAAAGACGATTTTTTATTTGCAAAAGAAATTATTTACTTCATTAGCAGAACGTCTTTCCCACTCTTGTCGCCCATCTTAAATTTAATCCAATTTTTTTAAATTTGCATATGAATTCTACTTGCTATATCTAATGTTTCTGGCCTGGGTCAAATCGATAAGAATATATCTTTTTCTCTAATCTTATTGTCAAATACAAGATAAAATATGCCCATGTATAGATAAAAAAAGATTTTGCATTTGACACCTGTGTTTTGAGAGATTGGGCAAAAAAATTACATCCTCTCTGACCATGTGATCAAGACGAAATGTTTTAATTCCCACTACGAGAAATATGAAGCAAACGAACGTGAAGTACGTTTTTTCTTCCTGATTTTTAAGATACATACATCATTAACAGTGATTAGAAATCAGCCACTGATTTTGCTAGAGAGGATATCTCATGAAAAGCTGAGTGTTTGCACAGAATACAGTCCAAAATAGCGCATGCGTTTAGATTGGCATTCCTTATTAATCATATTAATGGACATCGATTTTAGAATGCGAGAACATATGTTCGGCAGATACGAACCATAAGCTGAACTCAAATCTCCATATGATCTTTTGATCTCTAGCGGTTAGGGATAAAAATCCCCTCTCACGGTAGTGATAGCAGAACACTAGGAAATTGCTGCAGTTCTATTTTTATTTCTTGTTTACATTTTATTCTGTTTTTATTCCTTGTTTGAATGAGTGCTGCATTAAATGCATTTGATACGAATACTAACCAGGGACTGCGAAGAAGCGGAGGACTGAAGGGGCTTTAGGGGCTTTAGACCCTAACTAGTGAAAGAAGGCTCTTTATTCACTTTGAAAGAAATTTTCACAATAATTGTTGTATACTTTGAGGTAATCGTTGAAGCATATTAACCTATAAGTCTTCAAAGGGGCGCACAATTTCTAAAAAAATGGCACCAGGCTTACTTCAACTCGGTGAGGGAGGGCCAACTGCCCCTAGTCTTCCCCCCTTAAATCAGCCACTGGAACCAATAACAAACAGTGTTGGTGAGCACTATTGGTGGTGGAGAGTAGAGAAATCTTGGACGTGACTCGTTTTGATGAAGAGACAAACATGGCGACCTGAAAAAATGAGCAGTGCAAATGGACTGGGATCAGGAAACTTTAAATTGGAGAAAAGAAGTATGAATTCAGAGAATAAAATTTTTACAGATCAGGAAAAGGAGGCGCTGTGTGACGTTTTTATTACAACGAAGAAATATGCGAAGGATCTCAAGTAAGTTTTTTAGCTGTTTATTATGCGTTATATTGGATTGTACTCGTAACTCGAGTCGTTCGATATATGTTCTGACGATTTGATAATTTTTGTTTTACATAAAATTCTATGATAGCTGGTTTTGCTGCAGACTGTGTCATTAAAAAAGAAACTACAGTTTGCAATATCTGATTCTGAGGTACTGTAGTGGCTGTCTTGTTTGCATCAAATTGTTCATTTTTAGGCCTTTGTTCTTATCAGATTATTCTTTTAAGAAAGATTGCATTCAATATGAATTAAATAGGCTTTGTTTTTTCTTTATAAAGTTGGTATAAAACATTTTTATCATTATTCTGTTTAGTGTAAGATAAGTTTTTACTTCAGGTTTTGTTTTGTATACATATGTATAATTGAAAAAAAATTGTTTAAGAAGCGAAATAAAACCATTGTTTGTCAATTTTGTATATTCTTGATAACTTTGGTATAATTAGAATATGTTATCAACAAAAAACCCTTTGAGAAACTTTAATGCTGATGTCAAAGCCTTGTAGACTATACCTAACAAAAATAGATGTAAGTTGTTATAATGAAAAATACAATAAAGACCCTTTTTGCTTGGAAGGATGTTTCTTTTAAGAATGTAATTACTTTACAGGACTTTACTGGAGAAGAACAAAATTTTCAACCGAAAATTCAGAATAAAGAATCTAAATGAAGACCAGGTTGCTGTCCCTATTGATCTTGAAAAATGGAAAGGAGATATTGAAGAAATCAGTTTTGATGGCTCAAAATGCCAAGATCATACCCAGATGCTAATGCCATTTTCAAAAACACATTTGATAAGATTATCAACAGTGCAAAAAACAATTCAAGAAGAAATTATTGATTTGTTCTACATGAAAACAAGAGAATCCTTGAGTATTCAGCTGCTGAAAGACTTGCCATGTGAATGGCAAATACATGGAGACATGCTACTGTTGCCAAAAGATTGCTTGCAGCTAGCTATTTGGGATAAAGTTATTCCTGAACTTTGGTGTATATTTTGCAAAGTTTTAAAGATAAAAAGAATTGCAAAACACTGCATAATATCTGATAATGAATTCAGATCATCAAAAATTCAAATGCTCTATGGTGAAGATGGCTGGATAACAAGAAAAGAAAATAGCATACAATATATGTATGATATAACAAAGTGTATGTTCTCTGATGGAAATATTACAGAGAAAATGCGCATTGCAAAGTTTGATTGTCAAAATGAGGTTGTTGTTGATCTTTTTGCTGGTATCGGATATTTTGTCATTCCATATTTGGTGCATGCTGGAGCTAAAATGGTATATGCCTGTGAGTGGAATCCAGATGCCATAGAGGCATTGAAGAAAAATCTAGAAATAAACAATGTGTCAGGCCGATGTATTGTTCTAGATGGAGACAATAGGAAGGTAAAAAAAAATTTTATGCATCCTTTTCTGTTTTCGCAGATGTGTTATTCATAATTTTTTAATTGTTTATGAAATCTCATTGAAGAAAATAATTGTATGTATGCCAAATCTTTTGTTAGAATTCTTTTTTACTTCAGCAATAATTTCAGTTATTGATTTTTGTAATTAGTTATCAATTATGAGCTTTTTTAATGTTAATTAGGTTGCAAAATTCATATTTCAGACAATTCCTTTTCATTTATTCTTTGCTTCTGTCACAGGTTTTATACTTGATTTTATCATCAGGTTTTATACAGGTTTTATCATCTAAATTAAATTCAGATGATAATGTACTTCCTGGTAATTTGTTTGAAAAATGAAAACAACATGTTTGATAAAGGAATGTGACCTTGAAAGTAATTCATTGATTCAGAATTAAATTTCATAAATTGATGTCTTCAGTATGAATAAAAAAAAGCCCACAAGATCAATGTGTCATTTATCTATGGTAAAATTGAATTATGACAATTGATTGAATATGTTCAATTAAGTTGTTCACGATACATAGTTACATTCTAAAGGGAGTGGGTGAATGCTTATAATTTTGAAATCACAAATGGATCAACCTTTATTTGTCTATTAATTAATTTCAGGTAGCCCCAAAAGGCATTGCTGATAGAGTCAATTTAGGTCTAATTCCTTCCAGTCATGAGAGCTGGCAGGCTGCTTGTGAGGCTTTAAACCCAACAAAAGGAGGCTGGCTTCATATTCATGCAAATGTGAATCAGCTAGAGGTAATTTATTTCAAATGAAAAATTTATAATTAAATTTGTTATTCAGCATCTGTAAATATGTCAAATTTGTTAAAATGGTTTTAAGCAACAAATAGCAACACAGTCTTGTAATTTTGAAAGTGTTTGTCGATTGTTTTAAGTGCTCATGTTGTATAGTTGCATTTGTGTTCATTCTTTTAGACACAACTATAATGGAGCAGCTCTCCCTCTAGGGCTCTTGCTATGACACCCCAACCCCCTTGAATAGAATTCTATTGCAAAAACAAGGAGTTTTCTGCTACCTATGGTGGCTTAGTCATCAAATTTTCAAACTTTTTGGCAAAAAGGATGGCTCATTGGTGATGGGATGGGACGGCCAAAAAACTTGTACAGGCAGAAACTCCCAAACTAACCTAGACATACTAGTGTACTATGAAATATCAAACATTGATAAAGATATTACCTTCCTAAGATTTGGATGGAAATGATGGAAGGAAGAAATTATGGAACTCACAAGTAGTGTGAAAAAATGTTTTCTGTTCAAATTGATAATTTTCTTAATTGAAGTAGGGAATTTAGCGACCAAAGCTAAAGGCTATTTGTTTTCAATTTTTAGCACAAAAATCACCTTGATGGTAGAGATCCAACTGGCATGGTAAAACTGCCATTAAAACAGAACTCAAGAGAATATAAAAGTCAGGTATGGATGCAATGGGCAGAAGATGCCATCTTAGAGTTTAAAGAATTGTTAAAAAGGGGACATGCAGATGGTCCCTGCAACTGGACCTGTGAAGTGGAGCACATTGAGCATGTAAAAGCATATGCACCACACATTGACCATATTGTTGTTGATGTTAAATGTACACCTGTTTATTTGCATTAGACAGAGGTATGTTTTACTTCCGCTTCTTTTTAATCTAGATCCTGTAGATAATGAATGCTTTGTAGCTTATTTTATTCTAGAAAATTAATTCTAATAAAATGATAACAAAGAGTTTAATTAAAGTAGGCAAGGAGATCTCGATATGTATTGGGCTAATTAAAAGCAACTACTTTTCATATTTTCATATATATATAAATGTCATAAGTATAAAACACCTACATGTATGCTAAAAGTTTTAAACAAATTACAGCTAAACTTAAACACATCCACTGATTGTGTGCTTAGATAAAAATATCCCATAAATTGGACGAAAAAATATCTTTATTTTGGTACGTCACCTTTGCCAGTAAGTCCAATAGCCTCAGTTAGACCTGCTAACTCTAAACGAAAAGGTAACTGGAACAATAATTTTTTGGCCGCTTCCAACATAATTAGAGATGTGTTTTCTATTTATAAATCGGTCCATTAGTTCAACGTCGAAATGAAGAAAATAAGATTTTTAACATAGTGTGGTAATTCGCAGCGATTCCTAACCTACTGCAAACCATTGCTCCCACTCCACTGCTCAATCTCTTTAAAATCTTGCTGGATTTAAACAATTCTTTGATACAGTCAATTTAAATGACACAATGATGCAGTAGATGACGAAAAGTGACGGATAAATGAAAGTGAATTAATGTTAATAATTTTTCTAGAGATAATGTTAATGTTCGCAGTACTTTGATTGATTAATAAGAAACAATAATTTTCATCAAAACCTAGTATTTATCTATTCAGTTAATAACTTATAATTATATTGAGTAAGCAAGTAAATAAGTAAAAAAGCAAGTGTATAAATTAGTACGTAGATACTTATTGATTAGTAGATATATTGTTGGGTGTCTGTTAAAAGATGAATTGATATCAATGCGTTCATTCGCTATAAGAAGTCATTGCTGATCGGAGCTGTCAAAGGATTGTCCAGAGAGAATTGGGATATTAAGCTCAAATGTGTTAGATTTGAAATGTTTAATAGTTTATCAATAAGTGTTCTTATGAGGGTTAAAAATAATCCAGTGATGAGCGCATCTTTTATTGTATCATACAGTAAGCATTCACCTATCAGGGTCTGTGGATTAAGAACCTACAGGCGGAGATTTTGGTATAAAGCCCCCATCCTATTCCAACCAAAGCAGCCTGAATATTTCAGTAGGTCATTATTTTCAGATAACTAAGAATTGAAAAGAGAAGATTTTTAACATGTTCTGTTGATAACGGAATGTTTTATTAAAGTAACTGGCGCTAAAGTTGGTAAAATGAAAGCACAAGACTTCGCGTATGTACCTTCTAGTGCGCGCTGGAAGAATGTAAACTTTTCTTTGTATGCAGTAAGCGTTAGAGATTTTTTAAAGTTAGTCCTAGATATGCATTCTGAAATATTAGATGGTTTTGATTGAATCCATAACGCAAATATTTTCAAGTAAACTTTGAATGAACACAGTGTTTCAAAACTTTGAATCGAACAAGAACCTATCCTAATTTTTATTCAATACCCATTATTTGAAAGAATATTTGGCATGGAAGCCATTTTGGCGTTGAATGATTTTCATTGCATTTATCTGACGTCATATGGATGATGTTATATTAACAAGCTTGTTTCATTTTAAGAATTCAGTCTTTTTCAAGTCGAAATGACACAGGCATTTATTTCGTGGGATACATGGACGAGCTCAACCCTCATGCGGTAAGAAGTGATTCTCAATCAGAATACTATTTATCTCTGATTTTTGCATTCATTTTAACTTTCGCAAATCACCATCGGTTTTGAGACGAAGCTGACCTCCATTGGTTAGTAAAAAGAACCGACCTAACATCAATGAGGTGGCCGATCATTTATTTTATGTTGAATAATCATGACTGTATTGTTTTTGTGAATCAAAATTTACCAAGTTTAAGCTGGATAATGTGTGAGAAGGAAGAACCGCAGGATAGGCTGTCCACCGGATTCTGTGAATCTTGCAATGAGTATAATATAAATATGAGGATAAAATTCAGAAACAAAGCAAAACGGCGACGAGAATCCAATGTTATGAGATAAATTTTCCAAAGTAAATTAAATTAAAGGAATACTAATATTTCGCCCCGGCATACAGGGCTTCATCAGAGTAAATGAAACGAACGAGTGAATGAATTTGAAATGTGAGATGGTGATGCCGGATTGGTGGATGTTGAATGGTGTGAATGCAGCGCAGTGGAGAAAAAATGGGATGATGGAAGTGGGGGAGGGAAGGGTGGTGGGTGATGTAAGGGAATGTGGGTGTTGCTGTAGAGATTGATGTAATGGGATGATAATGATTACTGTGATTATGAATATAGAAAAACACTCTAATGAAGCCCTGTATGCCGGGGCGAAATATTAGTGTTCGTTTAATTTAATTTATTTTGGAAAATTTATCTCATAACATTGGATTCTCGTCGCCGTTTTGCTTTGTTTCTGAATTTTATTCTCATAAAGCTGGATAGCTGGTTAATACGATTTTTGATAGCTTTAGGTGAAAGCTCATAACAATTTTTGCCAAAGTTCATTTCTATCTAAGATTTAGTGTTTTCACTCAATTTGTCAGTTTTATAATTTTCTCTTGACTATAAATTTTAAAGGGTGTTATTGGTAAAAAGATATATATGTTTAAAAACATTTATTAGTATTTATTTTGATTCTTATCGTAGAGCCCTTCGTACATTCAAACTTCGTAATGAAAACCAGACAAGTTTGTGAATTTAAACTCAGTTACGGAGCATGCACATTGGCAAAACATTCACAAACTCAAGTAAATCATATGTTGGAAGACTTACAGATTAATTAGTATCATTTTATTTGGAAAGGCGTGAAAAAGATCAAAGATGGACAACAAGTTGATCTCTAAGGAAAATGAGCAGCGGTTGTCATACCTCGATATGAATGCGAGACACGAAATTAACCAGAGTATCGAGAACCTGAAAAACACATTGATTGATAATTTGGAAAAAGTTTTAAGAAGGACCTCAAAGGACTTTCAAAATGTTGATTATATAGAGAACACTGGCTTGTACAACGAAGGCAGGCCAGAGGAAAATTGTAACATTTCTGGACGAAGCAATCATTTAGTGAAGGGAACATTGAAAAGGTTTGAAGAAGGAAGCTCCACTAAAGACCTGGCATGCGGTTACTTAAAACAGAGGTCTAGTATTTTGAAGACGGTTGCTAATGTTGCCTCAAAGCTATCCACTTCGAATGGTGCTGAAGATAGAGATGATGCAAGTTCACGCGCGGCTCAACGACAGATGCGGATTTGGACGGATGTGGCAATCGATCTTGATGGGTATTACTTAGAATTGCTGAACAGATTTCTTCGAACTGGACGTAAAACAACAGGTGAAATGAAAGGACGGACATTATTAACCCATCGTTTGTCCGAAAGCACAATTGATGATTTGAATAGAAACAAACGAAAACAGATGTTCCAGTCGCAACACGACATACATGATGACGTCATTCTTGGTCAGCTGCAAGAGCCTTTAGGCATTAATAAGCCAACAGTGAATGATTTTATTGAGGATCTACTTAATAGCACTAACGCCAAGCGACAGTATGCCGTCTGTTTCTTTGATAATGAGGCTGTGAGTGAAAACGAGGATGAAACCGTGTCTAGTAAGGTCGATAATTGTGATGAAATCGAAGACTGGAATGAAAGTGTCGGGACAGACAATGAAATTACAGACAATGAAACAAAAGACGTTAGAGTTGATGAGGTTGAACGGCAAGAGGCATGTAACTTTGAGAATGTTGATGTGAACTTCAAGGAGTATGTCACAGAGCAGGCCAACGAACTTGAAAACAGAAAATCTATTATCGAAAAACTAACGGAAGAAAATCTTGAGATGATGGGTGCACTCGAAAATGTTGAAGAATATGAAATTCAGAAAGAAAAAGAAAACGAAAGGATAATCCAAGAAGTCAAAAAAGAATATGAGAGCAAATTTGAAGAAAAGAACTCTGAGATATGCGAGCTTAAGACAATATTAAGTAAAGTTGCCTGTAGTACACATGATGATCAAGGTGGAGAGGAATATTGTTTAGAGGGAAAGGTGTATAAGAATTGGCCTAACCTTCCTGATTATGGAAAACTAAGTCAGTGTTTTGAAGATGCATGCAGTCAATTGAAACTGCTTGCTTTGATTGCGAAAGATTGTGGTGGATCAATTACAGGAAAAGAGGAAAATTGTTCGAAATTACAACTTTTGGATACTGCATCAGAAAATACTGATAATAATCTTATCAATTGGATTATTGACCAACTTGAGCAGCTTTGCAAAAAGATTGATTATCTCGAGGTAAATGATGAGAATTCTAAGATAAGCAATGAAAAACGGCCTTCAAAGGAAATCATCGATGGTTTGTTTGTGAAGCTTTGTCAAGCTGCAGAACAGAAGAATGAAATGATTAGAGAGATGGAAGCAAAGGCTAAAATATTCAAACAAAACTTCCAGAAATTGAAATCGCAGCTTATGAAGAGCAGAAACAGATTAGAATCTCTTGTTGAGCAAACTGATGAACAAGAAATACAAATAGCGGAAAAGGATGAGGCTATATCTGCCCAAACAGAAGTTCTGAGCCAGCAAGATCTTGAACTAGCTGATTTGAGAACTCAGAATGAAGTTTTGAATGCCAAGAATACTTCATTACTAGAGGATTTAGCATCTGCCAAAGAACATGCATTGTTTTTAGAGGAAGAGCTCAAACATTCAACACTGATAGAGCAAGACAAATGCGAGGAAAATGAGAGACTTGTTGAGTATCTTGTCAATATGGAGAAGATTGCATCGGAGATCGCTGCTCCAAAGAAACGCATAACTGAACAGGAATTCAATTTCTGCAAAAATTGCAACGCTTTCATAATTTAATTGTAAATTTTATAAAAATACTACCTTCATATGATTAGCTTATATTTTGCATAAATAAATATTGCAGTATTTTTGTTTATTTGCTTTTGTATTGATCAAATATCTCTTCATTCTATTGTACAATATATGTTTTCCATTTAACGTTGTTAGTTAATAGCTTCATATTTGCCAAAAATGAATTACGGAATTCAAATCTTCATGCTTAAATTAGCCTGTGCCGAAAATTTCACATTGTTCAGTCAGACCAGTAATTACGCTGTTTTCCATTTCACTAAAATTTTCTGCTGCAGTGAAAACATTTCCGATCATGACGTACAATTCCAGTCGAATATAGGATGTATCTCAATATTCAGAACGTAGATACTTGCCACCTAACAGTCCAAACGGCATAAATTTTTCAGTATAAACTAATTTCAAAATAATGATTACAAATCTGAGGTCTAATTTTATCAAAGTCCTGTAGATAGGGGAATGCAAAATCGATGACGACAACTTGGAACCGCGATTGAAGAATTGTACATGTTGATAGGTTATTAGTTGAAGTGCTAGCCTCGATATCTGCACCAATCGCTCGATCAAGCCTCAGTTTCAACCGTAAAGACCAGTTACACACTAACGTTTAGCAATCCTTGTAAAAGATGCATATTGGTTCGCTTCTTTGGGTTAAGTGATGATTTTTCTGCCTAGGGCGGATTCATTAGAGATATAAAGCCTTTTGTAAGACATAGAATGGCTAATATTGTCATGTTTATATGTACATGTATGTGCAAAAAACAGTGTATACATATGATATATTTAACACACTTAGCAAGTGTGATACGATCATAGCTCATTATTTTTTAAAGACAGTCTACAGAACGATTAAGACCATGCTGGGCTTGCAGAGGACATTGCGATCCCTAGGCCTTATGGCTATCTTTTTAAGGGGCCCTGTGCAACAGGACCAATTTGTTTTAACATAGTCAACTAAGATGTTTATTTCAGTTAGGAGAAACTCTTTCATCCTTGAGAGAATTTCATAAAGAAAGTAACAAACAAAACAAAGAGAGAAAGACTCTCATTCAGCGGAATGCTCTGTGTTGTGGTCCTGACGTACAATCAAGAGAGCCTTGAATTACCTCAACTAGCTGTCCTTCGTCATAAAAATTCGATGTACTCGGACCATCATTGTATTACACTGGGACATCAGTTCAAATTGACCCACCGTGAGACTTAAAACCATAGAAATGCTTAAAACCAAGGAGCTGCTACATTTATCGATCTAGTACCAGTGCCGTGAAAGCGATACGAAGAATGTCCCCCGGAGGCGTTGGTGAGTAGCCTTTGGTCAAGAATGCTCTAAAAAGAATGTTGTGTGCATGGTTTGGAAAATCTTTCAGTATAGTGACACCACTTACCTCTCCTTTTGTTGAAATTTTGATAATTCTTGTTGAAGTTTTACTTTTTCTCGAGCAATGAGGAATGTTTACTGCTTTTTTCACTTATTTTATTTTCCAAAGCTATTTTGATGACGATGACAATTTTTACAAATACTTTTTAGACATGAACTTATGAGAAGTGAAGATCACGTTAGCTGCTTTTGGTGCTTCGTTTAATTTCATGGAGAGAATTGTAGACCTCCAGGTAAACACAAGAGAAAATTGTTTGTTTGAGGACACAGATGTTTGCTTTTTGCATATGGATAGACTAAAGTTTTCATAGAGAAAACCCTTTGACTTGAAACGAAAAATGCGGTTGTGAAGAGTAATGTTTGATCTCTTGGTTTTGCGACCTATGCAAGCCTGATGAAAAGTAATTGCTCTGCTTTTTTACTAAAGCGATTAAACTTTTACAATAATCTAATCATAAATTTATTCTTTATATATTTTTATTTAGTTTAAATTAACATTTACTTTTCATATAACTCTTCGCTTCAGTTGACTTAAACAGCTTTTCTGAATTGATACTTTGAAGATGTTCTGCCAGTTAAAAGTTTAATTAATGAAACTCTTTAGTAAATAAGTGACATTGTTTGTAAATTTTTACCAAATCTGGATTTCTCAACAACTAAAAAGTAAGCTTAGTTTGACTTTTTGTAAAACAATTGGTAGGCTAATTTTTTCATTAATTCTAGTTTTTTAATGTAATTCGTCGTCAGGTTTCCAAACATCTTTCTCAAATCAAGTCAAGCTTTTTCTCGCTTTATTCAGGGTTTTCACGGCATGATTAGAAGCAGTTGCAAGATGGTTCGAAATATTTGACGTATTTATGCAAGAATTGGGGGATGAAATACAGGTTTGGTTTCTTATGCTGTAAGATACAATCAGATGAATGAAGGGGTTGCTCTTCGTCGAAAATGGAAAGACAGAGATTCATTTAGAAGGTTGTTTGCATTGGAACACAATTAGAGAAGTGTAAAGGAACTGTAGCTGTTTTGCAGTGGCAAAATGAAGAAGTTTCGGTGTAAGAATATAATTTGTTTTCTTTGATCTCATTATCAATACTTGTTTGAGATATGTTGTAAAAGCTTTCTCGACGAGTGGATTTTCTTGTACATCAAATTAGCTGAGGTTCGTTTTTTTCGACAAGCTTACTATTTTGTTGACAGGAAAATTGAAAGATCGATAGAGAACCTCTTGTTCTTTATTTTAGATCGATAGAGAACACAGTCTTTACTTTCGTTATATTATGAAGTCCTTTTTCTGTAACATTATCCAAAAAGGGTTCCTGGAGGCATAAATTTATGTCTCAAGTTAAATCAAGACTTTTAATCTCCCTCTGTCGTTTTCATGTATTCAACATATGCCTCTGTCGTAATCTCCCTCTGGATGGTTATATCTTTGAGATGAGAGGCTTAGAAGATGAGAGGCTTAGATGTCAAGAACTGTATATTTAGACTCTAAAGAATGCCTACATATACTAAGGAATTATTACTGTTTATTCTTCTGGCAGTTGCTGACAGTAACAATGATTGTGTCTATTATGCTTCAAATGGCTTCTCGGTGATAACAATTGATTTTCTTGCAGAGACAAGGCACGGCTATATAACGAGAAATAGGCAATTTGCATGTTGCAGATATTGAGTAGAGACTTACTCTTGACGACCTTCGTATGAATTGAAAATGAAAGATTCGTATACAAGGTTCTTGTTTATCATTGGACTTTGGGCAAAACTCGTTTATGGTGAAATCGTAAAGGACTTTATAGAGGTAATTTGAATTTTCGATAATCCCACGATAGCTTTCTAAATGCTGGACCTACTTTCTCTTCTTCAACTAAATATTATTGCTCCTTGTCACTTTTTCAAAGTTTTGCACTGTAATTTCACAGTCGTTGACTATAAAAAAATTTTATTTGCTTATTGTTAACTTGATCGAATTTATTTAGGTCATTTACCAGAATTGAAGCTATAGTTTTCTAAGAAAGTTTTTGCTGTATGAATAAAGATAGCATTGCAGGGGAAGCATTTATTGTCTTTATTAAGTTTCATCGACAAAAGTTTCATGAGTTTTTTTCTAACAATTTATATCTGTCTTTCTTCTTCACAACAGAGCTCGAAAATATGGAATCAAAGCAAAGATTGCAATATATGCTATAAGGTGTTGTCAGGGGAGTGAGAGAGTTCCCATTGGCAGACATGTAGGTGAGGTTCCATTCAATGGCTACCCGTATTAAATGTCCTTTGTTTCGAATGTTCAGAGAAAGGTATGGAGAATTCCTCCCAGCCTTGATTTTGCATTTGGAAAACCAGATCAACTTGGAATTTTAAAACTTTTGATGATAGCAAAACACGGCTCAATTTATCATCTGTAACACCTGGCTGTATCAGTGCCCCGAATAACTGCATGCAGAAAGAATCTGATTCTAAAGATTTTTTAAATGCGATGAAATTTTAAAGGAAAAGATTAGTGGTCTGTTTCACTTTTTTTTGCTGTATTTACAATTATTTTTCTCGAGGATCAAGCACATATGCTTGAGAACTTGCTGTTTCAATTATTTCCGTTAGACAGCAAGGAATAAGAATGGTATTGGAAGTTTGTTTTAATTTGTCTACACACGCAGGGAATGGTCTGTGTATGCTGAAAGCTATAAATTTTCTCTTCCCAAAAACGGTTCGTTTCTGACATAAATTTAATTCAGTGCTTGGCTAGGAAGTAGAAACGTTTGTTTCCAAGAATGGATTGACATCATAGTCAGAAATCATAGCTTTTCATTCACTGGATACGCTAATTATAAATTATAAAGGTTAATTAAATGTTTTGCTACTTTTTTTAAATAGTGATTTATTTGTTAAGATAGAGCATTTTGTGGATAGAAACGTTTTCCTATTTGCTACTTTGTGAAAACAGAGTGATCTGATTTGGGTATAACTTTTTTGCAAAACTTCCAACTTATAAAATGTTATAATAAGCTTCTTTTGAGACATTTTGTTTTTTTGTAGCTGCTACAATCATAGTGTGTGATCAAACAACCGTTTGAATGAGGGTTCCAGCTGTGTCTGAGAAAGTGGTCAGAAGATATGTTTAATGCGAGGTAAAGTATTTTTCAAATCTTTATAATTTTCTTCCTGTTACAAAAATCATTCTATTTTTCTAAACTCTACTAGTAGTGCGATGTGATATTTTTTCAGCACGAAATACTCCAGTTTGTTTTTAGTATAAGAGTTACATGTTTAAATAATAAATAAACCAAAAAATATGCAAAAATTTACCTGTATGTATGCTCTAAACAAAACGTGCTTCAACTGCATTCATTTTTCTACAATTATGCTTTTTTGGCCTCGATAAATTTGAAAATATCTTAATGCCCTCAATAAATTCAGACTTTCGAAAGCACATGACATTAGGGCATTGTCAGTGCAAAATTACCTCTTCTAGTTAGTTACTTACTTTATCATACATATCAAAATATCTTCATATCTACTTTTGTCATTCAGTCTATTTATCTTCAATCTAGTTCGTCTAGTGTCTATCCTGCCTTCTTTCGTTTTTACGTTTGAGTAACACCGTGAAATGGTCCTTTAATTAGATTAATAATTTAAAGAGGGAAAAGCCATAGGCGTAGACTTGCATTTTTATCAGGGGGGGGGCTGTAAGCTTTATTTTGCTGTAAGCGCAAATATCTAATGCAACAAATCTTATGCGTGAAACCAATAATATAACAAACTAATCTAAAAGTTGGTAAAGCACTTCCTTATTTTCCAGGGGGGCCCAGCCCCCTTGGTTTTTGTCAGGAGGGGCTGAAGCCCCCGAGCCCCCCCCCCCTGAATTTACGCCTATTGAAAAAGCTATACTTTGATTTGAATGAATTACTTCAACTTGTTAGCATTTAGGAGATTTTTTACTGACACACCATTCATTGCCTGTCAGTTATCTACACGAATTTCATGCAGAAACGTATTGTATGTGCTTAGCTTTCTAATGGACGGTGTCTAGCAATAAACAATTCATTCAATTTCAGCGACAAGGTTTCCAACATTTATGGTGGTAGTATAATTAAGGCTCTGGAGGCTTTTTGTAGCAAAGTTCTCTACACCGCACTCTTATAGAATTTATCATGTTTTCAACGTGATAAATAGTACATCCCCAAAAAAATATTTGTGAAGATTTCTTCAATAGGAGATAGCCAATCTAACGCGTCTTTCTCCCTCTCAAGTTACTCTTGATCCACATCTGTTTGTGGGTATTTCGTGCAAGCTTAAAGATTTCTTTTCTGGCAATTTTTAAACTATGACTAATCTCCTTGAACTCTTAACATAAGATCTATGGGCAAGTTCCTCAGATATTAAACCTTCAAATTAGAAACAAAAAGAGAGTCTTATCATAATATAAAACTATTTTGCACTCTATCGCGATTTTTTTTGGGTTTGGAAAATAAATTTCGTGGACCTATCTTTATGATCACTAGGTGCGCCTCAACTTTATGGCCATTAGGTACCCCTACGGAGAGATAAGGCTTCTCAAAGTGCCAAGAGCTTTATTAAGATTCTATATCAAATTTTAAATCAAAGTAAGATCGGCCTTTCTAATTTGATTAGAAAACGTTTTTAATGGATCTCCTTTATGGCCATAAGTTGTCCCTTACTTCCAAACTCCTAAGGTCCCCCCCCCCAGTTAAAGTTACCTTTTATAACACTGCAAAGGACAAAATAGATTTTCACCATTAAAGAGGTTTTGAAAAACGGCCAACATGGAGGAATTTAGCCGTCAAAGCGGCCAAGTGTTAACCCTGATAAGAATTTCTATATCGATGTAAGATCGACCATATGTGATATAGAACTAAAAAGGAATATTTGTTTCCAAATACCCCCTTAATATTCTTCAGTAATAGTTTTCAATAATCCTTAAATAACAGTATTGACCTTACTTCTACTGTGATTTTTAGCGAAATGTAACCCTCCCTTTTTTGAAAACGTTGAAAAGTTGCAAACTAGACGAAAGCCTAACGTTGTCTCCCTTTTTTGAGGCGACTGCAAACGTGATAAATAGGCCTCATGCTCTTTAGAGGAACCTTTGATACTTGAATCATATGCAAAAGAAACTTCAAAAGACTATAATCGCCATTATTCGACATATTTTATTTTTTTAAATATGAAATAAAGAAAGAAAGTTGCCCTTTCACCAAAAGCTGTTTTTCGTGGAGGCTTTTCAATAAAAATTAGCCATTATATAAAACTTATTCACTCTTATTTATACTCTATTTTCACTACATTATGTATACTGGAGCTAGAAATGAAAGGGTTTTGGTTCTTGATCTTTAACTTCCTATAGATAAAAGTTTATTCCGAAAAATCATCAAGTTTTCATAATACAGGTCACTGTAAGACACTTTTGTTGACAAGGCCCTATTTTACCCTTATTGGAAAATTGTGGAATTTCTGTCTGAAGTGGTAGCCTATTCGTCTAATTCAAACCTAGAACCCCCTTTTAAACTCTAACTGTCTATGGGACATTACCCCTTTCCCTCTTTCCCCTTTCCCTCTTCCCCCCTTTCCCTTTTTCTCCCTTTCCCTCTTTACCTCTTTCTCTCTTAGGACAAGTGTTATCTTTTGAAGAATTGCTAGAATCTGATAGCAAAGGTTTCCCCCCTTTGCCATTTTCCTATGTGCGGTCTATGATCTTTTACTTAAAATTGACTCTAAATAAAATCTTTTAGATTCAATTAATTTGTAAGCGCTGAAAAATGTTAAAGAATTATACCCATATACCCCGTGAGTTGATGTGGATGAATCTTTTTGCCTAGATGTTCTCGTTTATAAGCAAAATATGATCTTCTTTATTCAAAGAGAGTATCATCTTTTATTCTTTAATATTTTAATCATCCTATTGGAACTTTCTTTTGACAGAAGCTCTTTCCATCGATTTATTCAAAGTTTTTTGATCGTCACTCCATTTCGTAACAACCTTTTTGTAAAAGCATAAAACCTTTAAAAAAGCATAGTTGGAAATAGTAAGTTAAAAAATTATAGGATTTCGAAATTATGTGCCTTAAATCCTCTTGATATTTCTGCATGACGTTTAATTCTCATTTTATGTCTATAATTATACATGGATATTATTATATGAGTTAGGATGTTTGCCCTTGACAAAAAATAAATTGTTCAACTCCTCTGCAAAGTTGCCCAATCAAGAAAGTTTAAAGGGACCAATTGCCCCCAATACCCAAAGACTAAGTTTTTTATTCCAGAGAATTACGTCGGGGAACTTACGTTTTGTCGTTAGATTTTTGAGCGATTGAAAAGAGCTGTTTTCTTAGATTTCAAAGTTGTGGTCCTGGTCGATAATCAATTATGTTGGGATCATAAATCTCGAGTCATCAGACCTATTTCATCACATGGAATCCAGGATTACCTTTATAAAACCCCTTCATTCTAGAGATATAAATTTTGCTTATTGAATAGAAAAATTGAAGATAGATATATCTTGATGCTAACACTTGAATTAACCATTTTTTATAGGATAATGAAGAAGATAATAACCTCTTTTTACCTTACATACAATAAATTTATGATCTCTAGAAATCCAGTTTTAAAATTATTCAAATAATTTTTCTAGCCTCTTCAAGACCGACGGCTGTCAAGCACTTTACGAATTTTTATTGGCTTTTTACAATAAGAATAATATTTGTCTTGATATCCCTAGGATAAAATTTCTTAGAGATTTTTGTTATGGGGCACTCTCCAGACCTTTGTCTTGAGGTAACTTTTTGTGAGGGGGTTTTAGTTAAATCTTTCTTTATTTTTAAATTCATTGATAGTTTTCTTTTCATTTGGCATTTTATGTTTAGGCCCCTTTGAAAGGCCCCTATATCACTGGAGAAGCTTGACAAATTCACAGAGATGCCATAGTCAATGGAAATACCATGTAAGTACAAACATGTTTTTGATTATTTCCACGGTTATACTGAGTCTGTTTGAGTCAGCCTTTTGTTTTGGTTCTGTTTGTCCTGAACGTTCTCTTTCAATTTGAAACAGAAGCTTTGAATCATAAACAATAGTTTTTCACACCAACAACATATTTGTTCACACAAACAAGCATGGCAAGGTTTTTTGTAAGCAATCCTTAGCTCGATGGATTAAGATTTGATTTTGCAGGAATATTCGCAACAATTTGTAAAAGGTAAGAAATATATTATTCGTGAATGTTGTCGCTTTTTTCATACTATTATTGGTAGTTTTAAAGCCCCAAATTTGTTCTGGAAAATCGGTCACTTTTCGCCCATGCTGGCCAACATTCGAAGCGCCACGTGCGAAGTTTCAAACTTAGATTTCCTCTACTTTATTATCAGCCAGAAAGAGTTTTTTGGTTTTTTTTAGTTATTTATGAAACTTGATATCCGTGCGAATGGCCTAGGATAGAAAGTTTTGTTTGCTATACTTTAACTTGTGCAATTCAATGCAAGGCCAGTGGGCAATCTAGCGTCAAGGATGTTGTTTGTATATATCGTTGACATTAAGTGCCCACAGATATTGCAGATCCTGTCATTTCTCGAATTATTTTCTGATTAAGAATCGAAAAATTTAACCGTATTGACACAACTAAGATAAATTTGCTCTTTCTTCGCTAGCACTGGAAGATTGACTCGCTCGGATTTCACCTCAACCGAAGACTCGTTTCCTAAGTTCACATACATTTGGAGTGAGCGGAGTATTTTATAGATTTACGAACATTCGAAACATTTAAAAGAACTGATTAACTAAATATGCTGATATTTACTTTTTTTGTGCACTTTGATAGCTTATCACTTTGAAATGTTTCCCGACTTTGATATTCTTGTCAAATATAACCAATGTTAATTTATTCTTGTTGAAATTAGCAAGAACTTTTATCGTTTGGCTTTGTTGTTCCTCTTATAAATGATTTCCCCGTATTGAAGACTTGGCTGCCCTCAGACGCGGCCGCTGACTCTGTTACCTTCATTTTCGTAACTAGCGGCGCTGTCAGTTTCACTGCCTTATATTGAGCCCCAGTTGTGATGTCCAGCTAATCTTTTAACAACGCCATATTCTATTGAACCCCCCCCCCCCCCCACCCCTCCGCTTTCTGTTGTTTAAAGCTTAAGATTCTTTTCAGTTTCCCCAAATTCCTATTGTGTATCATCTTTGATTCTATTGTAGTTATCCGTGAATTTCTATTGAATTTTTCTCTGACCACTTCAAAATTTACCCCCGACTTCCTTTGTTTTTAACCTTAGATACTATTCAATTTACCCCCGATATCCTTATGAGTTTACCTTGGATGCTTTGCAATTTACCCCCGATTTTCTATTGTATTTAACCTTAGAAACAATTCAATATACCCCCGATTTCCTATTGTAATTTACCTTAGAAACTGTTCAATTTACCCCCGATTTACTATTGTATTTAGCCTTAGAAACTCTTCAATTTACCCCCGATTTCCTATTGTATTTTACCTTAGATACTTTTCAATTGACCCCTGATTTTCTATTGTATTTTGCCTTAGATACAGTTCAATTTACCCCCGATTTTCTATTGTATTTTACCTTAGAAACAGTTCAATTTACCCCCGATTTTCTATTGTATTTTACCTTAGATACTGTTCAATTTACCCCCCATTTTCTATTGTATTTTGCCTTAGATACTGTTCAATTGACCCCCGATTTTCTATTGTATTTTTACTTAGTTGCTATTGAATTTACCTCCTTTTTTCTATTATAATTCAACTTTAATTCTATTGAATGTACCCCCGACTTCCTAGAATTTTGATTGTGTTCATGACAAAGACGCTTTGTATTTCTATGGTTATTCCTTTGTTCAATCCTTGAAACTTGGTAAAGATTTCAATGGAAGTCTCCAATAATTACAATTGGAATTCAAAAGATATTCCCCCGGATTTCTATTGAAAACTCTTTTGAAATTGGGAAAAGAGTTTCGGAGACTCTGGTGGCAAAGTCCCCCGGCTTTCTATTGTATTCAGCCAAAAACCTTGGCCGCGACAGGTGGCTGAACTAAAGGCGGCTTGGAGCCGCAAATGATTGACAGCTCATTGTTTTCAACCAATCAGATTGCTCCATTTCAGCCCTTTTGGTGGCTGCGGGCAGGAGCCGTCACCTACAAATATACCAATTTTGAGCTAGCCCTTGGCCGCGGAGGGCCACCATTGTTTATTAACCAATCAGATTACGCTATTTTGGCCCCGCTCTATTGTAATTTCAACCAATCAGAACTCGCTATTTCAATTATTCTATTGTTTTCTGACCAATCAGAGCTTGTTATTTCTTTATTGTTTTTCCATTGTTTAATAGCCAATCAGGTGCCTCTAATTTGCCCGCCTGGCCTCGTTTTCGTTCTACAGAAAGACGGGGGTTCAGTAGCCTCGTTTGTAGCAGTAGAAAGACGGGGGGTTGAAAACAATTCAGTTCGATTTTCTCCACTTCATTCAAGCGATCTTACTCTACTTACAATTTAAGGTCTACTCTACGTGCCGAGGAGACTGTTTTCAGTCGGGGTTTGCCTTAGCATGGTGTTTTAAGCAAAGGGTTAACAAGAGGAAAAAGAAGTTCCCCTTGTTAACCCTCTGATTAAAACACCGTGCTAAGAAAACCCTTTCAATGTTGAGTTAGGGGTTATGTAAACATGGCGTTTTAAGCAAAGGGTTAACAAGAAGGACAAGGCCCTCTTGGTAACTCCCCGATTAAAACGCCGTGCCATAACCCCTAACGCAACACGGAAAACAGTCTCCTAAGCATACTACAAACTAAATACAAAAATTAAACTACAATTACAAACAAATCTAAGTAGAAACGAAAGGACTTATCCTAAAAACAGACGAGAACAGGCGCCTTGCTCACATCCATTTAGAGAATAAGCCCAAACTTATGATTGCAATGCGTTAAATTGAATAAATAATGCACTTTCTCGCAAACTAGTATATCGTATAAGGGATATGACTTGAACGGGAAAATTAAATACACACTTAGCAACTGTATGTGGCTTATTGCTTATAAAGGAATTAGTTGTCCAGCGATGAAACTCTAAATGGGCTTATAGAGAAATAATAGACTTAAGGTAAAGGGTAGGGGAGAAACCAATATCTTAAATTGATGTTTATATTATATTGAAATAGAGGGACCTTGCGGTAAAGGGTAAAGGGTAGGGGTAAAGGGTAATGGGTAAGGGGTAAGGGGTAAGTTAAACGGTAGGGGAAGAAACGATAGCTTCAATTAAAGCTTATATTATAGATTGAAATTAAGGTACCTTACCGGGTAGCGAAAGACATTGTACGGGTGACTCAAACTCAAAAATGCTCCTTAGTTGGATTTGATACATGTAGTAGATTACTCGATTGCTTTGGATCCAACGGGAGACTTAAAAACCTTCTGCTGTCTTGGTAATAGAGCCGAACTTGCGAGAAAGTACCAATTCAAAATTAATAGTAATCTACTGTAATACTCTAATATTCAAGTCCAATATCGACAAATTGTTCGTAAGTCTTCAAATTCTTGATTCCAGCATAGTTCTGCATCCAGCAATTGCTTCTCTCCACGCAAATCTCCTGAAAAAATAATACAGAAGCCAGCAATATCGAAGTTCCATCAAGGAAATAATTCAATATGACGTCATTGCAAAATATATAATCAATTAGTCCAAGATAAACATTGAAATTTCTCGACCAAGTAAAGGCCTAAAACAACTCATACGTTTTCTAGTTGTTTTCAAGAGAACCAAGCGACGGAACAAATCAAGCTTGACCTCATGATCTGACAAAACAATAATTTTGATAGAAGCTAAACGAAACTTCGTGCAATTATTCTTCCCCTGTACTCAAGAGACCCTTGGTCTCCAGGCAGGTCAACATCTACTTCTTAGGCATCTCCAGTCCCTGAAACTATGAATTTGCATTGCCTTCTCCTTTCTTACAATAAGTAAAGAGAGTTTTTGAACTTAAACCCGCTACTTTTATTAATCATACCTAACATTTTGGTCACATTATATCAAATATTTGTCCAAATGTAACAACACTGTATTTTCTATGAAGAAAAAATTTCCCATTGCCAAAATTGCCTTGCACGTGCTCTCTACAATTGTCATGTGCTCAACAAAATTCTCTTGGGAATTCATGGACCTTTGACAAGTTCTTATTAGGTTGGAATGCATTAGAAAAACAAAGTCACTTAGAAAATTTTAATGACTAAATTTTGATAATTTCTATATGTTATTTTCATGGGATTTTCATAAGGCAACATTTCAATAATCTTCATATGTAAAATATTTCGTAATTTTTCTATGTTCTTAACAACTTATGTTTCGACTCATAACAATGAAAATGCTGTTTCTTTCTGAAAGTCTTTAGGACATAGCACTTAATAAAGAAATTTGAAGAAATTAAGATTTTTTAGAAGAATATCGACCTTCGCTCTCGCTGTAAATTTCCCATCTCACCAACACCCCTTTTCTTCCAAAGAGCAAAAACCAAACACACACTCTAACCAACCAACAGCAACCAAGCAAGACACCCCAAAAACTCAACATTTCCACTAGCGAAAGCAAAGGTCGATAAAATTACAAGATTTTGGACTATTTGAGCTGATTTTTTGCATTTAGAGTTTTTAAAATGACAATATTTGGATTGGCTTTTTAAATAAGCAATTTTAGAATGATAATACATTTGCTTGAAGCAACCCTTTAGCATGCTCTATCAGAAAGTGTTTGAAAAAGAATTAGAAATCCTATCCAACTCTTAACAATGCCGAAGAACTTATGATTGATCTTTGAGGTCAATAAGATAATATTTTGCTAAAGACCTTCTGACAATTCGTCATTTCTTAAAACTTACACTCTTTTTAAAATCGTTTTTCATTTATCTACCTCGAGAAAGAAAAAAATACTAACTATGCTCTCAAAAGTGTTTTGAAATCATGCTTTGGCTTGGAACAACCTGGAGTGTTTGTGATATTTATAAACACTTGCCTAGATTTGACTTGGAAAACGTGACTTTTAGAAGAAGTTTTATCCAAAAAAGCGCATAAAAAAACTTTGTTTTTCAAACACAAATGCTTTTCTTCCTATACATTAAATAATTATGAGTTCAAATATTCGTAAAATTGGTACAAGCGGCTGATTTAAAAGTAAATATTTAAAATAATTTTAGACGGGGAAATAATCCGAGTGTATTTTTGTATGCATATCAGGCTTTCCTAGATTCTTTTCCAAAGACAAGGTTCTTGACAACCAAAGACAGCGATAAGAACTTATTAAAGATTAATTATCTTTTTAATACTGCTTTGTTTGAAATGTTGTAAATGAAATGCGCTCACCGTTCGTTTGTAAATGGCTTTCTCATCTTCCAGCGATGAAATTGTTGTCCCTCCTAAAAAATATTTTTTCATGCTATGAGCGATGCAACAAGCAAATAATAATTTTGCAAATAAAAATTGTAACTACAAATGATGATTTTACTAAAAATTAACCCTAAAATAAACTTTTTATGATATATTTCTTTTAGTTTGATTGAAAAAAAAAAATTGTTTGTCATGAACATTAGATGAAAAACCATGTTAAGTCCAGAAGAATGAGCAACAAAAAAGTAGCTACACTTTACAGATAAGCAGCCCACTTTGAATCGATAAAAATATCTGATTAAGATGTAATGATGAACACAAAATAAACACAGGTATTGAAATTATAACATGTTGTAAATCTATCCAATATTCATTAAATTGACTGCAGTTTGGAAAGTATAATGAAAAAATAACTTTCAAGAAAATGTACAAGTTCAAAATAGTTCTAATCTTATGTCTTTATTAAATCAATAATTCAAATGAACTTCAAATTGCTTAAAGAATTGAAGACATTGTATCTTGGAATATGGTGTAATGGAAAAAGAAGAATTTTCTAGTATTACATTTAAGTAGATTGAATGATATTATCTTCAGTAATTCGTAATAAGCTTCACAAATTAGCTCTTAAAATTATCAACAGACGCAAAATATTGCAAATTACTCACCAATATTGTAATTTTGCTGCATTATTACCACTTCAACATAAGTCTGAAAGAGAAATAGAATAAAAAATAGATAACACAAAGGCATTTACTACTCAACAAGTATTCAGTACCAAGTACACAGTACAGTACCATCTATGCCTTGCGTTTTGCCTAGCTAGTTAAAAAAGATTGGCTCAATTGTCTTCCAAGTTTATTTCTAGTGTTCACAAGGAGCCATAAACGTAGGGGCTGGATAACACGGAGGCATGTATCTTTAACACTTTAGAAAAACAGAGGTGATGTGCATGTTTGCAGCTCATGGATAAGACTTTTTTTGCCTACACGTGCACCCCCCGCTACATTTAAAATGCTCCAGGTATATATGTAAAAAACACAAAGTAGAAATTAGTCTAGATTATAAATTATATTGCCAAATTTATGTAATGAAGCGATGTTCTTCGAAATTTCAAATCTGGATGACAATAGCAATGGGTTTTCATCTTATTGCAGAATTTCATTAATTGATTTTATCTGACTAAAAACTTACCAATATTTCATACAGACGTCTGTCCCAATGTCTTTGCTGCTAAAAAAGGAAAACCTACGAAGCATGGTATGAGAATCACTAAGAATTACAGAGGTTGTATGCAAAAAACCTCCAGAAAAATAAAAAACTCAATCGCCAACCTGAAAAGAAAAAAAGAGTTAATAAATATGAGTAAAACAGCCAATCGATTAAACAGTATCTCTTAGATAGCTCTACATTTTTAGATATTTTGACCAGATAATGAATGTATCACTTATAGCTGAGCATCTACTTTTTCAAATATTAGAAGACAGTCAATAAAAGAAGGTATTTTTCATAGCCTCTAACAGCATCAAACAAAGACCTGTTATTACTTATTTTGGCTTGATCGTTGTGTTGCTATTAATGATTAGTCTTTCAGAGTGAGCATTTATGTTATATATGAAGAAAAAAGATGTGGAAAATTGCATAAGAACCCACCTTAAAGTAAGCACTGCTTCAGTTCACCTTTAAGTCATCAGGTTTTGCTTCAGTTCATCTTTGCTCAAGTGAATTCTAAAAGTTAATAAAAACATTACAAATAACTAGCAAGACTGTTATTATGCTAAAACAAGAAGATATTTTAACATTTTGATGAATATATGACATTAATAGTTGTAATTCCTTGATACTTTCGATATCTTTCGTTTTAAACGAAAATATAGAGTCGATCTGAACAAGTCACAGGCCGAATAATCTGATGTATAATTCTATTCAATAAATGATTTTTAAAATTACATATAAAGTTTGTGAAAAAAGGTACTAGAAATTACCTCAAGCAGCTAAGAATCGTGGTAAGGCACTTCCTGCTTTATCTTCCCATTATGATCTTCTTCAAGGTTTTAGATCTTTATTCTGCGGAAAAAAAGCAGTCACAGGTAACGTAAGTGTTCTGTATATGGTCGAGTTAAAACTAGAAGCACTAGCATTTTGGCAAGAGCTCGTTGTTCAGAGGATACTCAATTGGTATTTAATTTAATGAATATTTAATGTATATTATCGATGAAGATTATTTCAAATTTTTACAAGGAAAACGTGGTAGAAAATGGATTACTTAAAATTCCTTATGCATTGCTCCATTTTATAAGATAAAAAAATGTTCTTAGAAAATTATTATAAACATATTGAATTTAACAATGACTTTTGTAGATAACTTTTGAAAACATAGAAAAATAATTGCAAAAGTCTAACAGTGATTAAATCTGACAGAGACATACCATTATTCTAACTAAGCATTTGCTGCATTGTCTTTTCAGCAGAAAATTCTCCGAAAAGATTTCTGAAAAAAGCAAAACCTAAAAACAAATTATATCACAAAAAGTGAAAAAATTGCATCCGAAAAACTGGTGAAAAAGTCCAAAAAAGAAAAATTCGACCACCACACCTGAAAAAGAAAAACAAAGTTGATATTTACATGTAAACAAATAAATGCTTTCTAATTTGATATCCGAAACAATCTTATAATTTTTGATATTTTGATCTGATTTTACAAGTGTTATTATAGAAAAGCAATAGGTATATTTTAATGAATTTTAATTACTTAGAGAGAGTCTTGTCATATATTGAAAAACAAAGGTATTTTTTGGTACCATCTAGCAACATGTATAGGCTTCTGATATTTAGTAGGCTGGAAAGATCGTTGCATTAGTTTTAATGACAATTCTTTCAGAGTAAATATTAATCTTATTTGTCAAAATAAAAGAGGTTGAAAATTTCATTAGAACTCACCATGAAATAAGCTTTGCTTCATTTCACCACTTTATCCATTTTTCGTTTAGTTGAACTTTGTCTTACTCAATTTCTAAAAGTATAAAAATAATTATGAATTGCTAACAAGTTTAAAGATATTCTAAAACAAGAATATATTATAAAAGAATGATGAAAATATGACACACCAAAGAGTTATTTAATGATAAACGACTTTCGTTGAAAAAAATAATAAAATCAAGATTTTTGTCTGCCTTGAGAGAAAAATGAAATTTATCTAAAGTTTCACTAGCCGAATACACTTTTTTATAAGAAACTGGCTATAAGAAACGAGTACTTGACAGTCAGAAAAAATTAAGAAACTTCAGTACTCAAAGCAAAAAAATTAAGAAACTATTAAATCGTGATAAAACTGAGAACAACAAAATTTTGTAAAATCCAAGAACAAGATTGCCCTGTTGGCCTAGAACTTAAGACACAGGGGATAAAAACATACATCCCACAAATACAGCATCGGAACGGAAACGGATCTCTTGAAGTGGTAAAAAGGTCACAAACATTTCATAATATCATTCATGAAATCACAATTAAGAAATTCTTAAGAAACATCGACCTTTCCATTGCATTTAAAGATATCATTGCATTGATAATAGTTGAAAATGGAAAAGAACTAAATCAATTAAAATGTTACAAGCAATTACCTCATGCAAATAAGTAAAATTGTGAGGCATTTCCTTCAGTTTTGATTTTTTTCAGGTTATGGTACTTTATTCTGTAGAAAAAAACAGTAAAGTGTAAAATTCGTGCTCTGTGTGTGGTCTAGCTATAACTAAGAAAGCTGGTATATGGGCAATCTCTACAGTGATTTTTTTTAAAACGCTGATGAAAGCTTAAAAATATAAATTAAAAGTCTAACATTTAAATAAAACTGACATTTAAATAAAACTTACCATTATTCTATCCAGACATTGGCTGCGTTGCCTTTTCTACAGATAATTCTCCAGAAAAGATTGTGTCTGAAAAAGTAAAACCTAAGAAGCATTTTTGTCATTTAGAGATAAAAAAGATTGCATGCAAAAAGTAGCAACATCCTTCAGAAAAAGGAAAAGCTCGAACACCATGCCTGAAAAAAGAAAGAACATAAGTAAGATTAAGATTAATTATAAAAATTAGATTAATGAACAGAAGTAAAAATGATTGCTTCTCATTCTATCTTTCGGAGAGTTCTATTTTTGAGATACTTTGATCAGATTCAAAGTTAATAACATAGGTTAACTATTATCATTCATAACCGAGTTTGTTTTGTTTACAGAATTTTTTCATGCATTGCAAGACAATGGTATATTCAATATTTTGACAGCATCTACTATCCTTGACTTGCCATAAAAACATATTCAAATACGACTTTATTGATAAATGTTTGTCTTTGCAATTGCAACCATTTTGAATATTGCACCAGAACCCACCTTTGAATAAATTCAAATAATCACTCCTCCAATTCATCTTTTGATCAATCAAATGCTTGATTCATTTAGAGGAATTCTATTTCTGAAAAATATGAACGTTGTAAGGTAATGTGAGAGCTAAGAATACTCTAAAACATGTGAAATATCCTATCTATACGGATTTCCGGCACCAACTTTGAATTCAGGATGTTTTACTGAGAAATTGTTCCTTGAGGCAATGCCAAAACTAAGCATATCAAATTGTTTGCCTGCTTCAACGATACAAATGCTTTCAATAAATATAAGAACTTCATAAGTTTGATAATTTTGTGGATAATAATATTTGGTAAGTAATTTTCAAACATCGACATATACAATAACGATTTATTAGAAATAAACTGACGCAGAAATGTACCTTTATCATCCAAGTGACGTGTTTTCTTTTCCATTATGGTCCCCTTTCAGTTTTTGATATTTTTCTCTGCAAAATAAGGCATGAGGTCGAGTTGCATCTAAAGAAGGTTACCTGAAGGCGATCTACTTTGAAAGTGAATGAGCACATCACATATTTGATGAATGTTGTCGTTGTAGCTTTTACAAGATCTTACAGAAGTAGGCCTTGATAGCCAAATTAAATTTATATTTAAATGGATTACCTTGGAAAATAATAAATTATTTGAAAAAACAATATTTGTTTAAACAGTTTTAGATGCGTACAATCCGATTTGATCTAATTATTGATTAAATCTGATGAAAAAAATTACCATTTTTTATCCTGACTTTTTTCCTATGTCCTTTCTACAAACTTGTTTCTGAAAAAGGCTGTTGAGTATAAAAGAAAAGCAAAAAAATGCGAAGTATCATTCATTAACGAAACTGTATATAAAATATCCCACCTGAAAAGAAATAAAAGAAATAATAAATATTTTTCTCTATAAAAGATGCTGATTTTGTTCATCTGAATTAATAATCGATGCTCTTTATAGCGATCAGAAAACTTTATGGATACTGTAACAGAACCCACCTTTGAATATATTCAAACCTACACTGCTTTCAAATAATTTGATTCGTTGAGTTCCAGCTTACTTCGGTAGAATGCAATGATAATAGCAGATGAGAGCTAGCAATATTCTGAAACATAAAAGGTATGTTTTGATTATTCTAACAAATTGACTATTTCTTCAGATACAATTCTCATTTGAAATTACGCAACTCGAGCTTGTAGCTTGCAGGCCCAAAATATAAAGTACACTTCTGTTTGCAAAATTTTAAATTATCAAAACAATCTCACTTAAGAATAAAAGTTTTATTGTAAAGACTTGCAATTCAAAATTGAATGTCTATTTTTTGCAATGACAATCGATTATCAACATACTCTTAAACCTACAAGTAAAAATTAATTTGTTTTTTATCCATTTCCTTACCAGTTTATGATTTTACAAAAAACATTACTCGCCATTTCGATATTCAAAAGATTAAGCCAGTTTTTTGCGGAATGATGAAAACCTGAAATATGATATGAATTTTCAAAACTTCGATCCAAAGCTCAAAAATGCTTCAAAATTGTAAACAATACCTGATAAAAATAGAAAGATATAAAATCAGTGGTTTTTATACTTTTGCTTAAATCTTACCCTCCAATTTTTCCCAGGATTCCTAACTTTATCATATCAGCTTTTTGTAAAAGACTGGACCGAGTCGAAAGCTGAAATTGCAGAAAATTTGATAAAAAAATTGGTAGATTTTAAGGATATCCTGTTTAAAAAGAAGATTTTCATTAGATACACATCATTATTATTAAAATATCTACTCGCTAGTATGAATGTAATAAATTTCCATTTATAATTAAATTTATAACTATGATACAATACGTAAAGATATTCAATCAAGCAAAGTATGGAAAATTGATCCAATTACACTAGACTAAAATAGGCAAATAATTTGCTTAAAACGCCATGCTTTGAATCACACTACTTGAGAAGCCAAATAATGGTGACAAAAATTCATACTAGTCGAATTCCAAATGAATTGTCTTAGAGCTCTTTGCATAATAAATTCCAAATGAATTCCAAATGAATTGTCTTAAAGCATCCTTTACACACCAAAGAAGCTGACTGTCAAGATCGCTCAATATGAATGTGATATACTGTTACAGTACTTAAAATACTTTTTCAGAATTTACTTTTTTTAGATGAATATATAGTCTAAAAGAAAGTCAATTTTTAGCAAAATAATTGAGCCACATAGCTTGAACTTCTATAATATTTTTTAAATTAAACATTTGAGTAATCATGTAACAAAATTCACCTTTATTGTGTTCTTCTCCAAAGAACTCCAAAATTAACAGATCAGTTGAAAAACTAGAAAAACTTAAAAACTGATTAGTTTTCAAAGTTGAAAGGAAATTCACAAATCATTAAAATGAGAAATTAATATTTCTATTTGAAAATTCTGAAAATTCCAAAAATAAATTGATTCCTTCATGGTGACAGCCTAGGAAGGATCCGATGGTTTTTTCACATTTTCTTACATAATTTGTTATTAGATAAATTTTCGAATATCAATCAAAGTTTCTAACATAAAAAAATTTCGAAAACTGTAAAAAGTAAGTCAATACTTGTTTACAATAAGAATCTTTGGAATTCAAGTCACTTATGGTTTTTAAGCTTGAACATACTTTCATATATTACTTCATCCTATGTTAAATATTTTATTTTTTTGTTTTATAATAAAGAGAAAAATTTTTAAAAAGTGCGGTAACTGAACCAAAATATTTTTGAAAAAAATCAAATGAGACTAACCTCAAATAGTGTAGAATTCACAGTGAAAATTACCGAGTAAATAATTCCCATCAGAAATTCCTTTTAAATAGAGTCGATAAGAATCATTTTCAAAGCCTCAGAGTAAGAATCAAAGATACTTTATAGCATAAAATGAAAACATGCTACATTCAAGTCCTTTACAGGAAAATAGTTTACAGCTTGCATATAAACATTGTAAGTCATGATCTTCAGGTCTGCCTTTTTTATATTTGCAGATTAATTGATTTTGAAAATTTTTTTGCAGCTTTATGGCCATTTTTTCACAAACCTGAGCTTTTGAATAAGTGATCAAATTTTCGCTCTCCATAAGTTGTTTAGATATTTCCTACGCCTTTGATAAGCATTTTTACAAATTATTGAATTTTCTTGCACTTTGGCAAATATTTTCTGTGTTTTTGATACCCTGCCCATTTGACAGTTTCAGTTTCATTTTTTTAAATTCTGAAAGTGATTATTTTTCAGGTTTTAAAACAAGCATGATTCCTAAACTTTTGGTCCATTAGACATATTCTGTGACCGCAAGCCTCGCATCCAACCGCCAAAAACTAACCTCGCAACAAAACCACCTCTCAAACCCGAACGACCGATACCCAGCCACAACCACAACCATCTCCAAGAACCAAAACTTTATTCAAAATATATCTAGTGAACCAAAAATTTACAGAAAATGCAAGTTTTATAAAAGGGCAAACTGATTAGGTCTCAAAGCTGTTTCTCATTAAAAAATTGTGGAAATAATTCAAAATTTTTGGACTAAAATGTAAAGAAACGTATTTCACAATGACGATTTCTTTCGAAATTAAGTTAGTAAGAAATTAATTCAGTACGAATTTTGATATTTCATCGATCTCTTTATGGAAAAATTAAAACCTCTCTTAAAAGCAAATTATTCTTATTTCTCCCATGCAATTTTCTTTGCCATATCTTTGGGATTTTTAGCAATGGCTATTAAGAAATTGTTCTGTTATATATTCAGAGTACTTGAATCTCGTTAATTAAATCTCTCAGGGTAATCTATCAAAACTTAATGCTATAGAGAAATGTATGACAATGTTTAGAACTCAATACTTTGGTAAATCAAAAAACGCTAGGCAGAAAATTACAATTTGCATATTAGCAAAAGACTATTCTAAATCATTACATAAAAAATATATTATATTATAATGTACATATAAAGATTAAGTTATACTAACATTTTGGCCTGAAGTATCTGCCCTAGTGTTTGTATAAAATCAAAAATGCCTCATATTTCTCTGGTCAAAACATTCGAATTATGCAATAATAGAATGATATTTTTGCATAATTATGCAAAAAGGTGAAAAGCCCCAAAATCTGTTAACTGAGTATCAACTTATTAAATATTCTAAACGTAAAAAACATGTAAATATCGAAAAACGAACCTTTCCCATAATGTCATTTGCTCGCCAGTTCTAGGACATATAATCAACTTCAACATCAAGTTTTATCGAATTTCTCTCGAATTTTCTGAAAGAAAAGACAAAGAATCAAATATTATTAAGATCAGATTAATACTTAATTAAGTGTTTGTCATTACAGAATTATAAAAAGACTGATAGACAATTGTATGACAACAATATTAAAGATGATATTGCTCGCATTTGTCCGAAGAAGTGTCTAATATCGATTTTGCACATTGTAGAAAAGTAACAATGATAAATGAACTATCATTTATAACTCAATACATTGGTATTTCTTTATTTGTTTCAGAAAACACTTATGCGAGAAAATCACTAATCTCCTTTTACCTTAGGCCATAATTGTATTTCACAGTAACGCAAACACTTTGGCAGTCAACCCTTGGTTTAAATTAGAAGAGAGAGAATGAACAAAAGAGAACAAACAAGATAGAATGAACCCAAGAGAAAGTAGCATTCGTTATTGGCGGGGAAATAACAGGAAGTCAAACAAAATTAATTTTGCCTACGCACATGTCTTTTGGTCTCCTTCAACGTATTGAGAGATCCTTTCGCTATCAATCCACGAGGAGCAAAGGCCGAACAACTAGAGGATCATCGTTTAAGTTCCCAATAATTTCACGTTTGTTGGTCCTGGCACTAGTGTCTTGGGACTCTGCTACAAATGCCATGAGATTAGACTGTCACAATAGTTGGAATCCTGCAGGTCTACAGTTCTTTCCATTCCTCTTGATACTATATAGGCTGGGCTTACACGCTCTGGTGTAAAGCACAGGACACTACAAATCCCTTGGTGGGTTTATTGAGATTGTTTTTCCTGAGAATGCAAACTGAATCGAATTATTAAAAACAATCCTTTATTTCAGATTTAAAAGGTTGTGTTAGCAAGCGAAAATGGCTACTGTATTCACGGATATGCATACTATGTCAGCTGAAACCCAATGTTTATATGTCCATTTTCTCATTTGATTTTATTGCTCTTCTTGTCGTAAGATTGATCGAAAATTTCCAATGAAACTCGCAGCTGTATGACAAAGCTATAAACAAAACAAAATGAAAGGTTGTTTGAATTTAAGCAAACAAATTTGAACGAGGGTTCTGAACAATAAGTACACTAGAGTAAAGATTTTTTGAAAATTGATCTTTTTATAGTCAAACGAAGTAAAAATGTTCCCATGATCATAGGTTTGTGGGCATAAAAAAGGATAACAGATGCTTTCCTTTTCTTATTTTGATGTTTTTCCTTAAATCTTTGTTATTTCTTCAACCTGAGCCCATATCATGATAAAAATTACTGTTTTACTTGTCGGTCAATTAACGTCCAATGTTGCAATGCTTATAAGTTGCAACTCTGATTTTCACGTTTAATCAGGCAACTCAAATTGTTTTTAGGTATTATTTCTGAGAAACAATCGAAGAATAGAATAAACTGAATGGCTTTCAGCGATTTGGAATGAAGCAGACACAAAAATATTGAATAACATCAATAATTATGAATTATGCATCACTCTAAAACATTGGAACACAGCTAAGGTAGTGTTTGGTGTAACTCCAAGTATAACTCTGATGTTGAGGACGATGGTGATGATAACAATCTATAAATCCTGCTAGTTATGAGAATGATTTCATTAGTCTGTGTATTTATTGTGAGTTCAAATATTTGATGTCAGTTGAATAAAAGAACGGAATAACATTCCCGACATAGTAACCGATGGGGCAATATTATAATAACTTAAAAGAAACACTGATCCATTCGATAAACATGATCTTCTCTTCTTCAGTAGAGCTTTTAATATAACTGGATTAAAAACAATCTTTTGTTCAATTTGCCTTCGATAGAGATATCTAAAATCCTAATATTATCTTTTTTTTGCAATCTGATTGCAAATGTGTTCCGCTACCAATAGGTTTTGTTGGGAAACATATGATGTCTTTCGCAATTGAGTAATATTGCTTTAAATTGTAGTCAAACGCACAAAGCTTGCTACAAGGGGATCGTTAACGTTTGTTAAACGTAGATTTTTGCCATTTGATTGATGAGTCTAACTGAGACAGAAGGCGATAACTTATTCTCTGGTAATCGTTCAGCCAGTCCATCATAGTGTGAAAATATATAGAAAGAGAAAAAGATGTCTGATGATTATCTATCTATGCTGATTCTGGCTGTTGCCATTATCATAGCTAATATTACTGAAATAATCTTTATCACCAAAGTTCGAAGGAATATGTCACTGTTTCAGCTCCTTCTTTTCAGCCTGGCTGTTGCTGATCTTCTTGTAGGTATTTCGGGTTGCTGTATAGCAGTTCTTGAACTGAACGGGGTCAAAATCGAAAAGCTTCAACTCAGCAGCATTGTGTGTTTTGCCATTGCAGCATCTGTGAACCACGTCAACGCGATAACTATTGACCGTCTTCTGGCCGTACGTTGGCCATTGAAGCATAAGTACCTCGTTTCAAGAAAACGAATCTCGATTTGCATTGCAGTCACTTGGTGCGTCAGTATCGTGATGTTGCTGCCAATGTTTGTTAGTGGCAATGATGATTTGACAAAATATATTCTCAGTATCTCTATATTAACATATAGTGGTGCGATGGTCTTCGTCTACTCGTATATCATATACCGAACAGTTGTTGTTCGTCGCAAGACTCTTATCACAGTGGCACATGGCACTGAAAACGCAGTACAGACAAGCAAAGACGTACAGCTCGTTGTTGTTGTGATCATCTTGACAATAATCTTCATGGTTTGCTCGATTCCATTCTGTGTTTATGCCTTTATTACTGAAGCTTACCCCAGGACCATCAAAGACCTTCTGATATCTAATTCCCTATGCAACCCTTTTGTTTACTTTTTCTGGAAACTTCTACAAATGAAATTTAGGACAACGCAACATGCAAGGACACAGAAGAGGGTGACTCAAACATCGGAAGAGCAAGGTGCAATCACCCAGAGGCAGAACAAGGGGACAATTGCTTAATTATTTGCAACAGAATTATCGATTATACATATTCTGTATTCAATTATGTACAATATTTGAAAATATCCGATTTCATCGAGTTTTTTCTCAAAGTTCCACTCTTCCCTTGTTACATTGTTAAATTCCATTGATCTTCAAGTTATGCACTGATCGTCAAGATTTTAAAAAACATTAGGGCCTTGCATCTCAATAAAAAGTCAATATCCATAAAACTTCGGATGTTATAAAAGATTGCTTGAAAAATCATGCAATCCCTATCCACAAATGAAAAAAAATCTAAGTAAGACAGAATAAGCAAAAAAACAATATTTTTAAAAGACTGTCAATGGATTTTACTGTTGTATTTCTTATCAATTTAGTAATTCGTAAGAGGAATAAGCTTTGCAAGAAAGAGGAAATGAGAAATAACAAGATTATCGCTCATAAATATTGCATGGACACAAAATGTTACGAGTAAAGAGTACAGTACAAATGTAGTTTCAAATGTACAGCCATGTCTGTTAACTTGATTTAGACCTCTATACGTATAAAATTCAACGACGATATGGTTTAATCAAACAGAGGAATAACGTGGCCAGCTAGCAAGGTACCTGGCAATATTCCAAGTAAATGATATTAATAATATTGAGTCATATGATAGCGAAACAACTAGCTTTTTAGAGGGCTGTTTACGAATATTATTTTGCTGGGAATAACTAGTCGAACAAATGTGACCATTTGGCTTCATCAAACAGAGGAATCGCGTAGCCAACTAGCAAGGTACCTGACAATATTTCAACTAAATGATAATAATTATACTGAGTAATTTGATAGCGAAACAGATAGCTTCTAGGGGGCTGTTCAGGAATATTATTTTTCTGGGAATAACAAATTAAACGTGACCATAAAGCTTAATTATCTAGCTAGCATTTGCAATTTTATAGCGTCTGTTTAGCTAAGAGGGGGGAGTCTGGGTGAACAAAGATAGGGGGTTGTGACTATCTTTTAAGATTGATTGCGTTTATAATTCAGTTTCAATAAATGCAAACTTCCTATTATCTGAAAACGCCAGTATAGTTATACGCCAGTATAAGCAGGACAAGATTAATGCAAGTCAATACATTTGCAGAGTTTGTACTAAAAAATCCGTAAAAACTCTTTCATTTTACACTTTCATAACTGCGGTACAATTTCTAGCATAAATTTTTATAGAATTCAGAAAAAAGCTGTGATTTCATCTAATCCAACATTCTTGTTTCTATCGAAAAGGGAGTTGAGTGTGCAGATAAACACTTCAGTCAATTATGATACCTAATGCAGTCAGAAGATAAGTCTACAATGGCCTAATGGTGCTACAAATATTTTGCAGCTAGTTCTATCACATCGTTGGATTATAGCGTGGGTTAATTGGACTTTAAATGTTTGTTCTTTATTGTAAAATAACATAGGTACCTATTTGAATTATGAGAGTTTGATTCTGTGGTACTGATCTTAAAAACATTCTGGAATATCAGCTTGAACTGGTAGGGGCTGTGACATGCGAGATAACTAAGATAAAGATTGACATTGATAACAATATGAAACTAAAGCGTTTTAGTTCAACATCAATTTCTAGCCCTAACGAAACCTTGATATAAATTGTATTTCAATTAATTACCTGCATGTTGGATATTAGGTCTGTTTGATTTTCGAAAGAGCTTGAGCCCTGATATCTGTGTTTTGAAATAACGCTTTTATCAAGCTTCTCACATCTGTGGCATCAAAACACTGTGCCAAGGGGCCCTGGAAGACACAAAAACATTAAAATGTTGGCTGCAATCGCATTAAAAAATTACTCATAGTAACTCAATGCATTTGTCAATTGCAAGCCTCTTTTGATCCCTGTGGTCCCGTCCTTGTAGTGTTGTACACTTTGTGAACTAATCAGGAAGTATAGTAGGATGTAGACGTAAGCTTCTATTGTAAAAATTTTTATATGATTTAAAAAAAATCAATTCCACAATTAGCAGATACAAATCAAAAATGGCAACAACTTCAATTGCTCAGTTTCCCATTAAAAAAGGTTGTTGTGGATCCAGGCAAATTTCGATTTACTATCAATGCTAAGCTCTACCTGCCACGGCATTTAGGCTAATGTACAAAAATGTTTTATAAACAAACAGCGCAAATTTAGTTTTTCTTTCATTTGAGGCAACGTGAAAAGGAATTTCTGCCTACCTTCCCATCTGTCCAACGATCCACAATTCCTTGCAATGATGAATCCATCATTTCTCTGAGCTCGTTAAATTTTTGCCAAGACGGAATTTTGACAATGAAACCCTGAAAGATGAATTTAAAGTAAAAATTGTAGCAAAAACACACTGAAATGGGCTCTATATTAATTCTGAATTACTCGAAAATAACATATTAAGTTCAACTAGCCTTTCTCAGAGCACCAAAATTTGGATGTAAGAAACATCAATTTTCGGAAAGCAAATGGTTCTGTTTAGATTGTGGATATATATAAATATGCGAATATCAAAAAGTACTGTTGCCGTTGCCCGGTAATCACATTAAGTGTGAAACTCGTATTAGCAATTTATAGCCGTCCTGTTTTATACATCAAAAGCGTTGATAGAATCTAGATTATAATAATGATTGTCTTTGGCAAGACTTCATAAAAGTTTCAATCTAAGAAAGTTATATAGATAAATCGGAGACGACAAAAAGTTCTGCATATTTCTAAATTCATAACAGGATGCAGTAGTAAACAAGAAAGCAACTCAATGAGCTACATATCGCTGCATATAATTATGACAGAAAAACATTTATTCTCAATACAGGATTCCCAAAGAAAGACCACCAAAAATGACACTAAATGACCATTTCAAGACGCTATTATTGTTAACGTGAATAAATTGTATGTAGAGAATCTAAAATATGAAACTGAACTGAACTATTAAGATATACATCCTTAAAAATTATACGCAAATCTCTAAAAGCGAAATCAGTGCGGTGCTCACTAGATTAAGATCACAAAATGGTTAAGATCATATACTGATGAGGTCTTTGCATTTCTTTAGTTGAAATTAATAAATGGTACGAAACGTTGGAGGAGCAGAAGTTTTCTTCTGAGACTTCCGAGAAATAACCAGAAGTTTCAAAGAATTTTGCCCAAGAATTGAAAAAAGTATTAGGGATTTTCAAAATACGATTTTATGTCTTTTACTGCCATTGCATCGGGTGGCCGTTGCGATCTCTTACTGCAGAGTTACTCAAAATACCTTCAGGTAGCCTTCAGTATATTTATTACATCTATATGTTTAGGATAACTTTCTGAGATTATGGTGTTTCTTACCATGTCGCTAGATGTAACTTCATCTTTAGCTTTTAATGTGAAAACCTCAACTGACCGATCGATCAGGATTTTAAGAAGTCTGTGGAATTGGATCGCTTGCTCACTAGAAATATCCTGAAAGTAACAAAAAAGCAAGTGGCTATTAAACCAATTTTGTACCTTACAGTTCTGTAGAATGTAGAATAATCATGCTTTCGCTCAGTACAGCAATAAAAGTTCTGGTCACAATGGATAAATTTAAGGATAATAGATGGGCTCAAAGTAGGCCAAAGCATTATTTTTTTCTGAGATTTTCTCACAGTTTTTAAACGGTCCGGTCCGAGTTTCGGTCCGAGTTTCGGTCCGAGTTTCGAAAACGGTCCGAGTTTCGTAAGATATTTGTGTATTCTTGGCGAATGTTCAAATGCATGCAAACAAATTTCTTTTGCAAGGAGTAAGCAAGAAATATTTAAGAATATATTCAAGCTCTATAAAAAATCTAAGAATATAAAGAATCAGAAAAAATTAAAGGTTTTACTTATAAAAAATGTTACAGCACGTAAATGTCGGAAAAACGTGTTCAGGGTATATAATGAGAATTGTACAAAGCAATGTTATGACATGCACAATGATAAACAGAACAGGAATGGAATTTTTATTGCAAAATTTGCGTTGTTTTCTTATAAATTCTTGGCATTTTTATTGCTTTTCCATAAATTAATACATTCCAAAAGCTCAACTCTTAACGTGAATGTAAAGACTTACGAAGGTCATGTATATTTTTTCACAAGAAACAATGGAAATGGCTTACCTCCAGTTGAATGATCTGTGAGATGATGGTATCAAGCACAGTGTGGAATAACAGTTCAAGACTGACATCATAAACATGCTTTGGCAAGACGTCCTTCCAAACTCTACTCAGGCGAACGAGCTGACTGATTATCTAGAAACATAAAGACATTTAACTAAACAGCAAATCAGATGAATTAAAAATAGGAGTAGAATTGCTATATTGCTCAGATCTTTTGATTATAAAATTCTGCTCCAATAGTTTTATGGCTAATCAATTACTCAAATTACTAATGTTGACGACCAATTATCAGAGGTGGAGAAATTTTTTTTCTTTCTGGGAACCTAAGAATCTGGCTCAAAACTTTCTGCAAAATTTTAGGGGGTAGACAAATTAACTTTCTGTTTGTGCCTATATGTCTCTATACTTAGTTGATGTATAGAAGAGGACAAGCTTAGTTATAAGAAGTGTGATACTTCTCATTTGAATGTTTGATTTGTTTTTATTTCAATGCTTAATTTGTTTTTTTCTCCTCGAAGTATTGCTATAAAAGGTTAAATCGAATGCATACAATTGTCAGGCACTCAACTTTTTAACATTTCGGTGTCTTTTAACATCGGAGATCTTGATTTTTGGTCAATGCCAAAGCCAAAAAAAGTGTTAATGTTATTTTCCCATGAAGGGCAACTTTCTTGGCTGTTTGAGCAATCTTTTTAATACTTGGGAGCCACCTGCATGCTCTTTTAATTGTTCCAAAACAGATATTCTCAACATATTAGATATGCCTCTACTTAATGCATAAATGCACATAAAAGAGAAATCAACTTTAGCTAGAAATTGATTAATCTAATCAATCATCATGAAGGAAAATCAAAAGGAAAATCCATGCAAAAATCTCCAAACATAGTTTCAGAAGAGTTAGGGCAAAATCATTTGAATTGTATGGTGCATTTTATGGAGAAGGCTTAGCCTAATCTTTTGACAAGTGAGAAGCAATATACGTTTAAATGGAGTCCTAGCATGCAACAAATCAATTTAACAAAGCATATTAACTTATAATCAATGCTGCTCACACCGCAGGCCCGTCGGAACCAGGGGGCTGGGGGCTGGAGCCCCCCAATAATTGCCAAACTCTAGTATGTTTCCTTTTTCCTTCACAACAGTGTAGTAAATGAGAAGGAGAACAATGGGCAGCCACCCCCCCCCAATTTGAATTTCGTTCCGACGGCACTGCACCATGGTGCCGTTTTCTGTGAAAGTAGATTCCAGTATTAATCTCAGTCATAATCATTGTTTGTCTTAAAAGCTCAGCTGCCAAAAAAATTCTGATCGTGAGTGGCTGAGATTTCTGTGAGTTGGTGAGTGTAAATAATGTGCACAAAGAATTTCTTTCCAATGAAAAGAGACTATTCCCCACAGTCCTTTGGCAGCTAAAATTTAGCCGCTCACAGGCGAGCGAGTTGAAATAATATTTTCTGCTAATTTGACTTAACTTATGCCACCAGATTTTTATATTTATTTTCTGCTATTATCTGCTGAAATTTTCTGCTAATATCTTCATCTAGAAAAATTTCTGGGAACTACGTTTCCAGGATCCGATACTTTTTCCACCTCTGCCAATTATACTCCTTGGTATTTTTGTGCCACATCTCAAAATTGATAATCTCTCTGTTCCTAATATCAGCGGTTGTCCGCGCAACATAAATTTCCTGGATTCAGATATGTATAAACATATGCCTCACTCCTTCTCCGCTTAATTTCAATACTAAACAATCAAAAAGATTATAATTTACCTTATAAATTATAGATAAAAATCATGAGCTTTATTAAGAGCTACTATCCTAAACAGTGTTAGCACCACTTCAAACTCTCTCTGCAAGAACGTAATAATGATGAGAACACTGTCTTCGGAACCACTTTGTTATTGATTTTGTTATGATTGGCTTGTAAATACACGTATACTGATGCATGTAAAGGAAAGTTTATAGCATTCCAAACAGCTTGAAGATTGTGGTGGTCGCCAATGGGGTAAGGTAGGGGTAAACCCCAAAGAACACGTGTCAGGGGGTACCCGAAAAATGGCCAAAAACAGGTTTTTTTGTGAAAAATCTCGAAAAACAACAAGGGGTATCGAAACGGGGTTTGCGGGGGTCGTAAGCTAGTGGTGGAGCACCTTTGGCAAAAAACGGCACTCAGATTGGGCGTGGCACCTATTGGGCGTGACTTAGGCAGCCGAAATATACGGATGATGCCTAATTCTTTCTTCACTTTTTAATCTTTAAGTCTTGCGTAATGTCATAATGTTGCTCAGACTTCTCAAAAGATCGATTTCCATTTAAACTCGTTTGTATTCAGATATATCAAAAATAACTATAAACATGTCTGGACAAATAAAAACCAAGTATATGAATTACCACTTTGTATGAGAATCATTAGTGCTGCCTGACGTGAAACTCACTGTTGCAACTTAGAACCTTCAAGGTGTCTACAACAAGCACGTACCTAGCTATAAAAACAAAGGAATAAAGGGAAATGTAAAGAAGATCATAAAAATAAAAAACTTGCAATTACCTGGTCAAATGCCTTCTGGGTGGCAAAAGCATCGTCCTCATTGTCCAAAGATCTAAACCCATCACAAACTGTTACGATCTCTAATAATTGTAGCTTTTGCTTTTTCTAGAATAGGTTAGAACAATTTTCAGTGGATATAACTTGTTGCGAAAAACAAAGCTACGGACTATAAATACATTTTATACTAGTTAACTTTATTCAAGAAGGAATATGTGGGTATTGTAAGCAATGCTATTAAAGTATCAAAAAGGTGAATCGAGACTTTTTGCCAGCAAATGGTTTAAAATTCGTTGCAGACAGTATGTACTTATAAACGATGTTTCGAGCAAAGACCTTCCTCAAGTCAATCAGAATAAGGCCTGAGGAGAAGAAAGAGTCTATCTTGCATATTCAAAGGGGCTTTTCAAAACCTCTGCCTTTTCCAACTGACTTTTGCAAGCTAGGGCTTTTCAAGACATCACAGGGACTTTTTCAGTCATGATAACAAGATAATATTTATGCAATGAAATATACAACTAAATTGGCTATTGCAGCTCATACAAGACAACTGATATTAAAAATTTGCAGCAATATTGAAAAAATCAATGGAAGTTTACGAATTATATCAGGAAAAGTTGAGATAACAAAATAACAGCAAACTTTACGCTGAAATAAAACCAACAGTACTGCTTGAAATCTTGCTTTTCTGTCTCTATCACTAAGCGAGCTCTCTACTAAAGGCTACTCACCAAATTGTCCAAAAAGCATTTCTCCCCACACTTTCTCAGCACTGGTACTAGATCGATGAATGTAGCAGCTCCTTGGCTTAACGTCTCAGGGAGGGTCAGTTTGAACTGATGTCCCAGGGTAATACAATGATGGGCCAAGTACATCGAATTGTTGTAATGAAGGGCGGCTAGTTGAGGTAGTTCAAGGCTCTCTCGATGGTACGTTGGCACCACATCACAGAATAATTCGAACATATTGCGAACACAGTAAAATAACTGAATTGCTCTATGATAAAACGTAGCAGCTAGTAAGAGGGGCTGATAAAAAATGTTGTAAACAAAAGAACATGAATGAGAGTAATTACCAGGGAAGGAAAACAGAATAATAAAATTTCAAAATCCGGCGATCGGTTTGAAAAGGGTTTGTGAATAAAGAGTAACAGAGTGGTTGTTATAAGGTAGAATTATTCGAGTATAAAGCTGATGACAATATCTTTGATGACAATATCTTTGATAACAATACTTCTAGCAAAAGGTAAATATATGATATGAACAATAAAAAAGGGTATAAACCATATATGAAATTGCTGATTACAATCAAGTGAGAAATCGAAGCCACAATCCTTGCCAGCATTTTTGGGACACCTACACGAAGCCTAGCACTGTGATTGATTCTTCGGGGAAAATCCCGTAAATTGATATTCATTGGTAGAATGTATTTAACTGATGGTTCGTTATCAATTTACAAGAAGTTATAAAAATAGAAATTTTAACCATATTTGATCGCAATATAATTGGAAAATGAAGAAGCTTTAGCTTACTCTTTGCTACTCAACATAATACCTTTCTAACAACAGGGAGTTGTTAACAACATGATGAGCCAGTAAATTGAGGTCATAATAATCAAGGTTAAATGGTGTAGAGAAATTGGTTGATTGAAGCTTAAGGTTAATCTCTGGTACCTAACTTTAGTAATAACTTTCTAATAACAGGGAGTTGGTAACAACGCGATGAACCAGTAAATTGGGGTCATAATAATTGAAGTTAAATGGTGTAGCGAAATTTGTTTAAAGCAGCTGCATCTAGATAAGCTACAAACAATTGAGAGCAAAGTATAGAAGCTAAAATCAACAGCTTTGGTGCATCTATGTAAGCAGCAAATCTATAGGGAAGAATTTTTCACAGGTTTTAAGTTTTAGAAAATTAGTAAGTTGTAATTGTAGATGTTATAAATTAGAACTATTTATTAATGAACAGTTTAAAAGTAGTTAACAATTAGGCATTGACATTTCAGTCCATGACCAATGATAACTTTAGATGGGTTTGTCAGGATGCCTTTATCAAAATCTAACATCCAAGTAACAAGGACTGGCAGAAATCGATAGAAAGCTCCTATTTGACAAAATAGCTCAACTTACACTTGAGGCGTGGCCATTGATGCTTCAATCAGCGTTTTGTAAACGAGATCACGAAGCTTCATGGTTGACTCGCTTATTCTGCATTCAGGAAATTTGAAAATCTTTGTCGCGAAACTTCCCTCTGGGATATCCTTCAGGCCAGCAAGCTAACAACACAGAAAACAAAATAGCATTTAAACCAAGGTAAAGTTACCGCAATGTGATAACGAGGGGAATGTCCCTTCAACGTGCATTTTCACGAGACGTCCCTTAAGCTAGGCATTACTGTAGAAGTCCGTCAACAAAATACACCTTTCAGATAAAAAACTAACGCGAGAGGCTTTGACCCTGCAAATCATACATGCACCCAACAACAGCCTGAATTTTAAAAAAGTAGGTTCTTCTCAGCAGGGATTTGCTGTCGATATCTTTTATGAAATTCTACCTTCAGGCTATACTGCCTAAAATGTATTTTACAAACTCCAGGTTCTAGCAGCTTTGAAAACATTTATACGATCTTAAAAAAACATATGTTTTTAACTAAAAGGATTGAGCAGATTTTTCTATAATTTCTTGCCTTTAAATGTTAAAAATCGTGCTCTGCACCTTTCATGAATAGAGATCAGACTACTTTTATTTGATCAGGCATCTCCTGTAACTGAGAAACCAACTTTGCCTCAGTCATCAATTTATTGTCACAAGGCACCTTTATTGCTAACTTTACCAAAATATGTTATTCATAAAACCGGGAAATATAAGCTTTCCAGGATAGGGAAATTGCTTTAGGCTAGATGTCTTGTAAAAAATTTCTCGGTTTACAAGAATTTTGGGCCTTTGTTCAATTTCTTTCCATAAAGGATTAAAGTCATGCCTTGCAACGTCCTTTGAAAGATTTCCAGATTTATCACAATCTTAAATGCAATGTGTTATTACTTAAAGTGAGTTTTAAATTCTCCTCCCTTTTAACAATTCCATGGCATTTATAAGAGAAACCGGATCAGACTTTGCTTGTGAATCACTCATTACAATTGCTACATTTTCAGCTGATAATTTCTGACTGGTAATTTTTGTTAGACTCACCAAAAGATTGGTCTCTTTTGTAAATTTTCTTTCCTTTTCTTCAACATGCGTGACCAAGCGAGCTCTGTCCTCATCTTCCTCAACTTTAACCATGCTATGAATCTCTAACGTCATCAAACTACGAGCCTTTTCTAGCAAATCCTGGATCTAAAATTAGTAATGATTTATGATTTAGAAGCCCAAGGATGGTAATTATTCCAATCGAATCGTTAGGCCATCATATCATGAAAGTCAAACATATCAACATAAAAATGTAAAGTTTTATTCAATCTGAGATTAAAATCTTCGATTCAATCAAGGTTTACTCTCTCTAAGCAAAGACTGTAGAGCTTTTAAGGAAAAAAGTGTTCATGATGGCAGGGGGTGTCCGTGGAACAGAAGGAGCCTACGATAATTGAAAGTTCATTATTCATGTATAAATTCTCGTCCAGTAACACAACTTTTGTATTATACAACTACAAATATTATGCTGGAACTGGCAATAACATAAAGGGGTTTTCTGATGGAGTTAAGTATCATACTGAAATAGGTGAGCAGAGATCAAAATCTTTGAAAAATCAAAGGGTGTGAGAGTTCTTGTACAGTATCAAACATTGTTTTTCTTACCAGAATATTGTTCATATTAATTTTCGTTTATCTTTGTTATTGAATTGCATGTTAATTAGCTTAGGTTTTTAGGCAGGGCACATTGTAAATCAGTTATCATTTTTTCACTATTGAATGTATTACCCTGTATAAATAATTAAAAATCAAACCAGTCTATTTTTGAAGACGGCATGAAATAGTGGAAACATAGCATATTGAAGTACATTTCGTCCCACACCCACCAATGTCTTTCGTGTCACTCAAATTTGCGGTAACAAGAAATTTAGAGATCCACCTGTTGGGGTAGGCTGAAACAATCTTTTCCACAATAAGATTTTACGATGGTGCAAAATACTTCCCCGTGTAACTGAATTTCGTGTTCTTTTGGGGGTCATATTATGAAAAAAATCGGAAAGAATCAATAAAAAAATTCGTTAAAATTTGTGACCCAGATTAATCTAGCTGGCATTTCCAAATTGGCTAGCAATTAATAAACTAAGTCGATTGATATGATTTTTGCTTCTTTTTATGAAAGAGATTATTTAAATAAAGGGTGAGAACAAATACAGAAAAAGAGGGGAAATAACACATGTTTCAAAAAATCATTTGACTTTAAATATGCAATATATTTGCGTCACTTGGTTGCAGTAAATTTTTAATTAAAAACAGCACACAGAGGTAGATTATTTTTGCATAAACCGAGATTTTCTGAATTACTCATTGTTTGAAAGTGAATAAAAAACACGACAAAAAAGACTTATGTAGAGTTCGTTTTCTCTTTGGAACTCTTCAACTAGGGGAGAGATTAGCGGCCACTGATTGGTCAAAAAAGGAACCAATCATACGAGAGCCATCCTCCTCTCACGTGACTTTCGATCCACATCTGTATACAAATTTTCTGGTTACCGATCTGTTTCCGCTTATCAGTGCAATTTTCAAATTGCGTGTTGGCAAACGCTTATTTTATAAAAGAACAAGGATAAAACAGTAGAATAAAATGTGACTTGCCTTTTTGTTTGCAAAATGGATATTGATTCCTTTCACATAGGTGCTCAGGTCCGTATCGCCTTCATCAAGGAAACCTTTAGAAAAAAGCCATTTAGTGGCAAGGTAAACAACATAAAATAAAAATTATTTTAGTGAAAAAAACTCCTTTAAAATTCAGAGACTTCTCACTGTACAAGAGTTCACAGTGTAAAATTTGAATATTAGTTTCGCAGGAGTTATTATATTCTGTACCCCAGTTAGCACACAAAAATTCCAAGAGTTTTAAGAATATAACGGAACATTTAGAAAAAACCTATATATCAAAAGAATGGTTTTCCTTTCTGTCACAGCTACTAATTATGCAAATGCACGCATCCTCATAAATTACAGAATCTTGGACAAAATTGGCGAAGCCATGTAAAAAACTTCTGGTCAATCTGCTGGACTCAGCTGCCAGACCACAACTAATTTCCTTGGATCATGATATTTTAAAAAATTTAAAGATAACAATCGTTACAGAATATTCAAAACACCGTTTCTATTTTCAAACTGTTGTTGCAAAAAACATTCTGTGACAATATCTAGGCTCAAACTTTGCAAACATTGAAACAAATTGGTAAAAAAGTTAGTCAGAAATCTAAGATAATTTAACATCCAGATGGGAGGATGGCCCAGTGTTTAGGGACGTGGTCTACCGTAACAGGGTCTTTGATATGAGTCCCTGCAATATGTGCCGCCACCTCTCTGTTATACTAGGCATAGGAATGTCGAGGTTTAGCAAGGAATGTCCTTGCTAAAAATAGTTGGAACGCCTTCCCAATGAGGCATATAATTAAACAAAGCAAGACTAGAATTACTTTACCAAAATATCACTGCCGCTTCTAAAATTTCGACCCCTTCCCCCGTATAATGTTGATTGATTTTCTCAATACCTTCATACAGCTTTCAGTGAAAATATTTTTACCTTCAGCATCAAAACACCCAAATTGAGCAACACTGTAATAGGGGGCAGAGGGGGGGGGGGGATTTTTCGAAAAAAAGCTTTAGCTTTGCGCAAGTGCTCCAACAATTTTGGCAAGGATTGCAGGTACCAACAAATATGATAATTCACTTACAGCATATGCCTAACATTCTTAAACACTTCTGTACAAGGGAAAAAAACATTATATTAGTTGACAATGCAATAAATCGCGCTTGTTTACAACTTAAGAAAACGGCCATTGCTATAATATGTCATTTGAAGGTATAAATCTCTCACCCAATGAAATGAGCTCTTGCTCAAAAACGTTTGTCACTTTGATGACTATCTCGTATTCTTTAATCTGAAACAAAATACATTTATTAAAGCAAAGTTGCTTGATTAATTGAAATATCTTAATTAAACAAAACAAGAGGCCTGAGGAGTCACTTTTAAGTGTAGAGGTCTTTACCTGTGTGTTGTTTGAAGGAACAGCGTTTGATAAGCAATCTTTAATGATCAATTCACTGAGTTCAGGCCAAATGTAGGACTCTGAAATAAAAATAAAACAACAAATGAGTAATATAAGTAAACAATTAGCGAAATATAAATTCTTGTTCGTTTATATCTGAGGCCGCTTAACCTCAAGATGAATTGCACATGCAGAAACACACAACTATTTTAAGTATTTAACCTACGCTCCATGGCCTAAAAAGCATGTCAAGACCTTTTCCAAAACCTTTACGTGCTCAAGCGCTTATTTAACCCTAAACCATCTTGACATAATGCGACAAGTTTATAACTGTTTTTGCGTCAGTCTCTCAAGCTTGTATATTGAGATGTCAATCACGTTGCATCACTACTAGGGACCTCGATTTACAATCTCAAACGGATAATAATTATTAAAACTTATGATAATTATTACAGCTTTCTAAACATTATTACGACTGATAAATGGTTAATTGTTTACATAGTATAATTCCAATGGCCTTTCTTAATCAAGAAAATACTCGATGGCTATTCGATTATGCATCAATTATGCATCACTTATGCTTGATTTTTTCAATCCCATTTTCAAAATTTGTTCCGCCAAAAAAGGGTTCACGAATAATTAATTTCTGAACTAGTCAAGTCACCGCTATAATTTTTCATATAGTTGAAGATGAGAATAATTCGTTTCAAAACGACCTCTACCATGGAAAGTCAAATACCATACTCTTAATCAAACTCATAAAAAAAATTCTGCTAAAACATATCTTATCCATCATCTTTCATTAAATATCGATTTTAACCACATTTGATTTTGAATGCCTGAATTAAAACTCGTGACGTTTCTTGCCGTAGTCCTCGCATTAAAGTTTCTATTAGCTTTGCATCTAAAGTAATTTTTTTACAGAACCAACTAGTATTCTCTAGCTAATCTTCACAATGCAATATCTAGTCTTATTACAGTCCCTATCAATGCCAAGAGCAAAACATTTTACAAAACTAAAGTCAGAAACAAACATACTTAGTTTTTTGCTATAATCATTTTTCGCTGCCTCTTGTACTCCATTATCGGTTGTGGTTTCTGAACTCTTTCCATTCTCTAAAACCTCTGGAAACACGTGCTTGACGACAAACTGGACAACTGTACCGAGCTTTCGTATCAAAGACACTGCAAATGATGACGTTAGCATGATGACATAATAACACCTATCAGCTACTGCCTTAATCTGAGGCAGTTTCAATATATTTGCGGTATGAAGAAACAGTTATTTCTTTTCTATATACATTTTGGAACGTCTTCAGAGAGAATTAAGCAAATAAAACAATGGACATGAAAGTTGAAGGTATGAGATGAAACTCATCCACAATATACAACAACAAAACAGGATTTCTTTCGGAAACAAAATGTTTCTCTAAAGAAAAAACAAAAGATTAAAAATTCACTACTCAACTGTATCTTACAGTGGAGTCAGAACATATGAAAGAGAAAGATTACCTCGATGCTTTATAAAGTAAACAAGGGTTTGAAACTAGAAAAATTCAAGATAAATTTAAGGAAGATGAATTCCAATAACACACCTGGGTCAATCCGTTTTCCCTTTATTTTTATATCTTCTTTCACAATTTTCAACTATGGAAATAATTTTATAGATTAAGAAATCAAATGTGGTACCGATTGAGGTAGCTAATAATATCAGTTACAAGTCCCTAATATGACGATTCTTTCATAAAACCTTACCTTTATTGGTTCATTTCGGAAGAATGCAAGACACAGTATCCGAACCAGCTTTATTAAAATACGTTTAAAGATCTTTTTAGTGTACTATTGAATATGTTTTTTCTTTGTGACAACTTTCAATACCATTCATGAAACAGTACTTAGAATAAAACGCAATGGAAAACAATGTGCTTCAAAACGAAGTGTAACGTCTTTACCTAAACTTGATTTACATTAACTTTTTACCCGTGTTCAACTTCAATCCAACAAAACAATAAAGTTTGGTCTACAAAACATAGTTGGTTTTTGAAAATACAAATATACAAATAGACAATTTTTCACCAAGCTTATATTCATGACATTCTGTTGACTCTTACGGAAATCAAACGCAAGGGCTTTTACTCTGCAACCTCACAAACTTCAACAGTGCATAAGTTATCATATGGCTAGTTGTGAGTTTCATAAAGTTGCAAAATACTATATGTTTAGAAGGATCAGCAAAGATGCAATATATATCTACGTACTTTATCGTTTTCCACCATTGGCTTCAAACTGAAAAATTTCAAAAAAGATTTTTATTAAAAAAAAGAAAATGAAGTACTTTAATAACTGATTGTAATTTTTAATGAAAACATCGGTTTATTAAGAGGAGACTTGGTAATACAAAACTTTATCTTTTTATATACAGTTATACAATTTAACAAAAACAAATTTATAATGACGATGCCATCTGGAACATGATAGGTATGGCTACCCATTGACCGTTACAAGTGGCACTGATATCAAAATGTTGCTGAGGTTAGCCCTTAGATATTGCCATTTAGGATCTAAAGATACAAATTAAATATAAGATAAAATGTGCACAAGATATTTTTCTTTAGCGCTATTGCTACATTGCTATACATTTAAGGCTAAAAGATAAACAGAGAAGGATAAAATTCTGAAACATTGATGATTAGTTGGTGTTTTCTGGTGCTACAGGGAGCGTTCTGATGCATGAATGCTTTAACTTCATGATTCTTTCAAACTTATGATCAGCATCGAACTGCTCCATCACAAAACTTAAGAAGGCTCGCAGTAATGATTGGAAATGCTGACATTCTAACAATGTGTTTACAGCAAACTAACCAATCGGATAACTAGCATTCATTGCATTTAGTGCTTAAAAGATAAACAAACAGTCACATTAGCCTAATCTGATCAAAGACCTAATCTAAAACAAAGACTGATCAAAGACCTTACCTAAAACAAAGACTGATCAAAGACCTTATCGATAACTGTACCACTAAAATATGCATTACAAAACTGCCTGCTACAAAAACGATAAATCTTTTGTCGAGATGCAATCTCTCTTTGGTAGTGTAGTTCGCATTATAGAACTGAACCATACTCAGTTGAAGTTAAGGTGATAAGGCATATAAAAGCAAATAAAAAGAAAGATTTGGTCACCATAGAGTACCGAAGTGTGACGTCATAAAAAATCTATTTATAGAATTTCTTAAATTTGGCTCCATAATCTGAAAGAACGGCATAAAATACCTCTCAATGTGCAAAATTAGCTAGATACGTTCCAAATTGGGCAAGATATGGCCAACAGAAGATTTGAAGTTTGCTAACGGATTACTGTTATTCTGGCCTGGTTCATAAAGTTATGAACATAAAGTCATAAAGTTACCAAATAACAGAGGTTTGATGGGGCAAGATTCTGTGCTCATATGGCCATATCTCAGCCAATTCGTAGTGCCTTTAACTGATTTTGCATATTTAGAGGTATTTCATGATGCTCTTTTAGGTTCTGGGATCAAAATTCAGAAATTCTAAAAATATATATTTATGACGTCATCACTTCGGTACTCTATTGAAAAGTGTGGTTTGGTCACCTTACCCGTATGGCAGACTTAAGCTATGTCAAAATAGCGTACCGGACTGAGTTCACAAAGAGAAGACCAAGGAGAGGACCTCCCAAAAGATGGAGTGACCAATGGCGCTGGTCTGCCATTGCTAACTGCAGAGAAATATGCATATGATAGGGAAAAACGGAGGAGATTCGTCGAGAAGAATGTGACAAAGCTCTCTGGAGTATGCAACTAAGACTAAGACAAGATTGAAAATAATTGAAATGCTATCAAAGATATTAGATAAACAATCTGGAGCAAAAAATAAAATATGATAAAGAGACAAACTTTGGAAATTTCACAAACGGCTTCAGCAAGTAGTTTAGCATTTTCTTCGCTAAAAAGAAGATAGATTGGACATGAAGTGGAAAGGGTACTGATATTTTATGGAATACAAGAATGAGAAAATTTTATAAACTATTTGCTTGCATGATGCAAATCTTTTCGTATTATCTTTATAGAACATATTTGAATAAAGATTTCAATATGGCTAAGAAGAATAAAACAATACATTTACGATAAGATCTTGCATATTTTACCCAAACAATAAAAAAGGTGTTGTCACTAACAGAGAAAGAAAACTCTGATGTGATACAAAAATTACATGGAATTACAAGATTATAAACCTAAAATATTTTTCGTTTGACACTCTTTGTCGTTCGTTTATCTTGGCATCTTATTACCCAATATTCAAAAAAGCTAAGGATTTGTCCACAGAGAAAAGGTATGCAAATTCTCCTGTTACTTGTTATCAAATAAAAAAGCTGTTGACAATGATTAGTTGCCTCTAACATATCAGCAATAATTATATTTTCGATCGCAGAACACAGCGTACTATAGATAAAGAAGAATTTCTTATCAAGTTTATAAGAGAAAGGGGTCAGAAAACGCTTTAACCTTTTTCTGGATGTAATTTTGCCCTATCAGCCTTCCTCATAACTCTACCTCTTTCTTTTGTCGAGTCTAAACAAAGCTGCTTTACTTTATCGACCATCGTCTAAATTAAGGTAAGGAAATATTTAATCGAAAATACAAACGCTGGCAGATATGCAACTAATCCTAATCAACATACCGAAACTCTTCAGCCGGGCTTCAAATATACCAATATACTCCATTGCTTGGAACAGTGACGTCAGCGAGACAACACCATGAGTTTTGGGATCTATCAAAAACAAACAACGAAAGGCCTGTTATTTCAATTATTTTTTAATTACTTTAATAACTCAGCTATTTGTTATTTTAAAATTTCATCAGAACAACACAGGACTGTTTATTTCATAGACCTATTTATAACTATATTGACAAATCTTTTATCGGTCTTTAACAAACAAAACCAGTTTGAGAAAAAAAACTGTCAATAACACCAGAGGTAAATGTTGGAACCCAAAAGAATAGAACCGGATAAATAGATTATGGTTGGCCGGTCGACCGCATATCCAGTCAGCTGCAGAACGGGTCGGTTCCATATCCGGTCGGTTGCTGATCCGGTCGGTTTTATATCCAGTCGGTTCTATATCCGGTCGGTTGCTGATCCGGTCAGTTTTATATCCGGTCGGTTTTATATCCGGTCGGTTGCTGATCTGGTTAGCTGCAGATCGGGTCCGGAGCAAATCCGGTTGTTTGCAGATCCAGATAATAAGTTTATAAGATAAACACTGAGTGTGAAGCTCAGAAAAGCAACTTAAAAAACCCAACGGCAATGTGACATAAAGATCGGTTTCTCAATTTGGCAACAAGATCAACATCAACGAAATCACGTAAAAAATGCTAAAAGGCATAGCTTGTCATATCTTTCCTTTCTTGATTCAAAGATATTTATGTCAAAAATACATTAAGGCTTGCTCAACCAGGACCCTGATATCTATGCTCACAACAAACCAATGTAATGACTGTGAGAAAAGCAATCGATTTGCATAACAACGATGCCAATCAAATATACCAGCTTCTCTCGTAATTAGGTAACTAAGCAGTCATTGTTCGAACGTTCAAGGACCCTTCTTAGTATAAACGAAAATCTTGCTGAATTTCCAACAAAGTTGTAGTTATCAATATACATTGTCCAAAACTAAATAATGATAACATATAATCATTCTTACTCAGCTTCATTTGATTGAGCATATGAAAGAGATTTCATGTCTGTAATATGACTACTACCTAAGAGAAAATGTGAGCGAGTGCCACGACCAACAAAATCTGAATCTAATTAATATTTTCAATAAAGCTCTAATGATGTAACATTAAGAGAATACCTGGGGAGCGCACTCTAAGGGATGTCCTAAGGTGACTCTCAATGTTATCCCAGGACACCGAGTCAACAGAGCTCCAATCAATCAACTGCGACCAGTTTGATTCAAGAACTGATACCAAAACAGCTTTCTTTCCCCTATACTCTTCCTAGAAGAAAAAGGAAGGGCTATAGATCAGCACGTATTAAGCTTTTCCTTTCAGAAAAACCACATGCTGAGGCTGGTCGGAGAGATCTTGAAGGTAAAAAGGGAAGGACCAATCGACTTCTTAGTTGCCATTACTGCAAATCCTAGGCAAGATTCCTGTCCACTAAAAGGAGACTTAAACCACGTACGTAATAAAATTATCTCAATTTTCAGGGAACGTGGGGATATTGAAAAATACCCGGATCAGCTGATTTTTTGAAAGAGGACTCTCTGTTTAGGAAATTTCTCAGCGGAGATGGTATTCACCAAAGACGGTATTACTTGAGACGGTATACACAGGGCTTGCTACACAAGGAGGCGCTCCATTAACAAACAGTGTCTGCTTACAATCTAAACTGATCAAGCAGATTATGATTGAATACCTAGGGACTCTAACTAATTCATATTAGCAACGTTTTCATTGGACTAAAAACATCCGTGTATCTATAGAAAACATTGCAACTGAAGTTTGCAATCAGACTTGGTGTTTAGCATCAATTGGTGCGAATTCGGCAAAGTTATCAACATTTGTTAACAAAAACTAATAAAACAGATGTTTGTGCGTATTTCCTGGAAATAAATGTTCAGTGAGTAAAGAGGAAGCACTGAAACTATATGTATTCTTTATCTGAATGACAATTAAACATACCACATGTTTCCTTTCAGTCTGGTAATTGAAATCGAAAATGAAGTCTTGCTTTCAATTTTATATTTTATACTGTTTTTAGTACATATGTATGTAGTTTGATGTATGTATAAGATTCACAAAACCAGTCTCAAACCTATAGCCCCCACTTTTTGCCAAAATGCAAAAAAATTACCAATGAATCGACAATCAAACTACTTTTTATTCGGATTTAGCCCCCCCTTACTTTTTCTAGACCCCCCCTACTTTTCCTGAATATAGTAAATTGTGCAATGATTTTGGATTGTAAATAGACTAAGAAAGTTCTCATTTTCAAGAAAAGAACAATTTGAATTTCAACTTACAGTGATGGCCTTGAAAACTCTGATTTCACATGTTTCCGCAGACAGTTCATTGAGATGATTTCTCTGAATTAAGATAACACAAGAATTTTCTCATGGGATATAGCTCAAAAAAGAACATTGTGAAAATTCATAACTTATAGGGTAATACAATATCTCCATAATCATCATAACCAAGCCTTGAGACATGTTAACAAGTTGCACCTTAATTTTTGAAAAATTATTACATCACAGTGAAGTAAGACATATTACTTCACAAGATAAAATTAAGATACAAACGTTCATATAACAACTTAAAAATCAGCTACTAGATAATTAATTGGAAACTTCAGGAAACTTGATTAAGTAATAAAACAGAAACAAGCTCTCCTAAGGAGGGAATACACACTTTCATATTCATTATTTGCACAGATTTGACTTTCCTGTTACATGTAACAAAAACATGAAAATATATTTAAAATGTAAATTTTAGGACATAGAGGGAAAGCTCTAATACTAGTTCATAACAACTTCACAAATTTTCTGAATTTAAGTGTACTTATAATGTACAAAAGATATCATAGAGCAGTCAAAGCAAAATAGCTTAAAGAAAGCACTTGGTATTTTATGATGCTCCATTTGCATTGGAATCAAGATGTTTTATCATAACATTTATCATATGAATAAGAAAGAAAGGACTTCTAACCATATCCCGAACAGATTTGGCAGCTGGAAGGTAATCCTTGTAATGGATGCCATTTGCACATGTATGAATACAGTCATGCATCTAAAAGAAAAAAGATTCACATTAGAGAGATAATTTTTTTGATGATTTAAACCAAATAAATACAACTTAGCTGATATTTTATTTGTGAGATTTTGAGGTTCTTGCATAATTAAAAGGTCAAAGACTGGGAGATAGATGGTTAAAACATTTCAATACTTGAATAAATGCATCTATGGTAATGGAAAAGGTTCACAAATTTAAGCATTCTGATCACATTTGTTGCTAGTATAGCCTTAGCAGGAATCTTGATGGGCTTTACACACAATAATTACTAACAGTGGCTAACCACAACAGTTCAGTTCAGTTCAGTACAGTTCATATATTAATAATTCCACTACAGACAATTTAATAATAACCAACAAGACTAGAAGGAAATAAGACAGTGTGCAAAACAGATAAATACAATGATACAATATAAAAATTCAAAAGTGGGAAAAATTGTATGCAGGGAATAACTTAAAGGAGGAGCTCTCTCAATAGGTAAACTAATCGGGGAGAGAGCCCCCCCCCCCTATTTGAATAATTTTGAGTGAATTTGGTTTTATTTGAATAATGGCGAGGTCACAGTCCAAATCTGGCGGTTGCCTGCTGGATTTAGCTGGAGTTGTCTTCTTCAGTCTTCTTGGTTGTCTGCCGCGAGGCAGGTTCAGCGCCACATGCACCAACCATCACGATCTTTATTTATCCATATGTTTCAGTTCTGCCATTTTCTTTCTTACGCCAATGATAGAACAATGTCATTCTCTTCATCACAACAGTATTGAATAGAAATTTACAGATTTATTGCTCTATATTTAGTAAGTTCCTTTGCCCCCTGCCCACTTTAATTGACAAATGACCCTCATCAGCGTACTAACATGCTTAAAACTGTATGAAAATAAGACAAAATTACACAATGTGTAGCTTGAAATTTTGTTGTAGGAAAGGCTTAATTGTAATATACAAAGTTGAAATGTATTGAAGTTTTCTTCTGCAACCTTAAGCAGCTTTTTCAAGGCCTTGATAATTTCATGGTTTTTCTCATAGTCACTAGTCAATTGATGCAATTCAGATCCAGCAGTAGCCATTGTAACCAAAGTTTCATTCTAGAAAAATAAATAACATACAGGAAAATTTACAACAATATCACTTCTCATAGCATTAAAGATTTAAATAACTTTTAATCATTTTTATAAATCAGTTCAAAACTGGAGTTCTTCTAACAAGTTGAATTGCAAAACTATGATCATGAATTGTAAAATGAGTTTTCTTCAGATTATCAAATATTTTGCTTCTGCATCAGCAAATATATTGTCATATAAACAAAAAAAGATCAAACCAGATTTCAAACACTAAAGCCTATGCAAATGGAAAGCTTGCTCAATGTTCTATGTATAATGATTTGCTAGGATACTTAGATATAATAACATTAATTCCTAATCATCCTATAAAGCATGATACTTGGAATAGCAACTTAGAACCACCCTATTATATACACCAAGAGCATGTATAGATCATCAAGCACTTTGCGACAGACTGGTAACTTTAATTGGATTCATGTAGAAATACAGTTTTGCTAGGTTAATTTTTTGTTACCAAATTTTATTGAAGGATATGTGAATTGATATAGATCATACACATTTGTATTAAAAATATCAGTTTGTGTTCCCATCGACTAAAAAAACCACCACCCAGTAAACTTTGGAATTAGTACAAAGATGTGAAAGTGATCAAATAGTAAAATTTTTCTATATACCTGAATATCATCACCAAGTTTGTTGATTCCTTTTATTAACCTGACCAACTGCTTATTGAGTTCATCTCCTAAGTTAAACTCATGATAAAACTCTGTGTACTGTTTGTAGATGACACCATACATCTGACTCTAAGACCAGAAAAAACAGTGTTAAGCTGCTGTATCCAAAAAGTGCCCAAATTGTCAAATGCTCAAAAGAAAGTATCCGATTCCAATTTAAATGGAAAACAAATAATGAATCAATGCATAAAACAGCAAGTAGATTTTATTTTTCATCTGTTATATCAGGCCTTGCTCTAAGTAAAATGAAGGTGCTCCATAAAAAGTGCCCCTTAGAAACTCTAGGCGCTCTACTTCGCACCTCTAAGTAAATTTCCTTGAGAGCATCCTTCGAGAGCTTTAGGAGATCGAGAGCTTCATATCGAAAGCTTCGGAAGAATGTTAAATATGAAATTCAACGGTGATACCAGAAAGCACCATAATATGAAATAACAAAACATGCAACAAACACTATGTTAATATAAATATAGAAATATAATAGAACAAAGGTGCAAAATTGTTCAGATTTTTCTAAATATGTAAGTTGCCATCATTGATGAGCTTTTATCACTGTCAGTATCACTACTGTCATGTTCAGCTTCACATATTGCTTTATCAAAACGCATGGCTTTAAATCGAACATTTAACTTTGTTTCCTTTTTTCATGTTATCCATTCTATAAGAAACGCTAGAGCATCTACTACTCGCAAAAGCAAATGAAAAATGAGAAGCAATGCAATAATTTGGACAGAAACGCGATCGCTGATTTGCACAGGCGATTTCAAGTTATTAAAAAAACAGAAAATAATATATACTCCAATAGAAGATTAACGCTTGCTCGAAAATCGAATAAATCTGCCGGAGAATATGCTTGATGGCCTGTGTCCTTGATGGTTATTAGAAGGTTATTAGATTAAAAATGATATCGAAAACCCAACGTTGAATTTGCTGACTTTTTCTCAAGGGGTAATCTTACGCAAATCATAATATTGCGGTCTGTTGGGAAGTTTGTTTATGCTTGATCAAGTTGATTCAACAAATTCCAAAAATTTATTTTGCTCCGTGTTAATATTGTTTTTACGTTTTGAGGGGCTCTATAAATCGCTCTCCAAGGCTTTTTTTGGGTGCGCTCTAGGCGCGCGATAGATAGGCAAAGAAGTGATAGAATAGAAGTTATAGAAGGTGTTGGGGGAGCTGTAGTGTTTTAGGAATTGTGATTTTAGGCTGTTGTTTTTATTATTATTATTATTATTATTTGTTAGATACCAGGGTGCATTCCATGTACTTAGACCCAAAGATTTTCGGCATACAACCAAGTTTTTTTTTGGCGTTTGACGTGCAAACAAACAAAAAATTTTTGGCGTACTTAGAATTTTCGTTAGTTGGCATGCTAAACATAAAGCCATGTACATAGTTAACGTAAAATAAAGACACATACACCATATTTTTCTCTAATAATCAGTTTTCTTTGTCTGGCACAACAATGTTTACAGTTTTACTAACTCAACTGCTTTTATATTTTTGGTGTACCTAAACAAATGCCCCAGTGGACCTTTGGCGTACAGTTGACATGGAATGCACCCTGGGTTAGATACTTTCATCTATTCTGTTGCCTGTCTATGTTATATGTCTATTTATCACACTTTTAAGCTTGTGACTCCCTTTCTGGGAAAAATGCGGGTCACTGTAATTTTGTTGTGACGCTTTACAGCGTTCCTTTGTTTGTGTTTTAGGGTCATTCCATGTCAATTCACCGAGGCCATGTCACCCACCATCTCAGATTTTGCCAATTTTCATATATCATGTGCCAACTGATAAGAATAGTTCATTCTCAAAATTTCAGACCATTATCTTTAGTACTTTTTGAGATATCCAGATTTGAATTTTCAAGAATTTTCAGGTAAAATTACCAGAATCCGCCATCTTGGATCTTCATACAGAGGACAACTAAAAACCCAATTCTAATATCTGAAAAGAAAATGACCATAACAAATCAAAATGAACTTATTTATGTAAATTTAGCTATGAGGAATTCAAAAATGACATCAAATGAATATCTGACAGATCTGAAAGATTCTATTTATAGAAATCACTGCAGGGGTTGAAAAATTGAAAGATTCCGAAAAGACAATTGTGTCAAATTTCATTTTGGAATTTCATGATGTTTGACAGGTAGCACCAGAATGAATTTTTGCAGTTAAATTTGAGGTACATTGAGGTACCAAAATATTGAATTCTGACTTGGTGTCTCTTCTTGTTCAAGAGCTACAAGCAGCTAAAGTAAACTGAAAATATTGTCAAATTTCTTGTGCGAAAGTTCCTTTTTTAATGTAATGTGTATGTTTGTAGACATATAACTAGCAATATTTGAAGTTTAATCAACTCATTCTGTGTACACAATAAGCAAAGCATTCATTTAAATTAAAGATTTGTTATCTATCACTTTTTTACAGTGGATAATGTACAGTGGACCACACCCACTATGGGTGCGGCAAAATTGAACACCATGGGAAGGCTGTATTACCTAAGAAATTTTCAGACTTCACTCGAAAAGGTTGCAAATAAACACTTTTTCCTTGAAGCTACAAGAAATCAAAAGCACAAAATCTTTTTGATAGTGCTCAAGGTAAATAGTTTGTAGAAACAGGTATAAAATTACAATCTAATTTCATTTTATCTTGAATACATGAATATACCAAATTGTAAGTTTTTCAAAAGTGTCCAAGTTCTTATTGGCTCACTTTTGTAAGAAAAAATAATGCCTTACAGGCTCGTCATAATTTCCTTGGTTTTCGTGAGATCTTTGTCTGCAATTTAATATTGTCACCCAGTTGCTGTGAAGGGTGTTTCTATCTAACTAGAAATGGTAGAATATGTCAATTCGAAATAAACAAAATGTTAGCAGATATGTTAGCCCAGTTTTCTATTGCTTATCAGTTTTGTTGTGTTGCAGAAAGTTGGCTATCTCCACCTATAAATCTTTTCATAAAATGGCGGCAATATTCGTATTTTGTCCTTCATTAAACTGATTATTTCGTCAAAATCCTTTGCCTTTCTTTCAGTCTCACAATAATCGCTTTCAGCTTCTTCACTGTCCATCAGTTGATCGGGCATGACGTTGATAGTTTCTGCAACAACGTTTAAGATTTTTGATTGCTTTTCGGCCAGTTTGGTTTTTACTTCGTCGAGTTTGCGTTTGCCGTAAGAAGCTCTTGAATGCTTCGGAACAGAATGCAGCTTTATCGAACTAACGTCAATATCCTCAAGAGTTATGTCAAGGTCTTCTTTTTGTTGTTTCCAAGCTCCTTCCGGAAAGCATACATCTGGATCATTATCATCATCATTCCCTTCTGAGGTTTTCAATCTTTCAGACATCTCTCTCCGACAAGTTGGGCATAACTTTTGTCCAGGTACGAAGTAAATATTGATTTTATGATAGCTTTTCGAAGATACTATTGACACTTCCCTCAAAGAGCCTTTAACAGGATTCTTATGCTTTTGGAAGGGGTCGCAGCACTTCTTCTGAAAAGCGCTGTACTGCGCTAAAATTGTTTGTTCGTGATGGTGACAAATTGTAAATTCGGGTCCTATTTCCAGACCTGTTTTTAAAAAAATTAACTCCGCTTGCTCTTTAGTCAACGATTTGCTTGTTTTCATCCCAACTGATCTTGTGTAGAACCGAGAGTGAAACTCTTCTTGCAGATGACTGCCAATTGAACACTTTTCCAGAAACTTACTTACAGACATTTTTTTAAACGCGATAGAAATCTTTCTGCCTCTCGTTACTAAAACTTGACAAAACAGAGTTCGGAAACTTTATTTCTGTTTTGAATGGAAATAAGGAAGCACTAACTGGCTACAAACTGATGCTTACATATTCCATCATGCTGATAATTATCACTTTACCATCATAAGCGGATACTAAGATTATGTTTCACTAATGTAATTTTTCAAGGTCCGTAAATCAAGCAATTTTATTCCTCGTAGCTTTTCAACACTGAGCCATATTTCATTTACAACACTGAATAGTTTAGTAATTATGTTTTAAAATTTTAACTCAATTTAAACATCAATAAGATACAATTACTGATAACATCTATTAAGCAATATTGTAGTTAAGTTCCCGTCGACAACGAATATTGCCGCCATTTTATGAAAAGATTTATAGGTGGAGATAGCCAACTTTCTGCAACACAACAAAACTGATAAGCAATAGAAAACTGGGCTAACATATCTGCTAACATTTTGTTTATTTCGAATTGACATATTCTACCATTTCTAGTTAGATAGAAACACCCTTCACAGCAACTGGGTGACAATATTAAATTGCAGACAAAGATCTCACGAAAACCAAGGAAATTATGACGAGCCTGTAAGGCATTATTTTTTTCTTACAAAAGTGAGCCAATAAGAACTTGGACACTTTTGAAAAACTTACAATTTGGTATATTCATGTATTCAAGATAAAATGAAATTAGATTGTAATTTTATACCTGTTTCTACAAACTATTTACCTTGAGCACTATCAAAAAGATTTTGTGCTTTTGATTTCTTGTAGCTTCAAGGAAAAAGTGTTTATTTGCAACCTTTTCGAGTGAAGTCTGAAAATTTCTTAAGTAATACAGCCTTCCCATGGTGTTCAATTTTGCCCCACCCATAGTGGGTGTGGTCCACTGTACATTATCCACTGTAAAAAAGTGATAGATAACAAATCTTTAATTTAAATGAATGCTTTGCTTATTGTGTACACAGAATGAGTTGATTAAACTTCAAATATTGCTAGTTATATGTCTACAAACATACACATTACATTAAAAAAGGAACTTTCGCACAAGAAATTTGACAATATTTTCAGTTTACTTTAGCTGCTTGTAGCTCTTGAACAAGAAGAGACACCAAGTCAGAATTCAATATTTTGGTACCTCAATGTACCTCAAATTTAACTGCAAAAATTCATTCTGGTGCTACCTGTCAAACATCATGAAATTCCAAAATGAAATTTGACACAATTGTCTTTTCGGAATCTTTCAATTTTTCAACCCCTGCAGTGATTTCTATAAATAGAATCTTTCAGATCTGTCAGATATTCATTTTGATGTCATTTTTGAATTCCTCATAGCTAAATTTACATAAATAAGTTCATTTTGATATGTTATGGTCATTTTCTTTTCAGATATTAGAATTGGGTTTTTAGTTGTCCTCTGTATGAAGATCCAAGATGGCGGATTCTGGTAATTTTACCTCAAAATTCTTGAAAATTCAAATCTGGATATCTCAAAAAGTACTAAAGATAATGATCTGAAATTTTGAGAATGAACTATTCTTATCAGTTGGCACATGATATATGAAAATTAGCAAAATCTGAGATGGTGGGTGACATTTCCATTTTTTTCTTGGTGATTTGACATGGAATGACCCTTTAATATAATGTAATCCAAGTTAGAATAATGTAGTCTTACTGATTTGATAATAGTGAGAGCATCTAACACAATAAAGCCCATCGGTTTGCTTACATATAGGACATTCAGCATCCTAAGAAGAACCCTATCATCATTGCAGAGCACAAATAATTTAGAAGTTCAATGATTTGTGGGATATAAGTTCAATTCCATTTAAGAAGCGTTGTTGACATATCTTGACTATAATGAAGCTTATAAATGTTTCTATTACCCTCCTTTAAATCACTGGAACGCCGAATAGATCGGCGTAAAAAGAGAGTGGCTAAAAAAGCAAAGGGAAAACTAAAGGTTCCCAGCCACTCTCCTTCGTGTGAAGATTACCAACTACATTGCATGTTTTGCATTAAATTTTAATTGATTAAAAGCTTAAAACGTTTCATTTTTCTTATCAATGCATTGATTGCTAAAATTAATACTGTGATGTGGGATTGTTTATTGCAAGGAAAAGATGAAAAGCGGCCTAAGTTTTATTTACCTTCAACGAGTCAGTTTTATCAGAGAGTTCTTTCATTGCCTGGCTTAAAGCAGTCGCAGAACTAAGGCCTTTCTTGCTCAAAACATCTGCAACAATACTTGGAGAGCCTTTCATCAAACTAGCCTGATCATCCATGTTTTTAGTTGCGACGACCTTAGCTGGTTCCCCTGACGTACTGTCTAGGCGAGCGGCCATCTTTATTTCGCCAATATTTTTAGGGCGCCAAAATCAGAACGAGGTATTTCTGCACTAGAGAAGAAAATATTTGAGGTATAATTCTAAACTATCCATAGAAAAACGCCAATTTTTTAAGCAATTCGGCTGGGGTTCAGTACTGAAATTCCTTTATTAACCGATGGGCAAACTTGAGTACTCAAGATTCCTTAACGTTTTTCTTCTAAGAAATATCAAAGGATTTCTTCGAAATAAAATTTGGAACAAATAAACAAAGAGCCACGAAGAAATCAGAAGAAAGGTAAAAATGATTGATTGAAAACAATTTACGATAAAAATTGTTTGCACTGCTCATACATGTAAAAGTAACTTTATCTGTCGTAAAGAAGTTTAATTTATATAAACCTTTTTTAAAGGCAACTGTCGCCTGGTGATCGCGTTAAGCGTTAAACTCGGGGTAGCAGGTTAGAACCGTCCTTTTCTATTCACCAAAAGCGTGTACAGAACTTCCTATACGGCACCGAGCACTTTATGACAGGCCAGTTAGCAGTAATCCCTATAACCTTTCTTCATTGTTTAATTTTTCTTATTTAATAGCAGTCTTCCATCTAGTGTATGGGAATTCTTCAGGTTTGCCTTTCCAATGCTTAAGCTTTTGTCTGACAGGCTTCCGAATACAAATCGTCAAAATGATGATCGAAAATTCTAAGCTAGGAAATATATATACCCAGTTTTGAATCGAAATAGGATAATCAAACATGAACGTGTATAGAAAAAATTACCAATGACTTTTAAGGATAAAAACGAGCTCTTTCTGTGTACAACTTTATACTACCTTTCTTACATAACAATAACTATGGGTAAAATGAAAACAATTCACGATGGATCAAAAACGTTTTCCGTGAATTTTCAGCAATGACGTATCCTGGACTAATTCGAGGAAAGCGTCAGTTTATTTAGAGACATTGTGTAACGAAGAATTCGAACAAAAAAGAACTCGTGGACGATATGACCTCTTTTGCCCATGTTTGGTAACTTATAGTGAACTCGTAAGATAAGTAGCTTTTTTAGATTTGTGGCTCAGTTGTGGTTGTGAAGACTAGGAAAAGTCGATGATAATATCAGTTTCTTGCTGAGCTCTGCCTGATATATAACTGAGTAAAGGGTAAGTTTATTCTGGATGGCCTTCATTGATTATCATTTTCGTGCCGTTCTGTTCTTGACTGATGTCTAATTTTGCCGAACTGCCGTTAAATTCAAGGTCATGGGCATCTCTGCATAATATTATTTTTGACGAGCACTTCCATAACTTTACACATTTTTCATCTAGGTCTGTAAACAGGTTACAACGATACATCACATCATTGATTTCCAAAGAATTATGCAAAAACATATTCCAACCGGATTTACAGACTTAATCCAAGCAATATGATCCAAATAATTTAAGAAGAGCCTTCAATCTCTATCAAATTAATGTCTCATATAGCAGGTGTACAAATTCTACTGAAATATATTTATCAACAAGCTATTTGATAAAGCAAAAACTCTTTCATAAGAATCTTTGCATTTACAGCTCACCAAACAACGGGTAGAATCAGATGCTAAAAGTCAAAATAGGCTGAAAAAATACAAACTCAAGCTTTTTCTATAAACTGGCTGTTCAGACATCTACTATTGACTGGAGTATCTCTGGTTGTTCAGACATCTACAAGTGGTTTTGTTCAGTTGATAGCTGTATTTGGCATCAAGATGCGAGCACTTTTCACTATTTTGGCTTTGGTGGTTCTGCCAATATGCCTTGGTAAGTTTAAATGGTACATTATATAGTTTTATTCTTATATTGATAACTTGAGCATTAAGTATTTACTATTTAGAGCTGTTGTATTTTTCTAGCTATTTTTAAGCTTTTTTAGTAAGGTGACAAATTAGAACTTTGAACTGATTTATTCAAAAGGGTTACTTCTTGTGCAAGGTGTTTTATTCTAACATTAGTTCTTGATGAACAATATTCCATTGATGAACAAACCAAGCATTGACGTCATCTTTCATGATCAATTCCTAGGCTGCAATAGCACCCTGAATGGAACATCTGGAACATTGACATCCCCAGACTACCCCTTAAAGTATCCAGATAACCAGAATTGCCTCACCAAGATAACAGTACCCATGGGAAAAGTGATTAAACTGGAATTTGCAACGTTCTTTTTGGAAAAGGCGGATCAATATAACAACTGTATTTTTGACTATGTTGAGATATATGATGAAAAGACTATCAAGAAGTACTGCGGAAATTCAATACCTCCCAAATTTATTTCAAAGAATAACACCCTTAACGTAAAATTTTTCAGTGACGCTTCAATTAGAAAAAAAGGATTCTCAGCATCATATCTTGCTACAGGTGAGACACATACCTTTTTTTTCATTTTTTGGTGCCTGTTTTCTTCAATCTGTCAAGGCAGTGAAGATTTTTCCAAAGATCAAAAAGCCTAGAAAGTTCCTGGGAACGTCCTGTTTCTAGTTTTCATCCCGCACTTGTTGTGTGACAATGGGTCTGTGCCCCAAATAGATGAGAAAACAAAGGTACACGCATTTTTTTATACGAAACAAAGGTCGATGTTGAGTTCTCCAGTTTCTTAATGTTCTGGAAGTTTCAATACTCATTGTTTCTTAACAGTTTCTTAATTATGATGTCATGAATGATATTATGAAATGTTCGTGACCTTTTTTATCACGCCAAGAGATTCGCTTCCGTTCCGATGCTGTATTTAGATGTGGGAAGTATATTTTTATCCCTTGTGTCTTAAGTTCTAGGCCAACAGGGCAATCTTCTTCTTGGATTTTACAAAATTTCGTTGTTCTCAGTTTTATCACGATTTAATTGTTTTTTAATTTTTTTCCTTCGAATACTGAAGTTTCTTAATTTTTTCCGATTGTCCAGTACTCGTTTCTTATAGCCAGTTTCTTATAAAAAAATGAGTGTAGTCCGTAATTATCTAAAATGTAACCAAATCATTGCAAATTTCTTTTGAGAGTAATCAAAACTTTAGTCAAATCCACAAGACTTTTGGGAAGATACAAAGCAAAATCAATGACTTCCCAAGGAGAAGAACAAATATCACTATTAAAAAAGAAAATTCAAGTTAAAAGTTCAAGTTTCGACATAATTTAAAAACTCGATATTACCAATCATTTAAGAGAAAATATACTTTACCTTTTCGAAAAGTACCTACTTTCGCTAAAAATTTTTTCCGGCCGGTGATGTTTTATCTCATACCATTCAACCGTTTATGAAATTGGCTGCGAAATGGTGCACCTGGCAGTTGTTAACTGTTTACACTATAAAATATGATCACTTTAAAAAGTGAAGAACCAGACACCAGAATAGTATTCATTCCACTGTGACCGGCCATGCAAATGTAGCTTCTTCTAGAATCGGATGAAAAATTTTTCGTTTCTTATTATGCAGCAGAAGATGGTTTCCAAAATATTATAAATTCAGATATATAAATTTGTGATTTGCAGACCCTCCACCACCACCGCCATCGGCAACAGTGAATGCAAAGAACTGTGGCACCACGAAAGTTGCTCAATCCAGAGTTATTGCTGGTCAAAATGCAACCAAAGGTGCTTGGCCATGGCAGGTTGGACTTTACACAAAATACGGGACCTTATTCTGTGGTGGATCTCTCATTGCACCAAATTGGGTTGTCACTGCTGCTCATTGCCTTGAAGGCTCAAAGCCAGCAGATATCAAGATCAAAGCCGGTGATCATAATACACAACTAAATGAAGGAACAGAACAGCAGGTTGATGTTGAGAAAGTGATTTCACATCCAAGATATCATGTTGGGTATGTTGTTTTAAATTAATAGCTGCTAGAACTCTGAAAACAAAACATTTAGCTTTAATCTGAAACATATACTGCTTAGGAACTTTTTGGATTCTTGGCATGGACTCGACTAAGGTTGTTAGCAACTGGTTGAAAAGCTCTCGAGCATTGATTAAATGACAAAAGAACAATTATTGTTAAATATTTTAGAGCTAAGGTGATGTTTTCTTCAGTACAAGCACATACTAGATACATTCTAGTAACCTTTCTTTTACATTGCGAGTGCAAGTTTCAAAATGTTTTGTCTTCCCAAGAAACCGATTCCATTAAATCGCTTTGGCATAGTTTAATAGGGTGTGTTGTTGAGAACATGTTCTATGAAACAGTAATGTAGCTAACGATTTGTTCATTTAAAAGGCAATCTGCAGATGGCTGTGTTTACCATCGGCTCAACAACGATGTCGGCTTATTGAAGCTTGCAAATCCTGTTATACTTAATGATAATGTCAACACAGTTTGCCTTCCACCACAAGGACAGAATGTTCCCGTTGCAACCCGTTGCTACATTACTGGTAAGCTGTTGAAAATATATTGGCTTTTTTGACACAGCCAACTTTTATGTCTATAGTAAATACTTGTTTTTACTTGGCTTGTTGTTTCGGGGAATCTTCTCCACATTTCATCGACCAAGATTTGTGGAAAATGAAAAGCACCATTTCTAGCAGCTCATTTTATAAGCGCTTTCTACCAACCAAAACTGTTTTGACTTTTAGTTTATGACGACCTACAACACAAAAGAAGCCATGTGGAAGTTTTCTGTTGCAATAGAGTTGCAGTATAGGACAAAGACCGCGGAGCATATTACGGATTGAGGGGGCAAAAACATTTTGGGAGCTAAACATGCTAAAAATTTAGAGCAGGGCGACTTTTTGTATGTTTTAAGAACATTTTGGAAATTATAAGAGGGGGGTAATATCCCCCTGAGCCCCCCCTCCCCCCGTTTCTCCGGTCCCTGGTATAGGACAAACATGGTATAGTTATAGTCTTAGCTTATTGTGACTAGCGCCATTTCTTCTATTGAAATCACACAATCCTTGTCTTTCAAGATAGGAACAGTTCTCTTCTTTGCTTCTTGAGGCAGGACTTAATGGTGCGACACAACTCTTCTTTACTTAATTTGGTAACAATATTTACTCATTAGTCTTTCAAATCTCAGGTAAACTGCGGAAGTTCTGCTTATGACTAACGGACTCATGCAAATTAACAATGAAAATCGTTTGTTTGCTTCTAGGCTGGGGGAAAATCAAGCATCCTGGGGACAGCTACCATTTACTGCAACAAACAATGCTCCCAGTTGTTGATTCAGCAGTATGCCAAACTAAGATCGACCAAGTAAAATATGATTTGAAGATGTCCAACCAAATGGTTTGCGCAGGTGAAGAGGGTTCCAAGAAAAGCGGCTGTCATGGTGACAGTGGTGGTCCATTTGTTTGCATGGACGTATCCGCCAATAAGTACATCTTGCAAGGTGACGTAAGCTGGGGCTCAGGTCGCTGTGATACAGCCGATGTCTTCACAGTGTTTGGCCGTATGTCTGAGTTCAGGCAGTGGATTGATGACACACTCAAGACAAACTGAAATGAGAATGAACTCATAAAAACAGGTTTCTACACTATTAAAAGCAGACTGAAGACTCTTTGTCGTTTGATCAATCCCCAAAAGTTTTTTCATTTATATTTGATTTTACAAACCTATACAGAATAGTTGCTACACACAAATGTCTTTTTTGTATTTCTTAGTTCTTCGCAATTAAGAAATTGGGTTTGACGGGCTTAAAACAAGGGCTGACTCACTCTTGCAAATGCGTACCGGATTTGAAGAAACTTTTAGATCAAACGAAAAGATTCCCATCAAAGTTAAACGAGATTTCAGTTGATTGATTTGAATCGAAGGTTGTTTTGTTGGCTTCCATAAGCATAAGTAAAATCTGTTTTAAGAGCTAACCAAATTCAATTAGCAAGGCTCTGCCTTGGAAGTCATTCGGTTGACTAGTAGCGAATCTTGCTACTCTTGTTATCAAAGGCTTAACCGAAACATGGCTCAACTAAGCCACTTTATATTTGGAAAGCCTCGAGAAGCTCCTATGCTTCAAGACACTTTTGATTGTATGCTTTTCATATGATCTCTCCATGAAAGACTTTCGTCAATTTGAAGTCTAGCAGTGATTTCATTAGCATGAATAGTAAATTTACACAAATTCAGAGCAAAAGCTAAGTCGTTTTTACCCTGTACAAAAAGGAATGGGCCCAGACAAGAACCTTGTGGAACATCCATATCAAAATTTTGAGTTCCTTCGTATTAACCATTAGCATAAGTCTTAACGATTAACACTAAAAAGCTGCTTACAAGCTTTTAAGTATGATGCCAATTTGATGCCACATATTACATTATCTTCAGTAGAATCGACCACTCGTCACATATCAAATATCTTTTTTCCATTCAATGAAAACAACACCAGTGGATTGAACATTCATCATGTTTATCTACCAATCATCAGTACATTTAATAACGCAAGTAAAAATAATGTGAAATGATCTAATTCCAGATCCATGTTGCTTGTTGCTCAACAGTTTGGTAATGTTTAGATTGCTTTATTAATTGTTTGTAGTGCTTCCTTGCGGGGCGAGGCTGAATGTTCTTCGGGAAGTTTAATTCGGATTATCACCAACAGAGTAAAAATAATTGTTCATCGTCAGAAAAACCTAAACTAGTTAAAGTTTCCTAATCAACAATAAAAAAATAAACCACATTGATTGTTTCCGGTACCTGAAGAGGACAACACAAAATTTTTTTTTAAATGCTAAAATCTACGCTCATTTGATTCGTATTTAGAACATTTATGCCCTTTCAAAGATTGCAAATTTTAGCTGTTTTTTGAAGAAATTAAGCACGACTACGTAACACCCAATAAAATTTTGGAAAACGCCCCATTTCGTAATTGCTTTGGGAAAGGCTATGGCTTTTCACGTGACAACGGCTGGCTAATCAAACACAATAACCATCATATGTAGCTTTCTGTTGGTGACCCCAGTCTACAACTGTTTATTTCATTCACATTTCCTATCAAGTTTGTATTTTCAATTGCAACCACGCACCTTAGATTAGCTTAAAATACATTTCAGAATATTTTTTACAGTCGTTGGCTAGCAATCTTTCAAAACGTTTTAACTTTGTCTGAAATATCAAACCTTCCAGCCCCCTCCCCCTTGAGGTACTAAATTCTATTGTAGTTTTTCACGTTTCTCAGACACCAAACTTCTAAGCATTGGAGGGGGGGGGGGAGTAATTTGGGGAGATCAATATTTTGTGCTTAGTTTTGATATTTCAAGTGGTTACTCCTTGACACAAAATTGCTATTGCAAAATTGCTCTCTGGGATTTTTAGTATGGTGTGAACTCTTCCCAGTTTTACGGCACTTTAAGTTTTTATGGCACATGCTGAGCCAATATTCCTGAAATATTTTTATTGAGTTGCTGTCCTTTAAATGGGAAAGAACGACTTATGCTAGATGCTATTAGGTTTAGTAGCAAATGGACCTTTAACTTAGTAGAAGTAGAATTATTTTAAGTAAAACTAGTCGATGTTAATTTGCTAACAGATTTATCAAACCATAATGAGAAAACAAAACACATATACCTATGTGGAACAGAGGCTGAAACAAAAGAGAATATGCTTTGCATTAATTTCTAAAATGTTGATTTTAATAACTTTAAATCACATTTTATAATTTAGAGACCTGTTGTTATAATAAGTGCATCATCCTTTTAGTCGGCCTTGAGTGTGTCATCAATCCACTGCCTGAACTCAGACATACGGCCAAACACTGTGAAGACATCGGCTGTATCACAGCGACCTGAGCCCCAGCTTACGTCACCTTGCAAGATGTACTTATTGGCGGATACGTCCATGCAAACAAATGGACCACCACTGTCACCATGACAGCCGCTTTTCTTGGAACCCTCTTCACCTGCGCAAACCATTTGGTTGGACATCTTCAAACCATATTTTACTTGGTCGATCTTAGTTTGGCATACTGCTGAATCAACAACTGGGAGAACTGCTTGCTGCAGTAAATGGTAGCTGTCCCCAGGATGCTTGATCTTCCCCCAGCCTAGAAAAAAACAAACAATTTTAATTTTAAAGTTTTATGTGTAAGCTAGTTGTAAGTAGTGCTCCCGCAGTTTTATCTGAGATCTGAAGAATAGTGAGTAAAAACTGCTTTCAAAGACAGTAACAATGTGTTAGTAACTGCAACATAAGCCTACCTCAAGAAGCAATTAAAAAAACCGTTCCTATCTTCAAAGACAAGGATTGTGTAAAATCAATAGAAGAAGCGGTGCTAGTCAAAACAAACTAAGAGAATATATTTGTTCAATGTTTTGCCCTGTATTCTGCTGCAACGAAAAACTTTCACGTGGCTCCTTTTGTGTATTTGGGTATCACAAACTAAAAGTCAAAACAGATTTGGTAGGCAGAAAACGCTTGTGAGACGAGCTGCCAGAAAAGGTAGTATTCATTTCCCACCAATCTTGGTCAATGCAAAATGGAGAAGATTGTTCGAAACGACAAGCCAAGTAAAGATATATAGTTTGGCTGTGTTAATGAAAATTATGCAATATTTTACCAGTAATGTAGCAACGGGTTGCAACGGGAACATTCTGTCCTTGTGGTGGAAGGCATATCGTGTTGACATGATCGTTAAGCATCACTGGTTTTGCAAGCTTTAATAAACCAACATCATTGTTGAGTTGATGGTAAACACAGCCATCTGAAGATTGCCTTTTAAACAGACCAATGATTAGTTTCGTTATCGTTTCATAGAAAGTATTCTCAAAACACACCCTTTTGAAATATTTCATAGAGATTTCATCGAAACGGTCTTATCGAAAGACAGAACTTTCTGAAATTTGCAACACTAGAAACACTAGGAAGTCCCTACATTTTCCTTTGACTGAAAAAATCTTTATCAAATACTACGATATCAAACAACTATTTCCCTTTCGTCTTTCATTTAATGTTCGAGAAAATTTCAGCCAATTGCTCACAACCTTAGTCGAGTCCATGCCAAGAATCCAAAAAAAATTCTATGTAGTATATGTTTCAGATTAAAGCTAAATGTTTCGTTATCGGAGTTCTAGCAGCTATTAATTTAAAACAACATACCCAACATGATATCTTGGATGTGAAATCACTTTCTCAACATCAACCTGCTGTTCTGTTCCTTCATTTAGTTGTGTATTATGATCACCGGCTTTGATCTTGATATCTGCTGGCTTTGAGCCTTCAAGGCAATGAGCAGCAGAGACAACCCAATTTGGTGCAATGAGAGATCCACCACAGAAGAAGGTCCCGTATTTTGTGTAAAGTCCAACCTGCCATGGCCAAGCACCTTTGGTTGCATTTTGACCAGCAATAACTCTGGATTGAGCAACTTTCGTGGTGCCACAGTTCTTTGCATTCACTGTTGCTGGTGGCAGTGGTGGTGGAGGGTCTGCAAATCACAAATTTATATATCTGAATTTATAATATTTTGGAAACCATCTTCTGCTGCATAATAAGAAACGACAAAATTTTCATCCGATTCTAGAAGAAGTTACATTTGCATGGCCGGTCACAGTGAAAAATGACATTGTAAGCAAACCCATTTCAGTAACCTCACTTTGACCAGTTCTAGTTTTCACTGTTTTATAAGAAAATTTTTTGAGTCTGTAAAGCTTTCATTTCTGCTTCGGCCATCGAGAAATTTCGCTTCACTTCTCTGCCTTAAGAAACGAAATGAGGCAATGGACATGAAACCAAAATAACATTTCTCACCTGTAGCAAGGTATGATGCAGAAAATCCTTTCTCAGTAATCGAGGAATCACTGACAAATTTCACTTCAAGGGTGTTAGCCTTTGAAATAAATTCTGGAGGAATTTTCTTTCCGCAGTACTTTTTGACAGCTGTTCCATCAGAGATCTCGACATAGTCAAAAATACAGCTGGAGCCAGTATCCTCCAAACTGAAGGTTGCAAATTGCAGTTTGATCACCTTTCCCATGGGTGCTGCAATCTTCGTGAGGCAGTTTTGACCATTTGGGTAATTCAAAGGGTAGTTTGGAGATGTGAATGTTCCAGATGTTCCATTCAGGTTTCTATTGCAGGCTTGAAAAGAATTGTGATAAATATTATCATTATGAATCAAATGGCACTGCTTGTTTCATTAAATGACAAACTTTTTTACGGTTAAATGATAAATCCTTAGTAAGTATTAGCAGTGTTGAATTTTGTTGACCAAAGAAGTTTTATTGAGAAACAATTTCTATATTAAAACTATAGCTTGAAATGAATGGATTGTACCGAATTAAGCTTATTTAACAAATGAGCACAAATTTTCATTATGCTGCCAAATTCTTTAAAAACTGAAACAGATTTAGAGAAAAATACAAAATGTAACATAGCATAATAACCAATAGTACGAATAATTCAGTACAATTCAAACTTACCAAGGCATAATGGCAGAACCACCAAAGCCAAAACAGTGAAAAGTGCTCGCATCTTGATACCAAATGCAGAAGGCAATTGATCAACACGACTTGCGTTGTCTGATCAACAAGAGATACAACAACGGTGATATTTCTCGCGTTTTTATAGCCAAAGTTTCAGTTTATTTTCTTAGCTTACTTTGTTTTTTGGCATCTGATTCTACACGTTTCTATGTGAGCTGAAAAAATGCAAAGATTGATGCAGACAAAAATTCTTTCTTGATCACTCTTTTCATTGAAAAATGTATGTCAGTAGGATTTTTTCACTGGCTGCACGCACCATTAATTTCTTAGCTACAAGATTTTATTGATGTTAAAAATATTTGGCTGCCTTCTTTGTGTGTCCAGTTGGTAAAATTTGCTAACTTTAGGCTATTGAAACCAGCGATGTGTCAAGAATTTTAAAAATGCTAACAAAGCATAACCAGGGTGATTATGATGCATGGGATATATTTTAGTGAATGCGCGTAGCAAATTGATGTTTGGTCTTAGCCGCCAATGTCTCCTCTAAAAATCAGTATGAATTTGTTCAGCATTTTCCTGCTATTTGAAACATTTGCAAATGAGATACCAAGTTGTGTAAAGATAGAAGGTTGTCAAAAGATTATATTAAGTGTCTAGCGTAAAACAGGCACCGTTTATGCTACGTAAACTATAAACAATACTTTCGATACAATACAATACTTTCGTTGTTTAGGCATTCCTGTTAATATCACTTAAAAGATATCACATAAGACTACCTGCTTCCAAGATTGAGTTTCCAATTCATTTGCACTTCTTATTAGATAAATATTCTCATTATAGCTTACAATACCTGCTTTTACAGCAAAGGTTTGGAACACCAACAGCATTTTGTCATTCAAATAAGCAGTTCCCCCTCCTTCCAAACAATGTTGGGTAATTCTCTTGAAAATTGCACCATGCGAACGTTACCTGTATTATAGAAACTAGGACGGCTGAAGTGTATTTCCAGCATTTTATGTGGGGAAGGGGCAACTCAGTTATTCCTGTAGGAGTGAATTGAAAATTGGTCGAAAATTGACTAAAACTGCTAGGGTGTTGCAAAATTAATTTGAAATTGTTATGCTGTAAACTTCCAATAATTAGATTCATATTGGCTCATTCAGTATTCTCTCTTGGCATCTCTTTACTGGAAGTTTGTGTAAAGTTGAAGATGGTTGTGAATAATGTGCGAAATTTTGACGAATTTTAATGCTTGCGGCAAAAGCTTCATACTTCAGAAACCAGGCAAAAGTTTGAATGAAAACTCATAAAATTCCAGATTTTAGCGTGCATTTCTGTATAATAATGTAGTTTTAATTCATTCACAAAGCTTAAGCGATTCGGAACCATCTTAAAAACGTAAGTAGAAGCTGCATTTTTACGTAGGCATGTAATGTTTTAAAAAGAACAAGGGAAGCCCCTATAAAACAATCAGAAAAAGCAAAGATGAAAAGTAAAAAATGGGTACTTATGGCGTTAGTGGAACGGAGCCCCCACGAGCCTCCTAAACACTACTCCCTTGATTGTATGACTCTAGCAGCATAAAAATAGAGAAGCACAGCTTTAATGCAATTCCTGTTATTATTGACAACAAGAAGTTCAAACTACAATGTTTGCTTTTATTCAAACTACAAACTACAATGTGATCACACTTTCATAACAGTATTCTCAATTCGCTTTCAGTGTATCATCAATCCATTGTCTGAACTCAGACATACGCCCATATACGCCGTAAATTTCATCAATATTACAGCTACCAGATCCCCAACTTACGTCACCCTGCAAAATGTATTTGTTTGATGCTACGTCCAAGCATACAAGTGGACCACCACTATCACCTTGGCAGGAGTCTTGATTTGAGCCCTCTTTACCAGCACAGACCATTTGGTTGGATAGCTTCATGAAAGGATCGCTCGCTGTGAGTTTGGTTTGGCAGATTGTCGAATCAACAATCGGCATGTAAGCTTGCTGCAACATATGGTGGACATTTCCTGTAGGCTTTATTTTTCCCCAGCCTAAAAATAAAGAAAATTTCAGGAATAAGTCAAGCAATTAAGTATAATCAGGGGTGTAGCAGGAGGGGCCAGGGGGCTAGAGGGACCCAAACCAAAATTTGTGCTGATTGTACTAAGTTTGAAAATGTGCACATGTCGCCTCTCAACCCTCTATCCGATGACAGTGTTAGTAAGTTCATGTTTGAGCATTAGCTCTGTACTTTATTTCAAATAAAGTCACTTCTTTATGTTTGTAAAAAAAATTCTGGGCCCCATATGTCAAATTCCTGACTACCCACATGAGTATAATGAAAAACTGCTGCTATTCTAGGCAGAATTTAGAAGAGGAAATGCTTTTATATTTAAATTTTGATTAATTTTACTATTCATAAAGGTTTTGAGCTATGATGTTAGGTGCCCCTTGCTAAGGGCTGTCAATTGACTACTGATTATCTACGGTATCACTTGTTGTTCACAACAATAAGGAAATCTCTTTTTCCCTATACTAAAGATCTAAATTTTAGAAATTTTCCAGTGCTTATATTTTGTCATGTTAACATATGCAATGGTGCAAAGCTTAAACCGGTCTAAGATCATTTAGAGATAGCACTACAAATTAAGGCTCAAATTTCTTTTTCAATATCTAAGTCAACTTCAAGAATTTTTGAGGTTCTACCAAAAAGTCACAACCAGTTAGATATGTTCGAAAAGATTTCAAGTTTGCTCATTGTCATTTTGACTTGGTTCAATAAGTTTAGAACAGCAACCAAATTACAGGTTTGATAGGGAAGGGCCTGTGCACATGTGGCCATATCTCAGTCACTTTGTAACACGTTTGACTAATTTTGCATAGTTAGATGTATTTTATAGAGCTCATCCTGGTCGTTGGGTCAAAATTGTTAAATTATGAAAATAGATTTATTGGCATCATCACAGAACTCTATTGCCATCATAGAAATCCCTTGGTTGCCATGGTTGCCATGGTTGCCACGCACCTGCTGAAGCAGACGGACAAAAAATTTCATGGTCGCCAGAGCACAAAGAGTGCAGAGGAGGAATGTTATTTGAGAGCAAAAAAATTACCATAGAAATTTACTTATCGACAATCTGTTAAAAGACTTCAAATATTTTTGATTTGAACAGTTCAAGGTTGCGCACACTTAAAGTGGATACTGTTGCTCTTTGCAAAGAACATTATAGTGCACACCCGAGATCTTATCGAAAAGTGCCATATATTTATTCTGGCAATATTGTGACTAGAACAGTTGGTAGAAACATTTTATGACATCAATACTCGAGGACTTTATTTTATTTCAGGTATAGACCATCTTTGATTTTGTCCATCTACCTGTTTGGAGATTCAAATATTCTTAAGAAAATTATTCATGCAAATGAATAGATATGAATTCTAGGACTTAACAAATTCAAAGTCATCTTACCAGTAACATAGCAAAGTTTCCCAACAGGAACGTTTTGGCCTTGTGGTGGAAGACAAACTGTGTTGACATGATCGTTAAGCATCACAGGTCTTTCAAGTTTCAATAAACCAACATCGTTGTTGAGCTTGTGGTACACACAGTCATCAGCACCTTTTCTAAGTAATAAAAATCATCATCACATATCGTGTTTTTACAGCGTGTTCAGCAAAGCGAGTTACTTACCTCTGCTTCTATCAATGCATTCAATACAATGCCTGCCCTTCGAAATATACTTTATTCGAAATTTCTACCGCATCTGAAAATGCAATGGTATTCCACTCGGTAACGGCCTATCTATAACTCTATATAAAAACATACCCAACATGATATCTTGGGTGTGGAATCACTTTCTCAACGTCCACCTTCTGTTCGGTCCCTTCATTAACATTCGTATCAAGTTCACCGACTCTGATCTTAATTTCTGTTGGCTTGGACCGATCAATGCAGTGTGCTGCCGTTACAACCCAGTTTGGTGCAATGAGAGATCCACCACAAAATAAGGATCCATATTCACTGAAAAGTCCAACCTGCCATGGCCAAGCACCTTTGGTTGCATTTTTGCCACCAACAATTCTGGATTGGGCTACCTTTGTAGTGCCACAGTTCTTTGCATTCACTGTCGCTGGTGGAAGGGGTGGTGGAGGATCTGTACATCAAGCAAAGTAAGGATTAGCGACAGTAAAAACCCTCATCTAAGAACCTTCTTTTGGCAATACCTGCCAAAATTCTATAAAAAAGGACTGCCTTTCCTTCATTCACATTGGCTGCTTTTCCTCTTCCCTTTCAAACAATGATGGAAAGTTCACCACAGCAATCACCATTTTAACGTAACCTATTTTGTTGAAACTGGGATGACTGAAGTGTATTTCCAACATTTTAATTGGGGAAGGAGCCACTCAGCTATTTTTTTAGGCATGAATCGAAAATAGATTTACAATTAAAAGAAATTACTTTTTGTTCCAAGTACTTTTCAAATCCATTGTAGAATACACCAATCATAAAAATTGATTTGATATTACTAGTCATCTAGTTTCTTCTTTTCCACATTTCTTTATTGGAAGGGTTCAAGAAATGTGCATCTCTTTTTAGAAAGAATATATATATATTTTTCTCCAATTGATCTATAGTAAACAATTTATTGCAGTACAGAACTTAAAAGTGGCTTTAAAAAAAGCGAACATTTCACAACATACTACTGAATGCTTTTTCGTCTGATACTGCTCAGAGTATAAAACATCCACAGAGTATAAAACGCTATCTATGTTGAATAAAAAAAGGTGCTAGAGCTGATCCTTGTAGCATGCCTCCGAATGTTTCACGCTAAATGTACTATTAACTTTAACCCCCTGTCAAAGAGATGAGTCTAGACCATCAGAAAACAGCCTTACAAATTGGCAGCCTTGTCATTCTTAAATTATGATGTTTTGTCTCCTAATTTTAGATCTTTGGCGATTACTTTTGCTTAAGATGCGGAATGCTTGGATAATACTCTTTTCTTTCAAAAGCAATCTCAAAAGGGTGTAGCACGTGGCCAGCTGAAGTTGTATAAATTTAAAACGCCTTTTTAGACTTGGATTTACATCCAAAGAGGCTCAGCAGCCTCAGAGAAAAGATAACTCGCAACAACAATGGTCCTGTTCTTAGAGTCTCTTCTGCTAATTTTCTGTGCCAAGATTAAATTTTCGATTTAATCTCTTGCCAAGGGGCAATTGTATGACCTTTCCAAGGAGAAGGAGAGAGAAAGCTAGCTAGGTCTTTATTCTGATCCATCTTTGCAAATGCTTCAACTTGCACTTGCTTTAATTGCATGACAAAATAGACAGCAGTAAAAAAAATAACTTACCGCTGACAACATATGAAGCTGAAAACCCTTTGCCGTTTGTTATCACATCACTGACAAACTTCACGGTAATTATGTTGCCCTTTGAAACATATTCTGGAGGTATTTGCTTTCCACAGTACTTCTTGGCTATTGCACCATCTTTTATCTCGACGCTATCGAAAGAGCAGCCACTCGCTTCTTCTAAATCGAAGTCCGTGAATTTAAGTTTGATAATTTTTCCTGTCGGGGCTGTTATTGTTGTTGTGCAGGTTTTACCATCTGGGTAATTTGAAGGGTAATTTGGAGATGTAAATGTCCCAGATAGTCCTGACAGGTTGCTGTCACAAGCTGAAATGATGGTAAAGAAACGTTCTTATTACAACGATACGAACAAACTCACACAAAGGAGGTGCAAAAAATTGAGATAAGAATGACAAGTAAAAACACTAAGAAATAACGTAATATAAATAAAAATCCATAAGCTTACCAAGGCATAGCGGCAGAACCACCAAAGCCAAAACAGAGAAGAAAGCATTCATCGTGATACCATACGTAGATGACCACTGATCAAAACGACTTGCAGTTGTCTGATCAACAAGATACGCTTATACCATTTTAAATGATGTACTTTTATAGGCAAAGGCCAAAACATGTTTGCTCTATTGGCCTTTATTTCTTACATCTGATCCTACATGTTGCTACGTTGAAGGCAAAAATGTTTTTCTTCCCTTAAGTTCACAGCTTAATGCGACCAAAAGGAAGATGGCTGGTATGAAAAAATGGTAATTATGAGAGTGATGCTAATCCATGGAAATTTGAAGATGGTTTGTTTGATTGTGTATTCAGTTGCAGGAATATATTCATATGATGCTATCGGAACATTCAATTTGTGAGGGATTAAAAGAGACGGAACGTATTCGGAAATTGTTTCCCAGGAAACTCTTAATCTTTAAATATGCAACGCAACATAGCCACAATAGAGTTTCTCTTGGGACTTTGAATTTACCCGGAAACAAACGCTGACCAAACGTATTCAAACGGGTTTAGAAAAATGAAATGATTTGGAGAGCGAAAATTTTCAAAATCGTCCAGAAGGGGATAATTTGATTGTTTTCTATTCCTTTCTTATTTTGATAAAGCTGGCAAACTGACACATTTTTAGTTGCAATATATACCCACTAATTTAGAAATTATGGAAAGAAAATTACTGGAACGGAAAATCCAAATACTTTGACTGATAGGTAATCTATATTTCTATATTCGAATACTTTGACTATGGGTCAACAAAAATTCGATATTACGAAAGTTCTTTAAAAAATGCTTCTTGATTAATTTACTTTCAAAGCATACTACCCACTGCTAAAAACGGCTTTACAGTCCTGGGGATCAGGTGCTTGCCCAGCACCCGTAGAGAGAGTCCAAAGAGTTGCTGCAAAAATAATTTTCAAATTAACCAAGTCATTGCCATATTATGAAAAAATAGAGAAAGGGAACTGTCAAACTTATGGAAGTTTATAATATACACCTCTGCAAGTGTATAGTTGCATGTATTACACATAGGCTGTATTACACATAGGCTGTATTACACATAGGCTGTATTACACATAGGCTGTATTACACATAGGCTGTATTACACATAGGCTATAAAAAGGTTCCAGACATAATAACAGAGACAGTTTAAAGATAGTTTAAAACAGGAATAGCACCAGAAGGAACTGGCCCATCGGGAAACCGGAGAAATTCCTGGTCTGCCTCTCTCACACAGGGTTCTCAAATTGAATTTTTGAACCTTCAAGCTCTCTCTTGAAATATCAAATGAGACATATCTTAGTTGATTAAAAAAAGGACCATTCGAGCAATGGAACATTTTCTCGGTCGGATTGTTGCATTAACTGGCAGTTATTCATGAGCAAAGAGGTACAATATTGTGTTACTTGCAAATTTTTCATTTGGTCTTCGTGATAAAGAAGCTCAAAGCTCAAAATCACTGAAAAAAGAAAGAATTTTTTTGTAAAAGCGACCTATGATGGTGACGGCGGTGCCATGGTAAAAGTACGACACAGTTGCTTGATTGCTCTATTATTTATTTCTTCTGATATTAAACTTGTGATCAGTACATTAGAGGATCGATTTATTTCTTATTCGTTGACAATATGAAATTACCCGGCCTGTGGCCATGTTGCATTCTCAATAGCCTACCGTATCTGATCTATTCAACGCCCGGGGCGTTTATTCAATTTTCTTGTTTTTAGGATGGGGGTTAATTGAAAAGGGGCATTAATTAGGAAGTGAGCGCTAATTCAAAAATTCCCGAAAGCAAATTTGTGTACCTTATTCTCCGAATTTCTTCCAAAAATCTCAGAAAAATTTTACAACGAAGAAAATAGAACAATCTAAAAACAACCAAACAACAATTTGTCAAAAATTTTTATAAGGGGCTTAGATAGAAAGAGGGCGTTAAAAGGGAAGTGGGCGTTAATTAACTTGCTTCACTTTTAGGGTGGGCGTTAATTAGGAAGGGGCGTTAAAAAGGAAGAGGGCGTTAAATAGATCAAATACGGTATCTGTGTTTGTCAGAGTCCAGAATACGCTACGGCTACATGTCTGTCAGAAATGCGTGGCTGCTCTGAAAATGATGCGACCAGAAGAAGACTAAAAAAGAATCAAGCTGCTGCGGTAACAGAGTGTGTACAATTATGAACAATGATAACCAAATATTCAATGTTCAAATGTGAATATCTGCGAAAATATTCAAGACTTCCGGTAAATCCCGCCAAGCGCGCCCCCCTACCCAGCCCTTTATAACCCCGATGGATAACAGTAACGTTAGCCGAGGACAACCAATGCGTCTGCGCAGGGGTCACATGATGGGAAATGTAAGGTTCCTACAAAATGAAGTAACAAAATCAGTCGCACTCCTACGCGAGATATACTCGCAATCCTGTAACAGTCGCTAAGAAGGAGGGGTCTCAACCCCCTTTTCCCCTAAGGCGGGGATTTTGGACAGCCCGCGTAGCAGGCTTACTTTTATAAAGCTAGTTTCCCGGTCATGCTATTTTTCTGAAGAATGCTTAAAGACCTATTGTTAATGTTCTGAACAGAAAATTAAAGCATGACCGCTTCATAAATATATATGTTCTTATACTGGCATAGTAATTCATGTACTTATTTTGCTCAAATTATTGAACGTCTTGGCCCGCCTTCTTTTCAACCGATTTGTTATATCTATTTTCAAAGGTTACCACAAACCCTCCAAATTGCTGAACCTGAGGTAAAAGCTATGTAAACGAATTCTTAGCCTCCGCTAACTCCTGGTTTGAATAACGGGGTATCCAAGTCAGACCAAAGTTACTTTTTGACTCAAGTCTATGTTTGATGACTGTATATAGGGCAACATCTCTCGGGTTTGTGACTAAATTCTACTTCGGTCTACAGATGTTTAGGAAAATGATTTGATAGACCTGAAAAGTGCTTTCAGTTTTCTTGTTCCACAATTTTTGATCTAGGCCTTTGCGAATGTTATTTTTGTCTACAAATCTTAGGTGCATAGAGAGAGGTCATGTAGCGAATTTCAAGGGAAAGGGTCTAGGTTACCGAAATTTAGCACCTCATCTAGGAAGCTGGGGTGAATGGGAGGTCGGGGCGTGAAAAGTTCCAACTCAATCGGGCAAAAAACCTAGAAGGAGTTCAAACATATATATTTGTGGGATATCTGACCGATTTGAATGGAGCGAGCTCATTTGCATATGATCACATTGGTATTATTGTACAGGGTTGCCATTTGGCCATTTTGACGGCCAAATTTCTCTATTCTGGCCGTTTTTCAAAGCTATTGGCCATCCAAGATTGATTTGGCTGAAAAAGTAAAAGTTGGCCGAACTTTGGCCGCATGTTGAAAGCCACATAAGATACAAAGAAAACGACAATTTTTGCACAGAAAATATTCAACATTTTATTAAAACAATCTCAAAATTGCAAATAGCGAAGCAAGAAACAAAGTAAAAGATAACAGAACATTGAAATTGAAAGCAAGTTGGAGCTTTTGTAACAAACAAAGCCAATTTTGATTACACTATTATTCTAAAGATTTAGCCAAGATGTAGCTTTTTTGTATATTTTGTTTGGCTGGCCGAATTTGGCCGTCACGCGTAAAATATTTGGCTGCCAACCATTCCAAGCATCTGGCAACCCTGTTTTTGTAGATAAAATTGTACAGACAAGGAGGCGATCTTCAGACAAGGCTAAGTTTCTAGGCAAAAGCCAGGAGCATTTCAGCTCGATATTGATTCAGTGATCTTAGATTCTTGCCTAGATTAGCATTCCTCGTTAACATTACTAGTCACTCGAACAAGCCGAACAAGAAGCTTCAAGGTCATTGTCAATTTGTGAATGTCATGTATGAACATGTCATGTTCCTGCTTATGCTACATCTTTGGAAAACTCAGCTGAATCAATGGAACTTGGTTCACTTTCCATCTTCAAATGGAGTTGATCGAGCTGCAGGGTACCAGTGAATTGAAACAGCAATACAAGGAAACTCGGATAATCCCGTTTTATATGGAGTATCTCCATGGTGGATGATGGTTCACATCAAGGTCTGGTGCAGCATGCCAAGAAGATGTGTTGCATGTTTGGAAGTACTTCTCTCCTTTGCGAAAGTCTCTTCTCAAAGATGAATCATGCGAAGAGTCAAATGCGATCTCGAATGACTGATCAGCACCTTGAAGGCAACTTGCGGCTGCCAACATCAACAATTCTGCCAAATATTGAGAAGTTGGCCAAGGACGTGCAGCACCAAATTGCCCATTAGCTTCTTGTAATACACTGAACAGTGAACATGTACTTTACATCTATGTTTGTATTTACGTACAGCTTCCACGTTACAGTACATTTACCGATAAATACATTTTTATTGATTAGATTAGTAGCCAGGTAGAATTGGTATATATTAAAATTATACTGTATTTTGAGTTGCGGCCCTCGTATGCATTTTAAAAATCAAATTTAGCCCCCTGTTTTATAAAGGTTGCCGACCCCTGATTTAGATGGTGGAATGAGGTTATCGGACTCTTTTGGTATTATCCATTTCTTACTTGGGCTTTTAACATCAGTTTAACATTGCTTATTTCTATATTTCCAATATTGTTGAATAAGTGTCTTCCTTGAAAGTTATGAAGAAAACCATTAGAAGATGGTCATACATGAATCTGCATTGAATATAAACTTTTTCTATTGCTATACTGTCAGTTATACTGATAATTTACTATCATTAATATTCCGGGATTATCTACCACATTGGAGAAAGAGAGGACTTTGAAGTATATCACCCGTGTATCGATCGTATGGGAAAAGTATCTGTCTTAAAAACACAACTGTGTCAGTTCAAAGTGTCACAGACTCCCGACACATGTAGAAATTGTTACTGTAGGTGTCCAAGAGCAGAGGGAAACTGAGAAACACAGTCTTTCATGTCCTCATGGATTGTAATGTGTATACGCTATTGACAGCAGGTACTTTACATTAAAAATCTAATTTCATTTTCATTATATTTCTTTAGTTGGCCTTTAATGTATCATCGATCCATTGCCTGAACTCAGACATACGACCAAACACAGAAAAAACATCGGCTGTATCACAGCGACCTGAGCCCCAGCTTACGTCACCTTGCAAGATGTACTTATTGGCGGATACGTCCATGCAAACAAATGGACCACCACTGTCACCATGACAGCCGCTTTTCTTGGAACCCTCTTCACCTGCGCAAACCATTTGGTTGGACATCTTCAAACCATAATTTACTTGGTCGATCTTAGTTTGGCATACTGCTGAATCAACAACTGGGAGAATTGCTTGCTGCAATAAGTGGTGAGTGTCCCCAGGATGCTTGATTTTGCCCCAGCCTAAAAAACAAGGAAGAGTTGCACAAAGGAGAGAGACTTCTTCAGAATTTAAAGAATATCGCAGCAGTAAAGGTTGACCTAACATTTTAGAAAGCATCCTTCAAACAAAACGTGCTTTCTTTATTGATAGGTAGGGTAACTTTTTCTTTGCTTTACATCGGCTGGAACTTCCAGCTCACTTGATCAGTTCATAGACATAAGAGTCTACAGCAGTGCCAATGCCAGCTAATGCAGAGTGGGAGGGTAATGGGCGTGACCGCATGGGTTTATAAATTTCCTAATTATTGTTTTATCTCAAAATCCCTGAAAATCCTTTCGTCGTTTATTTGCTCACTCAACTCAACTAAATGAAACTCAAGAAAAAGGAAAGGATATCATGATATCAAATTTGAAAAACAAAAAAGCATCTTACCAGTAATGTAGCAGCGGGTTGAAACAGGAACGTTTTGTCCTTGAGGTGGAAGGCATATCGTGTTGACATGATCGTTAAGCATCACAGGTCTATCAAGCTTCAATAAACCAACATCGTTATTCAGCTGATGGTGGACACAGCCTTGTGCGTTTTTTCTTTGTAAAGAAACAATTTAATCACCAAAGGTCATATACTTTTACAAGTTATTCAGATAAAACAAGCAAATCCATTAACAATTCTTTCCGTTAACAAGAGAAAAGTTTATAACCAAAATATTCTGGCATTTGCTGCAGTGTAATTACAGTATGTAATCTGATTGCATTTTCAAAATTTATTGAAAGAAAACTATTGAGTGGAAATCATAATGAAAAATATTGAGTGGAAAAAGTCTGGTTTGATGTTCTAGATTTACACATACCCAACGTTGTATCTCGGATGTGGAAGCACTTTCTCAACATCAACCTGCTGTTCTGTTCCTTCGTTAACTTGAGTGTCATGATCACCGACTTTGATCTTGATATCTGCTGGCTTTGAGCGTTCAAGGCAATGAGCAGCAGTGACAACCCAGTTTGGAGCAATGAGAGATCCACCACAGAAGAAGGTCCCGTATTTTGTGTAAAGTCCAACCTGCCATGGCCAAGCACCTTTGGTTGCATTTTGACCAGCAATAACTCTGGATTGAGCAACTTTCGTGGTGCCACAGTTCTTTGCATTCACTGTTGCTGGTGGCAGTGGTGGTGGAGGGTCTTGAAACGAAATGTCACAAAAATAGATTCCTATTTATGACAGCCTTTAGGTTTAAGAGTATCTAGAGCATCATTCTCGTCATGAAATCAAGAGTTTAGGAACAGAACACGTAACAAACAGCATAGCACTAACAACGCATGAAGCTGAAAACCCTTTTTCATCACAACACTGACAAACTTGAATGCAATGACGTTGCCCTAGTCTCGAACTTCTGCTGATAAACCTCTGCGTTTTTCCAATTACTTTCTTGTCGACGAGCAATTGTAGGATCTTCTCAAGGAGGGAGGGAGGTAGTGCTAGCAAGGACTATGATATATGTGCTGGAGACGTGCTCACACATGTGTTGTGGGAAATTAGTAACTTATCAGTACGTATAGATTTAGTTATCCGCATGTTTAAGGAACCAAATTAGATACTTACAGATACAGTAAAATTAAATAGACTCGTGGAAACAGAAATTAAGGAACCATAAATGCACTCAACATCCTGCATGATGCACAGGCACATGGTTAAATCGCAGTAAAAACTGTAAGTCAAGCAAATTAGCATAGTAATCAGTATTATTAGATAATTGGAGCAATTTCGTATAAAAGATTTCAATAGAAACACTAAAGTAGAGTTAGAGTAGAGTCGCTCGAAATGTAGGTAAGAGACGAGCAACGTAGAGTCACGTAATAATTGTATGTGGAATAAAACAGAAAATTAAAGATGTACGAAAACGATATGGTCTTTTTCTTGAGAAATTCGGTGAGTGAAGCAATTAATGCAACAATACATAAGTATGACAAAAATAAAAATAGTGGTAATAAATTCATAGTTGTTGAATATCAATATTAACAAAGATAGTAATAAAGTACAGTAACCTACCACTGGCAATGTATGAAGCTGAAAATCCTTTGCCGTTTGTCATCACATCACTGACAAACGTCACTGTAATTATGTTGCCCTTTGAAACATATTCTGGAGGTATTTGCTTTCCACAGTACTTCTTGGCTATTGCACCATCTTTTATCTCGACGCTATCGAAATAGCAATTACTCTCTTCTTCTAAATCGAAGTCCATGAATTTCAGTTTGATGATCTTTCCTGTCGGGGCTGTTATTGTTGTTGTGCAGGTTTTGCCATCTGGGTAATTTGAAGGGTAATTTGGAGATGTAAATGTCCCAGATAGTCCTGACAGGTTGCTGTCACAAGCTGAAATGACGGTAAAGAAATGTTTGAGAAACGTTCTTATTACAACGATACGAACAAACTCACACAAAGGAGGTGCACAAAATTGAGATAAGAATGACAAGAGAAAACACTAAGAAATAACGTGATATAAATAAAAATCCATAAGCTTACCAAGGCATAGTGGCAGAACCACCAAAGCCAAAACAGAGAAGAAAGCATTCATCGTGATACCATACGTAGATGACCACTGATCAAAACGACTTGCAGTTGTCTGATCAACAAGATACGCTCATACCATTTTAAATGATGTACTTTTATAGGCAAAGCTCAAAACATGTTTGCTCTATTGGCCTTTATTTCTTACATCTGATCCTACATGTTGCTACGTTGAAGGCAAAAATGTTTTTCTTCCCTTAAGTTCACAGCTTAATGCGATCAAACGGAAGATGGCTGCAACAAAAAGCGGTAATTACGATAGTGGTGCTAATCCATGGAAATTTGAAGATGGTTTGTTTGATTGTGTATTCAGTTGCAGGAATGTAATCATACGATGCCATAGGAACACTCAATTAACGAGGAATTACAAGAGGTGTGTATCTTTGTGAATGCAATGAGCTTGACAAAAATAGTTCCCAGTATATCTGGCTGCTGGGTACAATACTGAATCAGTAAACTTAAATCTTGAGAACCTTCTGTAGTGGTAAATCTTGTTTCTTTCTATTCCGTTCATTTTTTTAAATAGCTTGCAGATTCGTGAATTAAAATCAAAGACCTACAATTCGACCGCATTAAAGTCAATTTTGCTTAGGAAAATTTTTAAAAAATCAAACTTCAAATGATTTGTACAAATTTGACTACCCTTTGAAAGTCATCTGACAAAAAAAAATATTGATTAATCTTCGAGTTACCATCAATTGGAATATTCTAATCCACTTCCTCTTAATCTTTTAGATAGAAAACGTAGTCAAATAGCATATTCAGATAGATACTGCTCGTCACTCATTTTGGTTTGTATTTTTTTCCATAATAGAACCCTGTATTAAGATTTTTACAAATAGAATTAAGCAAAAAATTGCTTTAACCAGGATATCTTTTTTGGAAACCGTTTGCTAAGGTGTTAAAGCATTGCAGAAAAGAAAACGTGTTCAATATTCCAATACTTTGTTGTGCATAACATTATAGTTAATAAGCAAACTTCAAATTGGTTAAAATCAACACTAAAACTATAATATCAATAAGAGCTAAACAGATTTGAATTATTACTGGGCAACATGTTTTGTTCCTCAGAAACTGTCCATGACAAATTAACAGCTTTGGCGACCTCAAAACTAATTGGAAACATCTCTTAATTACCACAAAAAACGAATCTCAATAGTAAAATTCTTTGCTAATGAACATTAAAAATATGGAATCCCCAGGTTTTCAGTAAATATTAGTGCTTTCATTGCTTTATACCTGCATAAAATTTTTAAGCTGTAAATTAATATAGGTTAAGTTCAAAGAAATCAAAACAAAAGAGCTGCCTTAAAGAACAAGGTAAAAGTGAAGACAATTGGTATATCTGATGACCGTTGTGAGAAAAATACATTTTATAGGTTGGAAAGTATTTAAAGCAAATGTAAAATGAGATTCAATGCCATTAAAGATACATCCATAGCACCAATAGACAGAGGGCCTCCTAAAAATGTGCCTACCATGTCCTAGTTCCAAAATGACAGAGGGCCAAATGTGCCTAGGAACTTTGATTAAGAGGCAGAATGGTGGCTATTGGCAAGACCCCCTTTCCGCAGCGTAATGTTGATATATCTGTCACTAAAGACTATGCACCCTGGTTATGAATGGGAGCAGGGGGATAGAGTCTGGACTATACATGCATCCATCTCAACAGCTCTGTGGGTGTCTATACTGGGATATAAAAGCACACAATAAAGATTTGGTTTGACACATTCAGTGATGTATAGATGCCACATTTCTTATACACTTCCTAAATTTCATCTACCACACTTGTAGAAGAATGGTTCAAGACCATCTTAGTCCAATAAATTATTCATTTGCTTGATATAGACCAACAGTTATTTCTACCATTTCTGAGGTCATCAAGATGATTTGTATCTGGCAAAATTTATCAAAGCTAGAAACTGTATACTACAAACAAAATATATACATAATTCATGTGATAAGTCTGAGTGCAAGTACAATCAGTCCTAGATAAAAAGACAAATATGACATTTTTACTTGAAAACTGTAACTGCCTAGGCTAAAACCTGATTTTCTTGCATTAAGGTAAAAGACAAATTTTTGCAGTTCACTCCGAGAAGAAAAAGTTCTTCTGAAAATGCTTTCATCAATGTTGGAGATCATATTTGTAGGGCAGAAGTCATTAACTCTAGATGCAAACTCTTCCTCATTGACAAAAAGGTTTTGAGCAAGATACATTGGTACAATCCAGCTTAAAAACAGAGCAATTAAATATAAAGTGAAAACCACAGCTTGATACACATTCCATTCCAAATTGAGCCTCTTGTTTGCTACCAAACTTCCTATCATTTGGATGTAAAAATGGAAAATGATGGGTGTAGTTATAATCATAAAAATATTGTGACTTGCAAATAAAGGCACAAGGGCCTCACTGCTTTTTCTTATCTTTTGTGAGTAATATTGATAGTGGAACTCAATTGCATCTTCTACTTGGCTTTCCCACCTCTGATACATTCTCAGTAAGTTATTCAGACGAATCTTGAACGTCTTGTTGAGTACAAACATAATCCATATCAGAGACATGCAAATAGGTATGTCCCATAAACAAAAAGGATCTCCAAATAATATAGGGCCATAATTAGTCCCCATCTTTGGCTGACCATAGACTTTCAGCCAAAGAAGAGGATCCAGTTTCCATAAAACCAATAAAGGCATGACAATAACAAACGCTGCTAGCATCAAGGAAAAGAAAATGATAATATTTAGACACCTGGAAGCTGATTTCAGATCCTTTATGACGTCATAGTGCACTTCAAAACCTAAGATATTTTGCTCCATACCCCTAGTCTTGAAATACTTTATTGTAAGTACATGGCAGAGCCAGATCCAGACTCGGAACATTAGCCTCAAGAAGTAGAGTTCTATAAATGATTCAGGGGTGTTGGAATCTTGCTTGAACGTGAAAATAAGAGCAGTAATATCGTAAACTAGAATGGTTAGTAGAAACAGGTTCACAAAGAGGGGGTATGCTACTCTCTCAGCAAAGTGTGCGCGTGGGGGATGCCAGAAGCCACAAATACGAATAACTCGACGAAAAACATTGAACTCTGAAGAATTTATAGTTACTGTTATCCCTGACGGATTTTCCAGCTCCATTATAATGTCCTCACTTGCAGTATCGAATGACTGGTCCATGCCTAGGCCGTTTCTTTCTCTCGCGTGCAGCCGAGTCCACAGGTTAAAGGACACATACCAAGTGGCAAACTGCTGGATGTCTCTTTACGACAAAAAGTTGCAAAATTGCTGTTTTTCCCTTTTTTACCATCTGCACTCAAATACTGACAGGTTTTCCTTAAATCGTACAAGAAACAGTTGCGAGAAAACCCACTGGTTTCCACGAGTTGTGTTTTTCCAGTGCCTTAGTACCACCATAGTGGTGCCACTCTATCTCGTTCTCATCCCCATACGATAAACATGAACGAGACTGCACGAAATTTGATTTGGGAGAAATTATTTCGGTAGCAAATATTCTTAGTGGTTCTTATAATATATGGGTCCCAGGTGTTTTTCTTACGCCAACTTGAAAGCACACAAGGAATTCAGACAACTGAAGGAAACAACGAAAGTAAGACATATTTAACAACAAGAAACTGAAATTAATGCATATAAAATATTTGCCAATTCTACAGAAATAAGTTCATTCATAAACACAGTTACGTAAAAATCAATAGCCAAGATAAAGAGAAGGAGTTATTAAATCTGTTATTTGGTCGAATATCCCGTGAAAACTGACTCAGTATCTTTACTTGGATTAGTATGTTTACTTTGAGGGAAGATGCATTAATAAGGCAACTGCGTCACGACATTGACAAGTGCACTTAAAATAAAAAAATACGGAAATTTGACAAAGTTAAAGAGCAATTTGATGATCTCTCTGCCCCGCAAAGGTATGACCTTTAAAAGTGACCACACAATCATAACTCTATATATAAAGGGTCTCTTCTTAAATAAATAAATGCAGGCAAAAACTAACAGCACATGGAAAAGATTAGCAGCACTCCTTATCCAATACTGTTGATTTCCTAAAAGGCTTGGTATCAAACATAATTTATGGCGTCTCGGCCTATGAATCCTAGCCTGGACATCTACAGTCATTCAGAATGAAAACAACAACTAAATTTTAAAAATTATTCTGTTACTTCAAACCCCATTACTCTTTTGCTGTGACAGAATTACAGTTTTATCAAACATAATTTATGGCATTTCGGCCTAAGTATCCTAGCCTGGACATCTACAGTCAATTAGAATGAAAGCAACAACTGATATTTTAGGAATTCTTCTGTTACTCCCAACCCCATTCCTGTTTTGCTGTGACAGAGTCTTATTAAATGTAGTGACATAAAATTCATACCAATGCTACATAGATCCAAAGCATGACAACAAAAAATTCTGGAAACGTATATTAGATGTTATTCCTGATTTCTTGAGTTAAGTTTTTGGATTCACCAGCTTTCATAGGGTTGCCAAAGTCAGTTAAAAGAGTTTTTCAAAAACTTGCTATTTTAACAAAAGTATAATCAATTCAGACCGATAGCTAACTCAAAAGAATAGCACAGCTCCAAAATTTTGATGTCACCTTTACCAAAATAGGAGCTTCAGGTAAATCAATTCTAATTTTGAAAAAAATTCCATGATTCGATACAATAATCAGAACTTGGATTAGTATGTTTACTTTGAGGGAAGATGCATTAATAAGGCAACTGCGTCACGACATTGACAAGTGCACTTAAAATAAAAAAATACGGAAATTTGACAAAGTTAAAGAGCAATTTGATGATCTCTCTGCCCCGCAAAGGTATGACCTTTAAAAGTGACCACACAATCATAACTCTATATATAAAGGGTCTCTTCTTAAATAAATAAATGCAGGCAAAAACTAACAGCACATGGAAAAGATTAGCAGCACTCCTTATCCAATACTGTTGATTTCCTAAAAGGCTTGGTATCAAACATAATTTATGGCGTCTCGGCCTATGAATCCTAGCCTGGACATCTACAGTCATTCAGAATGAAAACAACAACTAAATTTTAAAAATTATTCTGTTACTTCAAACCCCATTACTCTTTTGCTGTGACAGAATTACAGTTTTATCAAACATAATTTATGGCATTTCGGCCTAAGTATCCTAGCCTGGACATCTACAGTCAATTAGAATGAAAGCAACAACTGATATTTTAGGAATTCTTCTGTTACTCCCAACCCCATTCCTGTTTTGCTGTGACAGAGTCTTATTAAATGTAGTGACATAAAATTCATACCAATGCTACATAGATCCAAAGCATGACAACAAAAAATTCTGGAAACGTATATTAGATGTTATTCCTGATTTCTTGAGTTAAGTTTTTGGATTCACCAGCTTTCATAGGGTTGCCAAAGTCAGTTAAAAGAGTTTTTCAAAAACTTGCTATTTTAACAAAAGTATAATCAATTCAGACCGATAGCTAACTCAAAAGAATAGCACAGCTCCAAAATTTTGATGTCACCTTTACCAAAATAGGAGCTTCAGGTAAATCAATTCTAATTTTGAAAAAAATTCCATGATTCGATACAATAAAATTCATTAATCGATTTCTAGCGTTCAAAAATATTTAATTTGATGTTAAAGCATACATAAGGATAATATTCCCGTTGCCCCAGCATCAGCCCAGGTATGTCCACCTAAAATTAGAATACAAAATAATTTCAAACATTATAAAGTGTTAAATATCAGAAAAATGGTGGTAAAGTTTACATTGTAGATTGGGCCAAACTTGCTTTCTGCTTGCAACTTCAAAACAGGGAAATAAAATGGTAAAGATTTAATTTTATCTGGCATTCTAAATTCAAGTCCTACACAAATTTTGGTTAGAAATGTACACGACTAGCATGTAGATGATTACTAAGGTTGACAAAATAAAAAGGTTGACAAATTTTGTCCATGTAATTTTAAAAGACGTGAAATGTTAGATTAACATTCAAGTTTCAACGACCGGAGGTACTGGAAAAACTTTGCTTTTATACATTGAATTGTTAACAACACGAGATGGTGGAATGTTCATATCGGTACAATTTGACGATGCCCTGGTTAAGATTTGGAAAAGCAAAGGACCAAACCTAAACGTTTTTATTGTTTTAGATGCCACTTAAAGTTGGGGGTTAAAGATGTCATTTAAAGCAAGGCTGTTGTAAATGTCACTTAAAGTTGGGGGTTAAAGATGTCATTTAAAGCAAGGCTGTTGTAAATGTCACTTAAAGTTGGGGGTTAAAGATGTCATTTAAAGCAAGGCTGTTGTAAATGTCACTTAAAGTTGGGGGTTAAAGATGTCATTTAAAGCAAGGCTGTTGTAAATGTCACTTAAAGTTGGGGGTTAAAGATGTCATTTAAAGCAAGGCTGTTGTAAATGTCACTTAAAGTTGGGGGTTAAAGATGTCATTTAAAGCAAGGCTGTTGTAAATGTCACTTAAAGTTGGGGGTTAAAGATGTCATTTAAAGCAAGGCTGTTGTAAATGTCACTTAAAGTTAGGGGTTAAAGATGTCACTTAAAGCAAGGCTGTTGTAAATGTCACTTAAAGTTGGGGGAGACAAACCAGCAATGATCTACCGAAGAATTGGAAAAATGCAATATGCTGTTACTTACATCTCCTTGCGTTCCTTTGGATGCTTGTGAATCTAAGTGAGCATATAAATCAAGCAAGACATCTCGCAGTTTTCTTGTTTTCCCTTTGTTTGGCTGGAAGTAAAACAACACAAACTTATAGGTATATAATTCCTAAGAAATATAAACCAAAGTACACGAAGCACATAGGCCTATGAACTAAAACGATATGTGAAGTAAAGATAAAACAAAGCAGTGCTAAAATGTGAGAACTGGATTCATAAATTTGAAACAAATAAGATTGGCTCGTACGGAAAAGGAACATGTCACAACGATTGCATTTTCATTCTTCACAACAAATAATAACAATGTTATATCATAAACGATTATAACTACCTGTAACAACATTGCTTGAAAGTTGACGGGTAATCCGTATCGAAGGACCGATTCGACGAAAACACGGAGGGCCTACAAAAAAGTGAAAGGTGTAGCTATAATGAAATTTCGTTTCTTTGACATTCATGTTTCAAATAAATTTTCTCGCTTGAAACTTGAATATCATTGAATTTCAAAACTTCAACTTCAAGAGAAGAATAATTTCCTTCCAAGTTTCAAAGCTAAGTAATGAATCCCTTAAATTTGGTAATTGAATATTTATCTATTTCCTCTTGTAATGTTTTTTCTAATGAAGTTTTCAAGCTCTCTTGCATAAAAGTGAGTGCTGAGCTTAGAATTGGAAAGGTAACTATCATCTGCTTATGGAAGTATCATTAGTGTGTGTTTCAACTTTTACAAGTCAACACCACGCTCCATAGCCTATTCCAAGGGAAATTAGCGGCGGGGGCAAACCTTTGTTTATACTAAACGGGGGACAAAAGCATTTTGTTTAAAACACTGGAAAGTAATTGGGGCTGCGGGGGGGCAAAAGGCCCTGCTATGCTCCAGGATTTTCTTAAGATTTAAAAATCGAAAAAAGAACTAATTGAAGCGACTACCTTGACATGAATCCAAGCAATGAATGATTCGCCAAAATTGACTCGCAGCCATTTTACAAGCGGTCCCTGTGAAAAAACAATATCAAACAATAATTAATGCTTTAATGTGACATCATCATGCGAACGCGGGAATCTTTGTCTTTTGCACTGTTGATGAAGCCCTGTGATCCGGGTTGAAATAGTAGCCACAGTTTGTTGATGTTTGATTCGGCGCGTTGAGGTGTTCCATATTTGCTACATTTTTATCGACGTAGAATTCCATCGGAATACCGTCGAGCAGCCAGTTATTGTGACCTTTCCTTTATTTACATACAATCTTTTTCAGGCTGTGGGCATTAGGTGGATTGACAAGGAAGTGAGCATAAAGAACATTCCTGTCATCATGATTACTGAAAAATCATATCATCGCAAAGAAAAAATTTTAGCTGCATTTGAAAATATTACACCACTTTATCAAAGCAAACTGCTGTGACCGGAATAGATGAAACGAATATTGCGCCGTAAATATCGTAAGCAATTTTCTTGATCAAGCAAACATTTTCTTAATGAACGGGCCCACACAAGCCATATTTTTTAGAGCAAAGTTCGCCTGTATTGTCTACAATATTGAATACGAAAGATGGCTTCATAAATTAATCTACAATGGTAAATTGTGTTGACAAGTTTTGAAATTTGAATACTCACAAATAGCTTCTTTTTGTCAGATGTAAGACGAGAGATCTCGTTTTTGCTTGCAGCCAACTCTTCTTCGTCGTAAACAAAATCCCGCACAACAAACCTTAGGATTAAAAAAATGTCTCTAAATAATACTCTTTTTTACAAACATCAAAAGTCTGTTCATCTTTTAATCATTATTTGACATAAGTTTCTCTGAGGAGTGAAGATCAGAACGTATTCAGGAATCCTGCAAAATACTTAGGCTGTTTCAAGCAATATCAAAAATAGTTTTAGCTTCAGCTGGCATTCTGTATACTATAAATGGCTAGTATCAATCGGAAGAACTTCGTAAACTAGATAAAGAGTAGAATATCGCCAGTACTTATAGAAGAACTATTTCAACTAACTTTTTCTCCCTTGCATGCAGCTTGAATTCATCTACCACTTTTTTGAAGAGTGTGACAGAGAACAAACCATTTTCTCCGTCTTCATACAATAATCTTAAAAAAACATAAGAAGAAATTAAAAGACACAGTGGATTTTCAGCTTTAATGGACAAGGCTTGTTGATTGAGGCGAGCTACTGCTCGCAACCCTCTCAATGCTCTTCACACAAGTTTAGTGAAGCTGCGGATCACTCCCTAAAACTGAATATGTAGGAAAAATTGCTCCCCACAAAGATCAATTAATTTCCAGGTTCTGTTGAAATGTATCTTGAAAAGAGCTGCTAACGAAATTGTCGACACCAGAAAATGAAGGAGACTTGAACAACAATTGCTTTGAATAATACTGCATTGGTTTTTTCTAATTTTGGTCGACTTCTAGGCCATTTTAAATAAATAAATTCTTGATATTTATTCTTGTGATAGCGAGAAATTCACAACTCACCTGCAAAAATACAACGACAAGTCTGTAGATACCAGAGCGTTTCAGTACAAAAAAGTTACAATGATTTATAAGGGAGAGAGAACAATACTATAGAAAGATTTAAATATAAACTTTGGCATCATTTGTATCCAAAGCTGTTATTGGTATCATTTTAATAGATCTGGCAACCACCACAGTTGTGCTCAATGATTTTCTATAAATCTAGCTATTCTACTGTTTCTAAAAGTATAAACATATAACTATTTAAATCTATCAACTGAATCAAGATGATAATATATGATAATAGATGATAATATTATGTATGATAAAATGACATACTTTGAAGATCTTGGTACAACCATATCTGTTAGTTTTTCATAGGCTAATTTCCAGTCATCCATTTGGCTTCTATGGATTGGTAGAATTTAATTCAAAATAGAAAGCAACATGGAAGTTATCAAAATCGACGAAAGATTTCATTTCAGTTTCCTAAAGCAAGAATGTTGGTATGCTTATATGAGTTGTTTGAAAGGTCCTTCCCTAAACAAATTATGATGGAAAATGAATTTGTAACAGGAAGCCTTAAACCATGCAATTTAGAGCCAAGTTGCAATTAAAATTTGTTGAAGCAACTGAAAATCCTTACTTTGGCACCACAACTAGCAGAGTTGAAAGATACTCAGAACCTAGAACAAAGTTTTCCTTTTTCACAATATCATTCAGGTTCCTTGTCATTAAGCTGCCCCTACAATAAAAAAGCAAAAATGATCAGACATCTAACGGCTAGGTAAAATAATAAACGTCCTGCATTAAGAAACAGTACATCTTATATATTCGATTTTTTAACAGTTAATACCCATATTATAACTAAACTGTGAAACTGAAACAGAGCTCAAAATTATATGCAGGTTGCCTGGCTAAAGGGGAGGGAAGTGGGCAACCGAATTCTTTGATTTATACTATTGATTTTCGAGCGTGACTCCTTATAGAATAACTATGAAATTTTCCATAATATAAACATAATTTAAGATGTATAGTCAAATCTTACGTGGCCTTCCTTTCAAGGGACTGAAGTGAGCCCTTTACTGTGTTATAAGCATTTGCCTTTGTTTTTAAATCTGCATCAATTTGGGTAACTTGCTAAAATAAAGTTAATTAAAAAATCTTTGAAAGCAATATAATTGGTTGAATCAGTCTCAGAATTTAAGGGAAATAGCATGAAAAAAGCATTTAAAAGAAATTGCACTACTCTGGCATTCAGCAATAGATATTATAGCTGTGCCTAATTTCAAGACTTAAAATACAGGGCTGGGCAAATTGGACTCCTGTGCACCTGAGACAATCAGCTTTTAACTGTGAGAGGCTGCTTATTGCTACACTGGGAAACCCTGGGGAGCTCAAGTTTTTTGAAGGAGCGTATCTCTATATCACCCACCAAAGGGATATTTTCAAAAGAACACAAGTTGCAATGGTGAGTAATTCTTATCAACAGTGATTCCAAATGTAGCACTGCATGTTGAAACCAATAACACCAGCTCAAGTCTGAAAAAAGCTGCTCACATTAGTCCACAGTTATACATCACTTTGCATACATTCAAGATTTAACAAAAACACAATGGCCAAAACTACACATTGACACAAGACAATGATTAATCTTAGATAATAATACATAACAGATACAGCAAGCAACACAACTGACAACACAAGAAACTGGCTATTTATAGGAGACCACAGAAAGAGCTGCTGATCTGCCTACTTGGAGACAGCCATTTTATAGGAATTGTCCACCTCTTCATCACATACATTTTTATTAAGTTTCAAAACTGACACCAAAAGAACATGATACTGGTCAAATAAAAACAGAAAATCAGCAGCAAGGATGATTTGTGATTCATCTGTAAATATTTTAATGGATTCTATCAAGGTTGCACTAGCTTGCTCCTAACCCTAGAGATTTAGAATCAATGAAGTTTTGGAATTTTCTGAGCATACAGAGGATCTTGTAATTTGACTGAAATAATGCATTCTTATGGTTGGTCAGAGCATAGGTTGAGGGTTTTGAGACAGGCACTGTGCACCAGTCTTAAGGTGGGGAGGGGGGAGCTTAAAAGGGCATAACCAAATTTTTGAGGCCATGCCCTCTAGAACGCTGGAAAATGGCCCTGTTAGAAGATAATGTGGGGTTAGGCATGATTGATAAAGTTGAAAAAAACATATAATGTCTACTTTTCAATCAAAATTTCTGGATAAATATTACAATGAGGTTTGAAGAGGAGGAGTGAATAAAATCGGGTGTGTTCTACTGTGCAGATACGCTAAATTTCTGATAATGCATGCAACCAAGGAAAGTAAAAGAGGGTAAATGTAGCACTTAATAGTTACTCAACAGTAACTCATTTTAGACAATGTGGCTTAAAAAACAAAATTATTAATTAATGCATTTTGAATGTTATGTTTCCATATTTGCTTATCTACAGAAAATTCATTTTGCTTGAAAGTGGATGAAATGTTAACAAGTTCTTCAGTTTGAACTCACCTTGCTAATGATCTCTGCAAGATTTCTAAGAGGTTGTTTGATTGGGTATTTCGCTGAGTCCCACTGGAACTTTGTCAGATAGGTCGCAGGGTCCACTGAAAAAAAATCAACATCTTGAAATGTTTAACAGCATTAACAATACATATTCTAAGTTCATATTCTTCAAAGCTCTAATAATACAATGATGAACACTGTTTATACAGATCATAAAATAAGGAGGAAGAAAACATACAGTTTGTTTAAGCAAAATTAAATTTTGTCATGGATTACCAACTCATTACTCACTTCTATTAACTTGCAGGTTCTCCATTACTTTATCTTGCTTTTCCTCCAGAACATCTACTGTGTATCCAGCAACTTTTTTCACAATGCTTAAAAAACAAAACAGAGTGAAAGATAAATCTACAATAAATATTTGCAAGTAACATATATTTATTTATTTATATATAATTTCTGGTATGGAATGATAGCTAAATTGAGACAAAATAATTTCACATCATAAAAAGAATCTTATCACTAATACAACAATACTGGGAACTTTTAAAAAAATCAAATGGATTTCAATAGAAGTCTATTGACATGCGGAGCCTTGAGCACAAATCTTGTGTATGAAAATAGACAATGACAGCAACAAGCCTATAGCTTTGGAAAAAAAACTGTTATTAGACTAATAACACTAATAACGCTGTAAGCCGCCCCTGCAAGTAACATATATTTATATATATATAATTTCTGGCATGGAATGATAGCTGGCTTGAGACAAAATAATTTCACATCATATGCATAAAGAATTTTATCATTAATACAACAATAATGGAAAGTTTAAAAAAATCAAATGGAATCACCTCTCAACAAAAGCATCCAATTTACCAAGGTCATCTGATAGACCTACAAGTGTGTCAAGAGTTCCAACCTACAATGGAAAAAGCTTAGCTTAGCTTAGTGATCCTGATAATTGCAATGCTTGCTTTTTTCAAATTCAAACCCATAAAATATTTTCTTATTGTCTCATAAATTCTAGATTTCATTGTCACAAGAATAAAAATTGGAGGGAGAAAAATCACATTAAACCTCATCTATTAAAAGCCTGAAATTTCATTGCAGACTCAGATTTAACAAGCTTTTTTATAATAAATTTTCACAAGGTTCAGCAATTTTGGTCTCAAACTTGATAACCCTTTAGCTGGGCAGGCCTCCATTTCTATCTATGTTCAGACACTTGTGGTAAACAACGGCTTGACTGCACCCATGAAATGATCCTCTGAGAACCGGTAAGAGTGCATGAGATAGCCATTATGACATTTTCTTCCTAAAATCTTAGTGGCAGACTTAGTGGCTGACTCAAAGCCAGCAAGCTGCTCTCTTGCTTTACCGCTACTGTAGATGAAAATTGGGATGACAGCAAATTGAAATCTATTATTTAATCAGTTACAATGTTAAAAGCTAAAAGCATTATTTTGAAAAAGTGTTAAGAAACCTGGCTTATTAACACTTTTTTAACTTAACATCTCAACATTGAAATTTTGCCAGTGATTTCAAAAGAAGGGTCCTGCAGCATCTTTCATAAAAAGTCTAACAGTAGCTATGATGCAGCATTGAGATAGAAGTTACAATCTCCCATAAAGATTTTATTCTAGGGAATCTATCCTTCCTTCCATTACCAAATAAATAACCTTTATCCAATTCAAATATCATTGACCATTTTGCTTCAAAATCTGCACACTTGTACCTAATGTACATTATCAAAAAGTTTTGTTGTTACTCCTTGCTTTACATCATTTTTATGGCATTGAACATCTATCAAATTCCTTCTGTTACTTTATTTAGCATTTTGTAATATACCCCAGAGTATAACTGCACAGGTACATTAAATTCAACTAAAATTCAAAATTTTCACTCTCAGCAAAACAAGAAATTCATACATTTCAAGATAAATAATTATCTTCAAATCATAAAAAGCAATAGCAAAACCCAAAATACAATGGGGATTACAGAGCCATGTACCCATAACATAAATTCAGTTTGTTAATTTTTTGACATTGGCATGATGAACCAGCAAAAGTTTCAAGGACAGTGCACCAAAGACTTTTAACAGGGAAAAGGGTAAAAGCGAACACTAATGCATTGTTTTAGACTTAACAGTTCAATTTTATTCTACAAGTAAATTTCAAATAAATAAACCTGAAACCTAAATTTTCGGTTTCATGTTAACGTAAACACTGTAGATTTCTAGCAATGAAGATGGGTGTGGTAATAAAGTTGATACTGAAATTTTATCAATCTAAAGTTCTTTTTGATAGAATAAAAATCATCGCCTTTCATTTTTTTATTATAAAAACAAAATGCTCTAAAATTCTTCTTTGTACTTTCGTAATTTTGGATGTGGAAAGAAAACCAGTTTAAAAGTTACCGTTTTAGGCCAATGACAGGTTTTTACAAACATGGCGAGCTTCGATAAAGATATGTTCACATTCTGGAAAACTCTAAGCTGACAATTTACCTTCAATTCAGGAAGAATTAATTTATAGTTCAATGACAAATCTTTTGTTGCCACTTTGCATTTCTCCCAAGTTTGTTGTGGACTGCGATCTCCGGGCGCTGAAATCAACCAAAATTCGGCCATCTTGATTCTTTTTCGAACAAAGGCTAATAGAACTCACACAAAAAACCGTTATTTTGCTTCGTTTCTTTCACGAATTTTCCCAAAAAGATAGAGTTCAAAAATTCACAACGCGTTCCTTAGGCCAATGCATGACCCAGCCGTGAAGCCAACCAAACTGTGCAGATGACCTAATATACCGCGAAATCGCAGACAAATTTTCGCGTAATGTAAATCCAGCAAAGTTACGCGAAATATTTTGCGAAGCCCTCTTTTTCAAACAATATCATTACGAGGTTAATCTGGTTTGATTTGTTGGGGGTGTCGAACTTCTGACCAGTGTTGCCTTTCGATATTCACAGTAAACTGTTTTCGTTTTTAACCGAGGAGTTTCAAAGTTAATTTCTTGCCACTTGAAAATTATTGAGAATGAAATTGCCAACTTAAGAATACCAACAATACCTTAAAATCTGAGAGTGAAGCCTTAGGTAACTGCAAAAAATCGAAGAACCTGCGAATTGGTTTAAACTAATTATCAATTTAAAACTACATACATGGTCCATCTCTTTATATAACTTTCAGTCAAAACCTGTGATCGTTTTGATATCATTTGATGATTGAAAAGATATAATTGCATTCTATTACTATACAATTCTTCACCTCGTTTTTAGTCAACTTTTCAACTGAATAAAATTAATCATTTTCCAAAACATTGAACTTAGGAGAGAAATACACACTTGCCATTTACATTTTCACGTTTTTCGTGATCCAAACGTTAAAGTATCTGTTACTATCTCAAGACGTGCTCTACTCTGTGAAAACTAACCAACATCAGAACTATAAATATGCGCCAAAACAGTTTGAGCAAACTTTATTTCAGTTTCTTTACATTTATATGAAGAGTTTCTTTATAAAGGAACTGATTGCCAGTAGCTATTCTGAGAAATAGTAACACAATACCGAAGCAGTATATTTATGGATGTCTTCCTCGCGAATCTAGGCAAGATGAGCAAAATACCTGCTTGCTCATGGACTGCAGAGCAATTTTCATACTTCGTAATTTCATTATTTTGAACATGAGATTCTTAAGGGTGTTGGAAACATTATAAACCAAATCAATATACCTCAAGTAAAATTTTAATTTTCATGATTGTAAAAATTGCCAAAGTCAATCTGATTTGTATAAAAAGCATAAGCAAAACAGCTTTAGAATTATGAACTGTATCCTGCGCGCAGACTCTACGCTCCTCCTCAGGCCAATAAACTCCTGAGATCTTTTCATGCTTGTTTATTGCCCTTAGCTATTGTACAATTTATTGTAAGGGAGCTTTGAAACTTTTAAACAAATGACATTATCAACATATCACTGTTTACTATCATTTACAACATATCACTGACAAATTAATTACTGTTTTGGACTTTTATGATCATAAAACTGCCAAATTTGATCTGATTTGTCAGATATCTTAATCGGGAACATTGTTTTGTGAATTCACCAGGAAATCTGAGGAAAGAGACTTAACATACTCTGACTCAATGGGACAAAATTTCAGATTTAAACGACACTAACCTATAAAGAAATTTTCAAGTATGAATCAAATGTATAAAAATATAAGTCAAAGTCTTTCCTGGGAAACTCTGAGTCAAAACTCAATAAATCGCAAACCACACAAGATCTTACTATCAAAAATAACACAAAATAGGATGATAGGTTGAAAATATAAAAAATACAAAAAGAGCTACAAGAGATTCATGCAATTATGTTTATTTTTGCAAATCTATATTGCTGTGATGTGATGTTCCTAACGAGGACGATGCAGCCATTCACTAATGATTTTTGCACTGCAATGCAAGCAGCAAGACTTGCAGCACTAACGAAACCTACACCAGCACTCTTGCCACTTCTTAACGAATACCTCCCAGTTGTCACATATCCAGCTATCCATCTGGTACATTGGCCAGTATACGTAGCTTGGGACACTGTAACTCCAAATTCATGTGCAATTGTAGTAAACAAGTTTTTTGGTCCTTTGTGAAGTGGCTCCAGAGGTCCATTATACTTCTTTTCCATCTGCAGTTTTTCGAAATCATCTGAACTTGGTATGCAGATCATAGCGTTGTTAGTAGCCTCGCCTTTACCGATGCACTCAAGTGAGATCGCAATCAGTGGATTTTGTGGTATGCTTAATAGATGTCGAAGTAGAGCCTCCTTTTGGGCCAAAACCTCGCTGTTTCTCTGTGATTCATCAACGACATGCTTTCCTCTCTTCTTAGTGCAATGGCCTAACAATTCGCCAAGTCTCCGCAGAGTAGCAATATCCCGCAAGACATAAAAACTGTGTACATCGTCTGCAATCTGCAAACCAGATATCAATCCCTCTGCCTCAGCATAAGCACCTTGTTCTTTAGACTGACTCGGCATTCCTTCCATCATCCCATCACCATTTTTCGATGCCTTTCCTAAATATTCCAACACCGCATTTAAATTTCTCTGCCACTCTTTCACAAGCTTCTGCCAGTCAGGGGCAAAAGGACTGCTGACGCCAAGCTTCTCAAAGTTAGGTCTTTTACCTGCTGGATGCCTACGGATTAAAACATTGAGGTAGAAACAGCAATGACAGTATACTAGAAATACCAAACAGAAAAACAATTCGCCACTTAGAAAAATTAAACCAACTTCCAAAGGAAGTTAAAATAAGAAATAATGATAAGAAAACTACTTTAACATTGTAACATTAATTTGAAATTTACAGGATTTAATAAATTTAATATTTTGATAAAAGGTCCACCGGTATCTGTACGGGTGTCTGCACAATATTAGCATAGTAGGGACCCTGGAAAAGGCAGAATGGTAGCTGTCAGCGTTATAGCTTGGGATAAAACCATGGCCAGGATTCGAACCTGGGGACATTTTGAATAAAAATGACATCCGTTAACTTCCATGGCGTTAGATATCATTATCCTCAAGCTTTGTCAACAGCATCTACATCTGCCTTGGAGACAGTTTGTTGGCAATCTAAATTGGTCTCCTGGCCTATTCTTCAATAAAACATTCCTCTTTCCCTCCCAAAGTCCCGAGTGGCCATGCAATTAACGGGAGCTTTTATAATCTCAAGGTTTCATCTAAGATTGGAGTACCAATCTTTAAATCTGACATATGTATTAGCATATTTTGCTCCACAGAAACAGACATATGATAAAAGCTCCATTAAAAAGCTATAGTCAAAAATCTTGACGATCTCCACTGAAGAAAAGGCCTCTAATTTGGATACCATTCCCATATTTTATACGCTGTCACATTTGGAAAATGAATTTATTCAAACAAAAGATAGAGCTATGGCAATAATAAAATAATGACCAATTGACTTGAAGTTCCAATGTCCATATGACACCTAAATACACCAAAAGGACGTATTGAAACCTAACTTGCCTGTTATACGATTCTTCATTGCATTTCCTGTCGGACTCTATATATTTTTCCCCGGCGACAGTGTCCGGATATTCTTTAGGGAAATACAATCCCTTGCTCTCAAGAGCGATGCTTCTTTCCTCTCTCAGACCACAGGCATGGGCACCTCTATATATGAGGCTAACCCAGAATGCCATACCCCATCCGCTTGGAACAATAACATCCCAGCCACAGCCAAAATGGGAGGGTGCATCCAATGCAGCAGTACCTTGAAAAAGACAGAATTCTCAGCTTTCTCTTGAAATATTTGTTTCTTGAAAATTTTGAAATATTTCAATCAAAGAGAAGAATGTTACCCCTTGATTAGTTAGCCCCTTCCAGTTTCTACACTCCAAAACATTATAAAACTCCCCCTCCCCCTGAATTGGACACACATTTTAAAATTCTCCCGAATGTGTGTCTCATCTCGATGTGACACACATAAATGTGAATCCGCTAGGTTATGATGGTTATGATGATAGTAAAAAGTGACCTGGAGTAAAAACCTTAAAATTAATGTTTTAAAAAAGTCTAGATCGAACAGATTGCTACCCATCAATCTAGCTTTTTTGCTGTCACAAAATGAAGAATGTTCATAAACGTATCAGAACCCCCCCCTTAAACAAGCAGCCCCCCTTTTAAACAAGCATCCCTTAAAACTGTCGATAATTTTTGGGATGCTCATTTGAGGGTTCTCAGTAATAACAATTATGGTCCAAATATCCAGAAGAAAAAATCACAATTTACGAAACGTCAATCTCTTTTGATGAGATCCGGTTTATGAAACGTCAGTCTTAGAGAAAACTGAAAAATGACAAACACAACCTTTAAAACTCTTAACAGATGGCTTAATTGACAGTTAACTTATGCATAGCAAGAAAACATCGAGGTCAGACCAGAACCTGGCAGCATACAAAGTTGCAACCTACAATCCCTGCTAAATTTTTGGGAACACTTATATCTGTTTTCAAGAGAAAATTCAGCCAGCCCTTCACCCCTTGGGAACAATGTTAGTTATTTATAAAGCGACACAGGAGATTAGAAAGAGAAATCAGAAATGAAAAATATAAAAATATTGGGTTCCTTTGCTTGGGGTTCTAAGTAGTTTTGGCAGGCTTTATACGCAACATGCTTTGAGTTTTTGCATCAGTATAATGTTGAGTGAAACAAATGTTTACCTCCAGGCCTTTGTATTAACAAAACCGGTATTCTTGATGTGTCTTCATCTATATGAAAAAAGGAATGCTTAGTCTCTCTTAAAAAAAGACAATGCACGAGACACTATTAATCTATTGAAATAATCCAGGGTTCAGTAGCTCCACAAACTGCAAAATTAAGTTTTTATCAAGCACTGTTCATATATATACAGAATTCAGTTTAAAATCTTGAATCAAATTTTACGTAACCGATTATACACTTAAACAAAAAATCAAAAAATTCATAGGATCATTTTCAGATTGTGGCAGCCAAATGGTGTATTTATTTTTATGCTAAGAAGTGATGTGCCAAGAAAACTTCATTTCTATTCACAAACAAGGTTAAAATGATAGTTATATTAGTTGCATATGCTAGTAATGCTAGTAAAATGCTAGTAATATAACGTAAATATTTGGGTGAGAGCCTTTTTCTGAACTCTTCTTTAACATTTTATGTAAACTTTCTGCGTGAAAAACTCAAAAGGCAGGTCTGTCTTGCAAATAGCGCACAAGATTTTCAGCAAATCAAAAAGATTTTCAGGATTTTCAGATAAAACAATAGGATCTCCACCAAAGTTGTACGAGATTTCCTTAGAGTGATTTGCCCTTCAGAAAAACTTACCAACTTCAAGATGTTCACCAACATCAAGTTTTGCAGATCTCAGGCTGTTTAATTCAGCTTCAGTAATTTTCGTTCCCTTCACTTCTTTCCTGACATTTTCATCCCAGATTGGAGAATGACACAATCTACTTGACCAGTTGGTTAGGAGGTCTTTTTTCTTTTCAATGAATTCACCTGGCACGTCTACAACAAAATTATAATTATTATAAATTAGCTTAATTTGAATTGAAATGGTAGGTCTGGAAGCAGATGATTGCCACGTGCATAAAATGTTCATACAGCAACCAAAGAAACATAGTTCACTCTAAGAAACACAAAATAAGACATCTCATGCTGAAATCTTGAAATGTATTTTACAGAAAAGAGTATAATTGAAAAAACATAACAAATTCTGGAGCTTATGATAGTGGATACAGCCTTCTAACATTTTCAAAGGAGCATGATGCCAAAAAGAATACAATTGATATATTGTTGAGATGCCAGTTGAGCCTCAACAAACCATTCAAAGAAGCCAAAAATGCAGTTTATTCTAAAGAATTTAAATAAAGATTGTAAGTGTTAAAACCAATGATTCCAGGACAGATAGATTACTAATCTCTATTACTTGAGATTGGTAAATTATATAACTTTCTGCACTTTTATAAAGTATAATAACAATCATAATTAGGAGTTGGGAGAGCTTTGAAAAACACTTTGAAAAAGTATGCTTTTCATTGCCAAGGCCGGCAACATTACTGAAAATGAAAATATAAACAAAGCTAAAAAAATCAGCTGAATGGCTTACAGAAATTCTTCTTAGCAATGATAGTGCTGATCAGAACAGCAAAAGATTAAAGATTGTTATCGTATATCTAGGCATGTAAGTCAAGTTTCAATTTCCATTTAGTACACATGAAACCTCAACCTCAACCGTGATAGGTTAACCTACTTAAACCTACTCTGTATTCATGAGTGTAGCTTATAGGACATTTATGCAGAAAAAAATCCTTCTAAAACAAAGATTTCCATTTGAACAACTTTTGATAGGAGAGAGTGAACTGTGGTTTTAGAAGGAAAATTATTTCTCTTGCGAGTGTCAAGAATTTTTTTAGTCAAAATAAAAAAATGAATAGAATAATTTTTATCTTGGAGCAACAAAAAACTGGAAATTATTTTTAAAATTTTATTACAAAACATTGAGCATTCACAATTGATTCAAGCAAGTTTTTGGGGTCAACTTTTAGGCCATGTATTGCTCTACTCAAGGTGAAGTATTTAAAACCAAAAATGAATGTTCCACTTAAACTCCAGGTTTAGCTTATAAGCCAATAAAGATGTTACCTTTCACAACTGATTCTCTGCCTGACCAAGTCTTCTTTATTGGCAGGTTCATTCTAGGGTCAATGGTCGTCAAAGCAACCACAACATTAGGAGGAAGCTCAGCTGGATGCGTCACATGCTTTAGAACTTCCCAAGCTTCTGAAGTTTCACTCAAGTTGCAATTCCTGTTTTCTGATTTGTAAAATTCACCCCACCAATGTTCATTGTTATAGTCTGCATTACAATGCAACTGCAAAGAGTCAACTAGGATCTTGTGAGACAGTGGCCCTGTAAGTCTGATATATACAAAGTCTAGTTTCATTGATTTGATTGTGATCCTCCCATTTACATTGAATGTTTCTGAAAATATGGTTGGTTTTTGGTCATTACTGTCTCCTAAATTATCATTTTGTTCAATCTTATCATCCTTAATGTCTTGTTTGGATTCAAATGCATTCAAAACTTCCACAGGATGCTCCCCAGTTTCAACATCCATTGCTTCTTTCTTGCCAATATCCGCCTTTGTGAATGATTCTTTTATAGCTTCAACAGCTTCATCATGGAAAGATGGATGGCACCAGATCCATAGGTTCCTTGTGAGTGCCTGTGATTCAGGTTCTTTTTGAGTTTTACTAACATTATTCACACAGCTAGGAGAGGTATGGTCTTGTAACAAAGTTGGTTTCCAGATTACTTTGACTGGACCAATGGCTTTGTGCGGGTAGCAGTTATATTTATAAAGAATAACATCTGAAGCTCTTTCTCCAGACAGACTCTTCTTTTGAATCATACCAAGACCTTTTAACAAATCATAGATAATAAAAAATAAAATCTTAAAATTTCATGAAAGTGGAAAAAGCAAACATCTACTTGTGAAGAACTTTTGACAGTGCACATAGTACAAAACTTCAGGTGACAATCAAGCAGTGAATGGAAATTTGCACCTTTTGATCAGTTGGAGCAAATCAACTGCCATCAAAGAATCTAAAAAAACTTTTTCTACCTACACAAACTTGCTTGATGCAGAAAAATTCTTAAATCTAAAAATGAAACCAACACCAATCTTGCCTAGAATTCTTTAGCTTTAGTAACTGTTTTCATTTGTGATCAATAGGTTATGGCTATGTTATGTTATGTTATGTTATGTTATGTTATGTTATGTTATGTTATGTTATGTTATGTTATGTTATGTTATGTTATGTTATTGCAAACATAAGACTATGGGGAAATCTTTGTTTTTTCATTACAACATTTCAAATGATGGTTTAGTAATATTTTTGTTCAGTATTTTGCCTAACTTTCCAACTTACAAAATATAACTTACAAAAATACATTGACTGTGTAGCACTTACGGTTATTTTTGTTTGTCAGATGGCTAAAAGCATCAATAATGTGTTCCTCCAATCCAATAATTTCAATACATCCATAAAATGATAAATCCTTTGAAACAAACTCAAATAAGTCAAAAACTTAATTCTAAATAAAGATGAGATATCTAAAAAGCAAGGAAATCAAGTGCAGAGAATAAATGATCAGCAATAAATGAATAATAAAAAGCTTATTAGAGTAGATTTTGCTTATAGTCACATCACTGTTTGAGAAGCCATGACAGTAAGCCAAAAGTGACTGTAAACAGGGCATGACTAAACAGCTTTGCCAAAATTTATGTAACTGTTAACTGCTATGTGACTTTAAGTGGAGTTGATTGTATTAACTTATCCTTAGAAACATTGTTTTCTGTACTCAAGAGTATGTTTTGTAACCAAACATAAGAGAAGAAATTCAGTTTCCAACTCCATTGAAACTATTTATTCCATTGACAATCACCATTTGTGCAACAAAAATAACTAAATTCATTCATATATATATTAGTAGATATAAAAAGCAAATAATATGCTACTAACCTGCATCAAGCAGCCATTTGCACTTGCCCTGAATGCTGATCTTAGGCCCTTATCGTTTGGGTGCTCTGCCATTTTGTAACCCCATTTTTCAACCATTTTGAATCTTTTGGCATGCCAAATATGAGTTTCCAACCAAGCTGTCTTTCTTTTTCTTCTATTATACTCATCAAGTAGTATCTTTGGTCTTCTTCTGTATTTTCTACTGGGCATCTTGGATCTTTTGATTGGGTTTTTTTCATCCTTGAAAAATATAATGAATTTCCAAATGTTTACAAATATATTGTTGGCCAAATTAAAACATTTTCCATGGTATCAAAGTTACAGGGGAACCTCATTTACAATCATGTAGCCCTAATGATGTTGTGATGAAAATTGAAAGGAGGAAGGTTAAATTTTAAAACTTTTTAGAGGTGAAACTAAGGAAGCTGTGTTTTAAGTGCTTTTTAGATGTTAATTAAAAATATTTGAGGGGAGCACTAAGAGAATAGAAGCTGCTGAGAAAATTGTGGAAACACCAATTTTTAAAATTAATTCAAATTTGAAATGATTCAAATTTGTTCCTATAAAATTGTTTTAGAGAAAATAAAAAGTTGGTAGCTATGGTGTATATGCACATACGCCAGAAGGGGGCACTCTATAATTGAGGCTTTATCAATAGTTTTATATCTATAATTTTTAGCTTTTTTCAAAAATATTTACCTGGACCATAGCTGCGGGGTAGCTGAAATCATATGGAAATTAGGGGTTGTTTTTCTTTGATTCAAGATTTTCTCGCAAAAATTCCCAGTGAAACTGCCAACTGCTTGTTTATGAATAGAGTACTCTTTGGGAGCCCCAACAGTTCCCCCAAATTTTGAATATTTCCAAAATTTTGAATGTGGTAATACAGGATTTTACCAGAATTACTTTTCATGTATCCCATTTTCCCCTTTCTTCCTTTTACATTACACCTATTCATTTTATTAAATTGTGATCAGCTACAGTTTATTTTCCCCTTCCTTAAATACATATTAAAATTGCAATTTATGCTTGTTCATTTTAATGCTGTTATTAGTTATTATTATGCTGTTGTTACAGTTTTTAATCTTCAGTTCAGTTAATTAGCAATGCTTAAAAAGCAGGGGCCTTAGCTCGATAGCCTTTAAGGAGTTTTTTCTAAGGGTCCTAAACAATGAGGAAAAATAACATATGAAGTTATTGTATTAATTCTTTGTATAAGCAACTATTTTCATTTGTTAAAATTTAGAATTTGTAATGTAATCTATTCACATCAAATTTATGCAATTAAAATTTAAATTTTATTCTTGTTGTTTGAGATAAAAATCTAAAATAACTTCTTAGGCTTACATCAGTGTCCTAGGCAGAACTTCACAAACATTCTTTCCTAATTTTGTGCCGTCTTCTGTTTATGATGAAAGTTGTCCTTGAGTAAATCCCCCCGGAGGGTACTCTCCCATAAAGGCCTGACAGGGGGGTCCAGTCAGGGTCAAAGAGGCCCCCGCGAATAAATCGATATTTTATACATACCATGTATGTTGCTAAATAAATTGAATTTGATACCTCTTTCGCAGCCATTTTTCTTTGGTTTCTCGGAATTCTTCTGATGTCGTAGCTGGCAGCTCTTCGTCGCATATGCCTTGGCAAACTCTGAAAAACTCGTTTTCCTTCCATACTTTCAGCTTCTCTTAAAGCTTTAACAGTATTTGAAACTTCTAAGGCACGAGCCTCAATAAACTCTGCCACATTAACCCCCCTAAAAACCTGAGACATTGCGGGAGCAGAAGCGGTGCTACCACTAATAAAGTTTAAACCCTTTTTATGTGACTCATTTTCTATCTTTTTAACATCCTCTCCTGAACGGCCTACTTCACCATGCCTTCTTTTTCTCCTCTTTCCAAAAATATCTCCCGTTGCTGTAACAAAGTCACCATCCATAATAATGCTGCGGCAATTTCTTTCCCTACTGAACCGCCATTGTATCTCCTCGTGGGTAAACGAGGAACTTCTCTATGTTACTCTGCACGAAATATTTTCTTCTCTTGCTCTTGAGGTGTACTTATGACGTCACTGACTGGACGTGTGCGGATTTCCATCTTCAATGATCTAAAAAAGTGTTTTTGAGATCAGTGGTACTCACCAACGGTGATTCTCAAAAACTGTAAAAATGCAATACCTTCTGGAAAGCAGGCCTATTAAAAGAGTCATCACCTTACCATCACTTCTTACTTTAAATGCAACGCTTTCAAACAGACCTATAACGTACAATAGTTAGTATGTTAGTATAATCAAGTTAAAGAAAATAGAATAAGATAAAGATAAATATGACTGATAAATATTTTGGCAGTGTGATCCCTAGCCTGTGCTCCAGACCCCTAACTTTCAAGTTAGGGGTCTGGGACACAGGCTATGTGATCCCATGAAGAGCCTGAATGAGAGTAATATTGTAGGTTTACTGCAAATTTTACCAGGAGCGTGAGGGCGATATTCACACCGTCCCCACGTCCTTGATTGTACACGTTCTAGGATGGTCCTCGGTTTTAGACTGGCAGCAAATAGAAGAGTCTAGAGGAGAAAAATTAGGGAAGCAAAGGCTTCTAGATGCATTTAGTAACAGTGAGGTCACCTTGCCAAAACAACAACATTAACGGAGTAGCAAATACTCGCGAGGTTCTACTTTAGACCATCTAATGTCCTTTTCAGGGTGTTCAACGAATTCGGATTTCGTATATTTTCTGCTAGTGAGTTCCAAATGATAGCTGCGCTTAGTATAAACGAGAACCGAAATGTGTCTCATATTGCTACGACGTCCGTGGGGATTAACTGGTTTGAAAAGAGCTTTAGAGATATCTATTAGGATGTTATCAATCTTATACATCATGATGATCTTGAATTTCTTTTTTCTAGTAGCTAAGCTTTCCCATTCTAAAGTTTTTATCATGTCATTCGAGCTGGCAGGCCTGCGGTAATTGTCATAGACAAATCTTGCACACCATTTCAAGATTGATGATGTTTTTTGAGGTATGAGGATCCCAGACAGTGCACGAATATTCAAGAACTGGCCTGACAAGCGTTTTATAGCATGCATCTTTCACATCTCGAGGGCAGTCGCTCATATTTCTGAGGAGGCCCAACATCTGTGCCGGATAAAATTTATCAACATAAAACTTGTTCGGATTTGCGTTTACACTGTATACAAATTTTGCCCACTTTGCCCTCCCGTTTACACTGTGCCGGATAACTGCAGTCACATGACCTAAATCATGCACAGAATGCCCAAAATGAAGTCTTCTCTGGGCGACAAAATAATAACAAAATTCCCGCCAACGTAAAAAGACTTCATTCTCACTTCAGATTCATCTGCTTCTCTTTTAGACCAAATCCAAAGATATTGTAAATGCAAACTAGGCCTAGATTGTTGAAATAGTTTGTTCTTGAAACAAAATGACACTAATGACTTAAGTCAGGATCATGTTGGTCAGCTTCGATATTAAATATTGATTTTAATGTTGCATTCAAGATGTTTGATTTTGCCTTGTCATCTGTTTATGTAAATCCATTTGCTGCTCTTCTTGGAGAGACACAAACTGTATCATGTCTTTCACTCTTGATAAATTGCCAGAACTTTTTTGGTTTTGCTTCCAAGTCTGTGGCTATCCTATCATGTTGTTGACGTATAAAGTGTATGCCCTCCTGCAAACTTTTTTCTGTTGCTTTTGCAATGCCTTGAGTCTAGCCCAGTCAATCTCGATGTTTCTTCTGTGACAGACTTCTTACTGTTCTGTTGATCCATGGCTGATTAAATCTAGTGGATGATAATTTGCTAGGGACATGGTCGTTTATCATTTTATGACAAGTTTGCTTGAAGGAGTCCCACATATCTTGAACTGCACTGTTTACATTTAAATTGTTTCTGAAGTTCATCGAATATGCATCGAGCTCTTCTCTAATTTTTTCTCAATTAGCCTTTTTCCAAATGTACAGCTTTCTTTTGACTGGTCCTTGTCTATGTTGGTTGTTGTCGGCACAGAGTTACCTGGATATGAATTCGCCCTTTTTTGAAACTGTTAAAATTTACTTCAACTTGCCCTTCAATTATCCACTATTATTTGTGCCCCTTGTGGAATCTGTAACGAGTGTGCTTTACATTTAGCAATAATCCCAAGGTTCTAGAAAAAGAAGAATTTTTAGACAATAACTGAGACAAAAATTATGTTCAGGATGAAAATCTGCAGCTTTTACACCGACTCAAATAGTTCGAAAAAAGACAAGATATCTACAACCACGACAAAACGTAAAAAAGCAGCGGCGTAAGGAGCAGTGTGGGATCCTTAGTCAGGGCCGTCGGAAGGCAGCTCGGGCCCAAGGGTAATTCACAAAACTGGACACCCTTAAGAAAATTGCCTGCGGTCACGCCCTTCAGTCTCCCGGAGAACAAGGGAAACGCCTGTTTTAAGGTATAGTTGTTGACAAAGTTTATTAAGGATTTTTAAAAGAACGTGCAAATTTTACATAAATCAAGGATATGTGGACATTTCTCTGTGATAAACTTATAGGCGTTGATTCGATAAAAGTAGATGAAATAGTAGCTTTTTGCACTATTAATAAATCTTGTTACTTTATAACAGGCCCCCTCTCGACGCCCCTGCCCGTAGCGAAAGTCATGTTTTAGGGCCCTGTAATTAACTAAATTGGAGCCAAGCTTTGAAGATTTAGTACTCAATCTTTTTGGTCTTTCTGAAAAACCCAAAGAAATGACATACAAACAACATATGAAGATAAATTCTGCTGCCTAAGATATCTTTTATGCTCTCTAATGGTAGCATATGAGATTAAACAAAAACTTGTCGCCTTCCTTAATACCTCGAACGTGAAACATTATCAAAATATTGAAGAAATCTTCAAAATTATTTATCGTTCAATCCAAACATAAACGCTAAAAACTTTCCAGGAAGATTCTGAATTGCTTATTGCTTTAAACCTAAATCGCTTAGCAAAGCAGCTGCCCATATTCATTGACAAGTTTAAGTGCTAAATCCAACATCTGTGAACTTCTGAAAATGAACTCTCTTGCTACTAAACCATTTGAGTGTGTAGGCACAGTTGTTTACATGGAAGAAGACTGGGTACCACACCCGAGTTTATTAGTTCCGCAAGTGGAAAGTTTGGGTTGGAAGCTGATGTGGGACTTGTAAGGTAAAGTTTCTTGTAGTGTCTTTTTTTATTTGTCATATATATTTATTTATTTGCCGTTATTTTTATTTGCTAGTTTCTTGCTGCGTTTCTGTATGATTATAACCTTAAAATTAAACAGCAACTCAATAAGTAAAGCGGAAACTATGGTTAGGCCTAGTGACAAAATAGCTGTATTCGAGAAAAGATCAGGGCCAGCAAAGGTGTCAAAGAAACTCTAGCACTTAGACGTAGGCCCAAGAAGAACTTGTTTATTTGTATAATGAGGCACAATTCCTGCTTTGCATTGTTCTGCCAAAAAAGTAGGCGATGGTGTTAAATAGTAACGAACAAACAACTCGGTCTTTGAAATTGAAGACCTGTGTCATTGAAATCCAATATGGAATAACGGGTCGTGGCATGATAAACAATCTAATTGATAGGCCAAATGAATCGTAAGAAATCCGCAAATTTGGCTTTAGGAAATTTCTAATGAAAGTTAAGCCCACTATAATCTACTTGGAACAAAATATACCACAACAATTCATTTGTAAACTTCTGAACTATTGTTTCCCATATATAAGGGATCAATGGGCTACACACCGCAAGTTGTTTTATGCAACTTTGAATTTAACTTCTGAGATGGTGAAATATTTAATTTCGAAAACATGATATATGTTATAATACATGTCATAAAGTCATAAAGTTATATTACATGTCATAAAGTCATAAAGTCATAAAAGTGATATATGTCATAAAGTATCATATTATAATACAATCCCTCCCAGACATGAAACTTTATTGCACGTCTCCCTGTACGCTTTAAATACTGGCCTCACAAAATTACTAGGAAGTAGCTTTTAACTTTATTAGCAAAAAATTTGTAAGTGTGCTTTGTTTCAGGAGCCAAATCTCAAATTCTCAAAATCTCAATGTCAAACCCACAAAGCCTCAAATTTTCAAAGTGAGTTTCTTCCCACAAGCAACAATGTTTCCAGTCTTGCTTCTTTCACACCACAGCCCTTGTTAGCTTTTCTGCTCAATGAGAATGTGCTTCACTTATTTGAACAAGTTTGAAAATTTGCTGATGAATAATCCCCTAGATGTCAAAAAGTCCTCATTTATGAGTCCTCATTTCATGCCCTCGCACCCACATATTGATATCCCCATAATTTCTATTATTGGTTATCTAAAAACTATCAGATTTTGAATTTAGACTCTAAATTAACCCTATGTTAGATTGACTCATCCATGTAATGTAGCGTTGAGAGTCCCTAAAGGCAAAATGAAAGTAGAAGCCCACACCCATCCATGTGGAACAAGGAAGTTTGATTCAGGAAGATTTTTCATTAGCCTTTCTGCCTTGCACTTCTTTTAAAATTGTCAAGCGACAGATGCCAGTCTATTGTTATAGTCTACCTTTTATAGCTGTTTTATTAGGTATTAAGATAAATCTGGAATATCTGGAAAGCATTTGATTTCTAGAAAAAGTCAAAGGAAAACCAGAATTTCAACAGATTTTCAATAGCCTGCATGCAGACTTGACTGGTTTTTCTAGAGACGAGTTTGGTTAACTAAGGCTAAGTTTAATAGTTGAATGGAATATTTAGGGTTTCTCTCCCAGTAGAGTCTGCAAATCAGTAACAGAATCTGTGTCTTTATGTGTCAGCATTTTAATTTTGACTTTGTAATGTAAAATGGCAACCTGTTTAATGGCAGAAGAATTGTGAAATGCATTTACAGGCCTTTTTGTGAAGAAATTTTTACAAGTGCAAAAAACTGCCCACATGGGTAAGCTTAGAAGGGCGATCACCTGTTCAATAATATTTAAAGGAAAAATATTTAAGCATCTGCAGTGGTCAATATCTAAGTATCAACTACCCCCCCCCCCTTCCCATTTATGTTGTTGTTGTAGTTGTCCTTCAGGTCGTTCGACCCCTGGTGATGCTATGAACCTGATGTCTCCATTCAGCTCTATTTTTAGTGTCTTTGTTGAGCTGATAAACATTTCTTGTTGTCATCGTCTTAATGTTGTCAAACCACTTTGTTGCAGGTCTTCCTCTTCCTCTTTACCCTTCAATTTTTCCTTGCATTATCAGTTTTTCTAAACTGTTGTCTGCTCTATTTAGGTTAATTGCCTCTTTTTGATGGTGTTGAATAATGATCTTTCTGTTTTAATTTGGCCTAGTACCCATTCATTCGTTCTTCTAGATGTCCATAGCACCCTTAGGAGTCTTCTCCATACCCAAAGTTCAAAGGCTTCAATCTTTTCAATTTCTGCTTTTCTTATTAGCCATGTCTCACTTCCATATGTAACAACAGGAAATATTAATGCTTTGATTATTCTTATCTTGGTATTTAGTGTGATGTTTTTGTCTTTCATTATCGTTGTCAAATTGGTCATAGCCTTCCTACCCAGTATTAGCCTCCTTCTAATTTCTTTTGTGTGATCAGAGGTTCTGGTTAATGTACAGCCAAGAACATTGAATTCCTGTACTACCTCGATGGATTCCCCATCTACTTCAAAGCTGGTAATTTCTGCCGTCGTCATTACTTTTGTTTTTTTTAAATTTAGTAGTAGCCCTTTTTTCTTGTTTGCTTTCTTAACATTTCTGATAAGTTCTTCCAGACCTTCTTTGGTTTCGGCAATCAGGGTCATGTCATCTGCATACCTTAAGTTATTAATGAGTCTACCATTTACTTTTATTCCGATGTTGTTTTCATATAGTCCTGCATTTCTCATAATAATTTCACCATATAAATTAAATAGGTATGGAGATAGAATACAGCCTTGTCTCACTCCTTTGCTGATTTCAAACCAATCTGTTGGCCCATACATTGTTCGTACATGCGCTTCTTGTTTATGATAAAGATTCTTAATCAAGATTATTAGATGTTCTGGAATTCCCATCTTTCTCATCACAAACCACATAGTGTTATGGTCCACACAGTCAAATGCTTTGCTGTAATCAATAAAACAAAAATATATTTCTTTCTTTACTTCGCGTACCTTTTCCAATATCCATCTGATGTTTGCAATTTGGTCTCTAGTTCCCCTTCCTTTAATAAATCCAGCTTGCTCAATTGATATTTCTCTGTCAATATAGGGTGTTAGTCTTTTCTGGATTATTTTCAGAAGTATTTTGCTCATGAAAACAATTAAGGATATTGTTTGATTATTTGAACATTCTCTAATATCGCCTTTCTTTGGCAGCGACAAGAAGACAGATCTTTTCCAATCTACTGGCCATTCAGTGGTTTTCCAGATTAGCTGACACAGCTTGCATATGATGTTGAGTGTTTCTTTGCCAGTATTTTTTACCAGTTCAATTGGGATGTTGTCAATATCTGGAGCTTTATTACATGCAAGTTCTTTAATGGCAAGTTCTATTTCTGCTAGAGTTGGTTCCGGTTCTTCTGTAAATTCTTCTTCTGTGAAATCATTGGATATGTCTGCATCCCTGCTGTACAAGCATTGTGTGTATTGTTTCCATCTCTCCTGTATCTCTTTCCCCTCTGTGGGTACTTTACCATTTTGGTCTTTCACTGTTGCCATGCGAGGTGTAAACTTTCCTGTGATCTGTTTAATAATCCCATTTATGCATGCTTTTAAATGCACGATTGCATACAAATTTTTGATCAAACTATGGTGTAACATGAAGAATGAAGCAACAATGCTTTGTTCTCTTTAGCAACTTGACCTTTCACTCATGAATACTGTAATTTATAGGAACTAACTTTTCCTCAAGTGCTCTTTATGTTTATGCAGGTTAAGAAATATTTTTCCAATGGATGTCAAAAGCCCATCCAATTTTTTTAAGGAGGGCACTGGCAAAGGCAAGAGCAAGGGGGATCACCCATATGAAACAAAAAAGACTGAGCTTGTGCTGCTAGCCAGCCAATTTCGTTATATGTAATACTTTTATTGCAAAGAAAAACAATTTTAATCTAATTAAAGGTTATAATAGCTTCAGAATAAACTTGCCTCTGGGAAAGCAATCAAGTTTGCACATGGCTATTGATTTGTGCAGTAATGGAAATTATTGCTTCCCACCTAGCTGTAATGAGTTTTTTACACTCTCTGCTGTGGTTTTTTGTACTTTTGTATTTTTTGCATATGCAATGCAAATCTATGGATTTTGTGGTAAGTATGCGGTTCTTAAACAAGTCTTAAACAAGAAAATTCAGCTGGATGTTAGGAAATAATTTTGTAGTACTAAATCACCTTTAATTTTGCCACACTTTTTAAAAATGTGTAGCTGTATTGCCAGACTATTGTCTTGAAAAGTTAAAATGTGTGCCACCTATACATGTGAAACTATGCATTTAGTGTTTGTCTGTTCAGAAGATCGCCCCCTGGCAGTTGAAAACTTCACCAGGATTGCCAAGGTCATTCTTCTAAGCCTGGCCACTCATACCGTCAGAGAGACTGGTGCCTAGGATCAATCTTGACACAATTTGCAATTAGTTCTTTCTAGCATCCTTTGGTATTAAGTATGGTAGCCTATCTCTTGGTCCCATATGATCAAGCAGGTCTTCTTTATGAAATCATAACAAAAAGATTTGTTATGAAGTGTAAATGCCTTTTCCTGTCTGCTATCTCTCTTTATCTAAAGCCTAGTACTGCTGTAGGAGCACTGATGTGGCCATATTGCTACCCTATTGTCAAATTTATTAGTCAGAAATCTGTTCTGTCACAGATAATCAAGGGCTATTTCCTTCCACTTTTTCCAGGCAGATTTTATTCGCAACTCGAACTATATAAGAGAAATTTGTATAAAATGATCTGAGACTTCATTGCCCATTTTTATAATACTCATCTGAAGAAGTATTTGCATGGTAAGCAAACTGCAAATCCCTGTCCATGTCAATACCATGTATGCATTATCTGCATTGGCCTAATCTTATGTAAACACTCCTGGAAATGGACTTTATGGTTCAACATATGTTCGTATTTAATGACGTGATTGTGGATCAGGCCAGTTGTTAAAACTGAACCTTGTGACTATTTTTTAGATGTTTACTTTTCAGGTATTGACTTAAATGTTTTAGCCTTTAATGCTAACTCTTTTCTAAATTCTAATATATTGATTATAATTATTTAGCCCAGCAAACAAAATTCTTAAAACGGTTCCCAGAAACAAAGAAGTTGTGAGATCAGCTGAAATACTGAAACTTTTCATGTTTTCAACATTTTTCATCAAGCTTTTTTAAAGAAAGCACTTTGTAGTGTGACTCATTAAGCACTGTCTTTTCCTTTTAGCATTTAAACTAAACAATTTAAAAATAATTCTGCATGACAAGTCAGTTTCAAGCTTAAGAAATTTCGTTCGGAGCAATCCCCAATCCCAAAAAGAAAGTTTGATTTTTTCCCAATGGCACTGCTGCTGCTAAAGTGTCCTTTTGGGAATATTTTCACACACTGCTATAAACGCCGCTTTCCTAAGACAATATTCGTTATGGAGTTAAATATCGCAGGGTCCACGCCACGAAGTTGAAAGTGGGAGGAGGAGCAAGGCTAGCAAAAAATAGGGGGCCAAGGCTTCTTTCCCCTTAAACTGCAGCTTCAAAACTACTTGCTTCGCAAAAAAGTGGGGGCATGGCCACCCCGGCCCCCCGGTGGCGTAGGCCCTGTATCGTAATAAATGATCAGACTCTATAGGCCTCTAGCCTGATAACCACTTCCAGACTTTGTGATTTTTTTAGCGCACAGGTTGCTATCATGTTTTGTTCTTGTTTTGGAGGGAAATTTTATAAATCGCCTTGAGACCCTTAAAACCCCCATGAGAAGAAGGCTAAAGATCGTTTTGATTACAGTAGTCAAGGAAACCCGCTTTCGCTCCTGCTTTGATGATTGTTTTATGTCAGTGTGACAAAGCGCATTGAAAGTAAACAAAAGTGCGTGAGATTTGCTTATGAATGGCCTTAGCAACAGCAACGATCTCCACGATTTGATGTTGATTGCGGGTTACATTTAGTGGATGTAAGTTACTCTGCTCTTCATTGACCAACCTATGATGTCAAGCTGGATGTAATCAGACATACAAGGTTGATCTACTATGGGCTGTGCTCCCTCGAAAAATTCTAATCAGGTTGTTGTGAATTCTCACTCTAGACCACAGCCAAGACAAGAGGAGAAACAATTATTGCTGCAGTCATCGCCTAACAAGTCTGCGGCGAATACAGATACTACCGATTTTAACCAGAATTCGGACACAGATAACGTAAGATCAGGAGCAGTGCAAGAAATCAAACAGGATCATCGAAAGGAAGTTACAGATAGGCCGGCGGAATCATCAGTCCAAAAGTCGAGTCCAGTAAAGAAAACAAGTGAAAAGTCTGCGGATATCCAAAAGATATCATACGAAAAAGCATCCCAACTGCTACCTCAGAATCCAGATGAAATGTGGGCAATAGTTAAAGGAACCAGTGACAAAGTTGGAATTCATATTGAACCATTAAAAAATCGCAAAGGATGGAGAACTATTCGAATTTTCGTGTCGTCAACTTTTAAAGATTTTCACCAAGAAAGAGAAGTTCTCGTGAAAGAGGTTTGTACTAGATAGAAAAAGCCTTTTTTAATTTTTGAAAAAATACTTTAAATTTTTCTTTGCATTTTGTTTGAAAACCCAATCTCATGGTTTTTTTATCTGCAGGTCACTTTGCTAAGTTAATTTCAAAACATATTACACGCTTCCTTGGCGTCATTGTCCTTTAAAATCCTATGGCATTTTTCTATCCTCTTTTGACGTACATTGATACGCTTGCCGGACGTCCAAAATTTTTCTATATGTCCACTGAGCTGCATGTTTCTATATTACATAAAAATTCTTTTAATATAGTCACTTTACACCAGTTGATTTTTATATGTAGCTCTTGTAAACTCCAAAACTCATAGATTAAGCCTCAGTTCACGGTCGATTCACCTGCTAAAAATCAATGTTTTAGAATGACATGTTAAAGAGACTTTATTGGCAAACTTTATGTTGGTCAAAGGTTTTGGATTTAAATAAACTTTCTCAAATATTCCAGGATTCTTTCAATTAGCTTTACATAATACGCCAAAACTTGATTATATCACTTTATTTCTTGATTCATTCAAAGAGTCTTATTTCACGAGATAGCTGCGCTAATGGTTTGAAGAATATTCAAACAGGAACTATATACCAAGCAAAAAAGGAAAAACAATTTCTTCATAGTTTCCCCGTTATACTATTTGCGTCATCATAATGCCCATTATTGCCCCTTTCAGTAATTTAAAGTGTTCTGCTCACTGAAAAACATTCACCCATCGAACTCACTTTAACACCTATCTGTAGCAGGTGGTTTGGTTGCAGATTGAATTCGCATGTATATCTTTAAATTATTCACGACTATCGAGATAAATTTATTTATTAGTCGTGTACCAAATGGGCGAAAAGCCACATCTGCCTATTTAAACACTTATTTTGCTAATTGTGGCCAACTGCCTCGATGCTCAACGATGCTGTAGGCCTTCATGTTGTGGTCACTGCTGATTTTTTGTCTTTTAAATGGAAACCAGGGGATATAAACGCTACAAAAACTGGAATGTCTGCTTTAGGCCTAGAGTGAATAAACCCTGGACTAGTAAAGTTAAATTATGAAGGACGTGTAGCCTCCTCATAGGCTGTTTAATATGTTTATCATGAAAAATACGGCACTTGCATACCCGAAAAGTGATGAAAACGATAAATGCACACTTTAAAGTACCTGAAGTGTAGGACCACTAAGCACACCCAGAGATGAAACTACTTCCTACACAGGTTTCTTAGAAGTTCACTTCTTGCTTGATGAATCTTAACCCCCCTTCGTTTGTATCCCCTGTACTGTAGAACCACTAAGCACACCCAGAGATGAAGACACTTCCTACACAGGTTTCTTAGAAGTTCACTTCTTGCTTGATGAATCTTAACCCCCCTTCGTTTGTATCCCCTGTACTGTAGAATCACTAAGCACACCCAGAGATGAAGACACTTCCTACACAGGTTTCTTAGAAGTTCACTTCTTGATGAATCTTAACCCCCCTTCGTTTGTATCCCCTGTACTGTAGAACCACTAAGCACACCCAGAGATGAAGACACTTCCTACACAGGTTTCTTAGCAGTTCACTTCTTGATGAATCTTGACCCCCCTTCGTTTGTATCCCCTGTACTGTAGAACCACTAAGCACACCCAGAGATAAAGACACTTCCTACATAGGTTTCTTAGAAGTTCACTTCTTGATGAATCTTAACCCCCCCCCCTCTTTTGTACCCTCTGTACCGTAGGACCGCTAAGCACACCCTAGTGATGAAGACACTTCCTATGATTTTTTTCTATTTTTTTTGCATTTCAAGTAATTATTACGTTTTTTTCGCCTTTTGTGATAGGCAGTGCTTATAATTTCCCAACCCAATGTCTACGAATAGCTTGTGCGCTCTTCATCTTTTACTTCCCTGTTCAAATACGATCAAAGGGGAAAGTAAAGTCTGCAAGCAAGATTGAATTTCAGTAAGCCAAATTTGAGTCTAGTGGAAGCCTTTAAAACTCTTATGTCCCTGCATTTGATACCTTAAAGACCTTCCGCGTTTTTGTTACAAATCTCTAGTGCAAACTCTACAAGCTCTGTAATGAAGAAAAATTCTTGCTTGTCATATATGAGTCTCATGATTATAGAACGTAGACTTTGCCTCATTGCGTTCAAACTAGTCCGTTGTGTTGTGTTGAAATAAATAAAGTGTGAGTTATCGTAGGCCAGCAGTCAACTGCTTATTTTTCATCATTAGATCATCATGTGGATGAATAACCTAGTTAAAAGACTATTATTTATATGTCAATAAATTTCAGAAGTCTGCAACAGTAGGAAAAATGGGGATGTCATAGAAATATATTCTTGTCTGGAAGAACACTTTCGAATGCCTCTTCGTGTGTCAAAGCAGTCGAATCTTTTATAAATTGGCTAAAGTATGGTCATTGGCTGAAGGGGCGACTACCTCCTCCTTCACCCAGTGTGATAGAAAATTTCGTTCTGACAACACTAGTAATCGAATCGTGGTCGTGTGTTTGTCATGTGCTCTGCCACACCCCCACCGCCATTGTATCTATTTTTGTTTACCTTACTGATATTATGGAACGATGGCTATTTATATTGGCAAATCAACAGATTTCCAATTCCGCATTCTTTCGTTTCATTTCAAGCCAATGAAGAGCAGGAAAGACTGTTTGTTGGCCTTGGTTTCCAAAGTAACCATTAAATCTAAATAAACATCATTGACATATCATTGTGAGCTAATGATACCATACAATTCATTTTCTCTTGAGCTTTCTTCCTGCCCTCCATGACGTCAACTGTTTCGTATCCGTTGAAGGAAGACAATTTATTCTTGTTCCTTCATAAACGCGAACGTGTCAAGTTATGATGCCATTATCACTCCATTCATCTGAAATAAATATAGGAACTTCCAGCAAAGATAATAATTTTTCTAAATGTTGCTAGCAAAGAAAAGTGGTTGAGCAGAATCTTCTACTGTTGATTTGGCGTTGTTTTTGTGTTGATTTGTAGTGCACCAAATCTTGACCAGATTTTTATTTTCTATTACCAATTATCCGGAATGCTGGAGCAAGAAAGACCCCCTTACCCTCGCGAATTTAGACCCCCTTACCCTCGCATTTTGCTATTGTTAGCCCTTTTGGCGCTTTGCCCCCCGCTCCTGCCCTAAAGCTCTTCCGGCGTCTCTACCCATTGCATTTCTTTACTTGATAGATGAGGTAAATCTACGGAGTGTGATAAGCATCCGCTTGAGGCTGCGTTAATGTAGGGTTCATTACATCAATTACACCCAAAATGGAAAATCCCTTCGTTGTCAAAAAATTTATTAACGATTCTGCTATTTAACAAACCTTCTATGGAAAGCAAGAAATAAAATGAGAGATTTCTTGTACCCTTACATTGAAACGAATCCAACTCTCTTTGACGACTTGCGGTTAAAAGACTTAGTTCTTGAGACTGGTACTTTATACAGAGGGAATTTGTAACTAGATAATTTATATACTTGAATGTGACTGTATTTTCTTTTCTCTAGGTGTTCCCAGATTTGAGGTTGTGGTGTGAACAAAGAAAACTAAGATTGGTAGAATGCGATTTGCGTTGGGTAGGTATCCAGCTCTATATAACCGGTCGGATTAATTTTATATGAGTGAAGATCGCTTTTCTTGATTAAATCACGGCTCTTGCATCAGACGTTACAAAAATACCATTCTTCTTTTTCATTTAAAGGTGCTTTCTCTTACTTTGAATTTGTCGTGTCACTATCTGATTCAGTGTATGAGGGAGGGAGGAGAAATATTTCTAAGAGGGGAATGAACACGTGATTTGATATTTGAATATCTAAGCTGGATGGTTTTGCTAATCAACTATTATCAATATATTGTGGTGAAAAGTCCTGGATCATTAACCCCCCTTCCATCGATGCGAGCTAGCAATATACGTCATAGAGTGTGCATTCCTGCTGTACGAGTTTTCATTTCGATTAAAACCGTTTTTGTTGTTTATTTCAGGGGGTTCCGAAAGATGCTACAACAGAAGAAACGATAAAGATTTGCCTGAGCGAGCTTGACCGTTGTTATGAGGACAACACAGCACCATTTTTTCTTAATTTAGCTGGGTGAGTTATTCACATTTTCAATTTAATCAACAGGAGTTCTTTTTGGATTCTCTAAACAAATTGAAGTGAATTTTCGCTATTTACTGGCAATTATTCGAGAACTGAAACAACACTGTCATTTTCCAGTTTCCTCGAATAGACATTTTGGTTTTTGTGTTTCAAATGCCATGTTTTTTGAATTTTTATCATTGAAATGCCATTTACTATATCATTTATAGATCAATAATACTCTAACTTATGATGCCACGAAGAATAAGACTCTAAAATACAAGCTATGTCAGTCGCAATGTATTAATAAATGAAAGCCTTATCTATATTATGAATTATTTATTAACTATCCACCGCATTTTCTAAATCTGATAGGCTTTAAAACTGAGTCTTTTTAATGCTGTATTAGCGTAAAGAAATATTTTTAGAAATTCATGTATACGTAAAGAATTTTTTCTTAACTGTTATCTGGCCGAGTGTATAGAAACCACTGAGACCTTTTTGTTTTTTAAACTAACCTTTCCTAGGTCTTTTAGTCAGTTTGGTGAATATGGAGAGGAAGCTTAAATGTTCTAGTACAACTTCTGACTGTTTCCGTCCATGAAGTTCAAAATGTTTCGAAATTAAATTCAAGAAGTTCATGGCATATTTTTATCATCACAAAAGCTTACACACAAATTTATAGGTTCTTCTCTTGGCTTAATCAATGCAAAACTCTCATAGCTTTGGAAATTAAAGGCTCTTGCGCAACCGGCATGCTTTGCGATTATATTTTCAAAACCGGCCTAATTTCGTACTGCATGAAATTGGAAGACACGATAGATTTCTCAAAACAGCTGCCGCTAAGCATGCCGGTTGTGCAAGAGCCATTAATTTGCAATTTATTTTACCTTTTAAAAGCTCTATCTAATTAATGTATAATGCATTGATCTTCCAGGGACCGCTCTGGCTGGATTCCAACGATTGATGATTTGAGCCGCAATTTAGCTGCTCAATATGGATGGGTTTACGGCCTCTCTGTAACGGAGATGGAGATTGTCCACGGGGCATTTCGTAAATTGAATCCAAATGGTATGTATTTTGTTAAGAAACTTGAACGGTAAATTCTATACTCAACCCCCCCGTGTTTAAATAAATTCTTGCTTTCCAATGGAGAGGACGGTTAATAGAAACCTTTAAAAGAGAAAGCATTAATTCATTGTCAAAAAAATGAAGGTGTTCGTTGTTTGGTGTTTCGTTGTTGATATAAAGGGATATTAGAAGTTTCATTGAAAATGTTGTTTACTAAATATTGTTTGTCGGTGTTATGTTGAAATCCAAGGCAAAAAGTAACATATTTGACTCAGTCCCTTTTTGAATCCCTTTATTCTCTAACAGAGGCAGTAAAAAAAGTGCGAGACTACTTTCTCTTAATTGAGCAAAATGGGATGTTTTTAGTAGATATGTCGAACTTGGCAATCTATGTATGTTGGAATGAAAATATAGAGAATTCTCCTGGAAGATTAGTAAACAAACAATAGGTTCTAGCTTGCGTTCTAGATATAAGGCCTTACCTTTAGTAGCTTACCCTTTCAAGCATTTCATTCCTCGGAATACATTTATTGCAGACTCTTTCCTTTTTTATTTTCAATAATACTACAACCTCTATTTTCAAATAGCGAAACAGAGGAATTTAGAAATCTTGTCAGAGGTTGTGGATAAAGCTTGCCATTACGCCAAGCATTATAATTTACCTACCATTTGAAATATTCTGTTTTGACGTTTTCAGCTTTATTCATGTTTCGCAAGACCATCAACGATCTCCCTGAAACGGTCAAAGAAGATTTCATTGATACTGATCCAAAATGCGTCCAGAAAGTAAAAACCCTAAAACATGTGATCCAATCACAATTTCCTGTAAGTGTGAATTTTTCGAAACCACCTTTCTAATTTATATTTCTCAATGTTTTTCTATATTGAGTACAATAGTCAAATAAATATCGATACTAACTAAAAACGACCACCGGCCTTGTCAAACCGCTTACCGAAAAATTAAATTTTATTACCCTGAATTGCAGGAAAGTCGCATATACAATTATGACGTGAAGAGTGTACGAAATAAAGGAGATGTTCTGGAATTTTGTGGCCTAAACGATTCACGAACTGGCTTTGGTCAAAAGGTTGGTTTTTATTATTGGTTAAGGTTGGGTTTTGCAGCTCAGCACAAGGATTTGTTGTTTCATTTCAGATGTATTATAACTGGAGCTTCAATTGTATTGAAATTTTAATTCTTCTTCACTTTGTGTTTTATAATTTATATGATTAATGATATAAATATTTAAATAGGTATTCTCAACAAACCTACGGTTTTTATTAGCGAATTCTGTGAAATTTGTTTCCAAGAAAGTGCTAAAAGGTCCTTCATAAATTTCCTGACTTGTTAAAATTTCCATTCTACGTTGTAGCTAAACTTTGTTTTTCTAAGTAAGTATTACTACGCCCCATCTTCTTTTCAGAATGTTCCCAACCATGCCTTTATTCAAATCTTTTTTGCAGGCTTATGATTTTTTTCTACAAAGAATTGAAGAACTCTATCCTCTTGATCCAAGTCCAGAAGATCCTTTGCAGGTTCAAAGGGAGGCACATGAGGTATGTTTATGTTGTGAAATACTGTTTCATAAATACAGACTTTAACTTCTAAACGCGACAAGCTGTATTTAACTTTCATTTCACTCTCAAATTCTCATTTATCTTGAATTTACTGTGGGAGCCTAAGGTATTTGTAAAGATGTAGAGTATACCGGAGTAATTTTTAAGAATTTCTTTGTTTTTACCTGCCATTCTATCGGAGCTACTGAAATGGCTAATGGCTAATATACATTTAGAAAATAAAGAATTGGTATTGAAGAAAAATATTTTTATATTCATTTGCTGTTGGTATTTTACTATTACCAGTGCTGTTCCAAATTTTCCCTCCCCCAAATTACCCCGGTTTACCTTATGCACGAAGAATGAGAATATTATTTATTGAAAATGCGTATCCTCTTATTGCAGTTAGTGATGAGTCTTATTTCCTCCTCAGAATAACTTGATTTCAAACTTATTTAGATTGTAATCACTTTCATAAAAACCAAATTTTAGATACAAAAATATGATGCAGTCTCAATGACTGTTGAAATTTTTTAATTCCGGTTAAATTTCGTTTATCTTTGTTATCAATATTATTTGAAATTCAATCTTGTTCTAAACACATTCTACTAACTTAAACAGTTTATTTCGTTCGGTCGTATTAATATTTTGTTTTAAATTTCCCAGTATGAACTAAACGAATTTTGTGTTGTTTTATTGCAGACATTCCTTGATAGCAGATCGCAATGCGTATTGGGAAGAGATGGGATTTTGGAGCAGGTGAGGTTTTTGCACTGGCGTGGAACGCGTATTTGATTTTATCCTGCCTACGTCATCTTTTTCTCCGTTGCTTTTCTTTACACATATGTACTTTGCGTAAGCCCTGATTTGAATCTGCCTAGAGTTCTAGATTTTCGATTGCTGTGACGAATGCTGCATTGTTTGAAGCGGAGTTAATTAGTAGATAAGTGCTAGAAAGTGTTTTCAACATATTTAGTTCTTGAGATATTAGCTAACTTTCCCCAAAGCGGCCTTTTCTGTTTGAAAATGAATTGACTCAGTCGGCAACTTGGAAGCAAAGAATCAACAGTGCAGCAGATGTGTCGGTTCGGTTGCTATACAAAAAGTTTTATCGAGTATAGCATTGCAAAAAGATCAATTCAATGTAGATCGTTATACGAGATCAATAAGAATTTTTCATTGTTTTCAGTGAACAGTTAGGGTTGATCTTGATTGTATTTTTGGCATCTGCGCGACGATCATGCTAATCAACGCTATTTATAAAAAAAGAGTTTAATTTTACCTCCTAATGCCGATTCACCAAGCTTCTTTAAATATCTTTAATAAAAAGCTGGTAATGCTTTTGGTCCAACAAAGCTTTTAATTCACAGCTTTTTAAAATAAAAGAACAAGCAATCGCGGAAGCGAGAAAGTTTGTTATAAGGCAAGACCATTGAAATACATTGCGACAAACGAATCATTCCTGACTAGATAATAATTCTTATTAGCCTAAAACTTCAGCCGATAAGGATTTTTATCACCATTTTATTAACAAAACATGATTTTAAGTATTTTATATTGAAGTTTTTGTTGCCTATTTATATAGCAGTTGATTTGGCTCGCAATCAAGTTTTTTAGAAACGAAAAGAAAGTATAGGATATTCAAAGAATTAGAATATAGCAACGGGTACAATAGAATACTTATGAAGTTTTTTATTAGGTCTTTGCATTCCCAAGAATCAAATGATTTGTAGATTGTATTTGGTGTTCCTTGGTTGGGCCTTGTTGAATTATATACTCTTTTATTCATTTTGTGATCGTTTAGTGCAATAAAATTAGATAAGGCCAGCACAGATCCGATGGGGGTCATTGAATGGTTTTGTATTCCTTTTTCAGATGCACAGTTACGTAACATCCCCTGCCGCTCCTGCTGCTCCACTGCTGATCATTGGTACTGCGGGCGCTGGCAAATCCGCCGTAATGGCCAAGGCTGCTGCTGATGCTGTGAGACTAGCAAAAGAAAACAAGATTCCACTATCAAAGTAAATCTTTCTTACCTTTTCTGACCTATTCATCTGACTTCCTTACTTTCAAAGTACATTTGATCGAAATATGTTCACGAGCCGTTGAGCTTATACACGATTACATATACAAGAGCTTACTTAAAATATCATTTAGTGCTTCATCATTGTTTTCAAATCGTAAGCTCTGCTAACGCTTTTGAAATGTTTGAAAATACCTTTCAGCAATTGTGAATGTTTGATAATACCTTAAAATACTAGTTTTTATCTGAGATTAAACTAAAGTCCTTCTATAGGCCTCTTCTTATGCAAACCTCAAACTTCCTCTGCCATATAGTTCTGTATTCACTAATTGGATATGATATTCTAAAATGCACCTTTAGGGAAATAATTCCTTCCTTTGCCTTTTTAATATTACCCCTGCTACCCATACTCATTTTTCTCTAAATCTGGAATTGTTTTTTTATTTCTGTAGTATTCTTTTGATTATATTTGAAACATCATAAGATACTAAATTTATTCTCGTTTTACCTTTTTCAACCAAGGTCACTGTAAATTTTATTTTTTGGTGGCGAATAGATACTTGCTTATACTAAAGGCACATTGTACTAGGTGCCAAAAAGCCATTTTCAAAGACAAACAAAACTCGAAGAATTTCCCAAAGCGTAGTGAATTTTGAGTGTACGCAAATTGAGATGACATCCTCTATAGGTAAATGCAGCTTGATATTCTTAAGGTATGCATCTGCAAAGTTGCTTTTTAGATTATCAAAGAAATGACCCCGAATTTTTCACAGGTTATTTGTTTGTTATTTTTGAACAAACCTTTTCCCAAATTGTTGTTTTGTTATTTCATTTAAACACGAATCTCATTTCCTTCACCAGTGGTTACAAAAAGTGTCGAGTATTCTTTCACTTTGTTGGTGCCACCCCTGGATCTACAGATCTGGCATTTTTCCTTCAAAGACTCACAAAGGAAGTCAAACCTGATCTTGTAAGTACCTGTATTTGTTTCCCATCTATTTATTAAACTTATTTTTAGCATTGCCAAACTGGATAGTATTATCAGAATCCAAGGGCGGTCCTCTGGGTAATCGGGGGTCTTGTGTAATAAAAAGATCAATTGGGGCTCCCACTGAATAAGTTTAAAAAACAATAGAAAGTTGTATAAAAGGACTAATTTTCCTTATCAACAAAGAGAGATCAACACCCTTGAGCCCCCAGCTTCAATCACTTAATGACCAAAGCCTTATGAACTTCGAAAATGCATTTTATACTTTTTACTTGCTTGTTGAAACCATCATAGAAAAAGCCACCTCATTTATACGGTCATGCACTCATATCGATGTTTTCTGTTATCCCTGGCCTCAAATTAACAACTAATCTGATAACCTTGATTAGCACAGTAATACACCTGCAAATTTCAAAATTTCTTTCTCCTACACGTTTACCTTGAGCATATGACAGTATTTTTGTACTTTGACGCCACTGACGCCACTCTTGTTGTATTTTTGCTTAGTGACAATTTCTTATTATTCTCGCGGTTTTACCGCTTATAGCCTAACGTATTCTACTATTAACATTCAAACAGAAAGACATTGTCAGTGATTTGGAGTCTCTCATTCAACTCAGTGGCAGCTTGCTGTCAAATCCGAACACGGAACCTGTGATATTGTTCATTGATGCTGTCAATCAGGTAAATAAAAGCAGACCTACTTTTTATAGATTTTCTTTTTTCATGTAAGCCTGTGGTTGCAGCATTTGCAGGGTATCAATTCATGGTAATTGTGGGCAACACCTACCTGCTCTTGCCAATAATTAATAATCATGCTATGGGTATCTCTCCTACACTTATTGTCCTATGCTCTCGATTTTCCCCAATTCAAGTTTGTGCAGTGAGACCTTCATTAGAGGGCAGCACTAAATTAGGACAGGTATTGTCATCCCAAAATTTCTTCTTACGCTCAGAGTATTGTAGAAGAAACCTGATTGCAAGGGGGCTGACACTTCAAAAGAACGAACACTTTCCAATTGACGGATAAGCAATTTCACCCTATATTTTCCTCTTTTGTGTCAAAACCCTGTAGACACAACCACGAAGTGTATCACCTAATGGAAATCTCGTACATTTTTGGCGTAAATCCCATTGTCTTATCTGAAAATCCCTGGAAATCCTTTTGTTTTTGTAGAAATCCCCTACTCTGTATACAAGAGTAAATTTCTTCTCAGAATCAACCCCCGTCAATTGACACTTGCCTACAACAGACAGTACGTCTGATTATACAGGTATAAGTTATAAAGGGGTTTCGTGGTATTTCAAATCCACAAACGTTCTTCAGATATCCAACCAATCTTTCTTATAGCCTTTACTGATTCACGTGTATTTATTGTTGTGTATTCTCGGCGTATTGCGGTGTTTCTTATTTGCTACATTTTTATCGACTTTTCGCCGCAAGAACTCCTTGGAGCCCGTCGAGCAGCCTGCTACAGTGACCTTTTCTTCATTCACACAATCTTTTTTATCTTTTAACCTTTGTTGTTTATCATAGGCCATACAGCTTGGTCATGATGTCTTAAAAAACATCTGTCAATAATGCTGCCAGTAACACCCTGTTAATCAGAATTGTCTTAATTTTCGTACCTTTGTCACTCAAATTTTCTCTAACGCTCTTTATAATATTCTAGCTGGATGAAGACAAACAGCATTTCTTAAATCGATGGCTCCCGGAGACCCTTGCTAAGAACGTCAAAGTTGTCGTTTCTATGATAGAAGGAACCCCAACCCATCGTATGATGAGAGCTTATAAAACCAATCCCAAAGAAATCATTTGTGGTCCTCTTGATCTGACTTCAAGACAGGTAAGAAGTAAACGAAAGCAGCTTTTCATAGTATCAGCGTTTTATACTTGGATTAATGAAAAAGGAGACAGGTTCATTTAACTACTGCAACGCAACTAAACTTTGAAGACTTGTGTCCTGGAATGAGTTTGTTTAGGTTTGTCATGACAGCACTGTAGCAAGAAACCATTGTCCTTAGTTCCAATCGTTATATAAAATACTCATAGAGTGGGTTGCATATAAAAAGGTCAGTGGCTTGAATGGGGGGTTGCATATAAAGAGTCACTGCCGTTCCCAAACTTTTACTTAGTGTTGGGAGAGTCGCCAGCGTCGAGGAGAGTCGTCTGTAGGCGTAAAAGGAATCACATGAGGTGTGCTAACATTGAGAGGAAGGACCAGGACACTGCTTGATAAAGCCTAGCCTCTCAGTGTTCTACAAACTATTTTTAGAATCTAGCTAGTAATAAATAGAAATAAAATATATTAAAGCTCAATATAAAGGTTTTTATGGATAATTTTTCTATTATTTGAATTGTTTCTGACTACTCTGGTTTAATAAAAGCTTAGTGAATAAAATTTAGTCTAGTGACGAGGCAGTTGTGAGGGAATTAAGTTGATAATTTTGACTCTGTGCAATTCATGACGAATTTCTTTCTCCATTACACAGGCCATCGTAGAGAACATTCTTTCACAGTACAACAAACGCTTAGATCAACAGCAAATGGACACCCTTCTGCACAAAGAAGGTTCCTCCAATCCATTGTGGTTGACCCTTGCTTGCGAAGAGCTTCGTGTATTTGGCAAATTCGAAGAATTGCTGGAGAAAATTCACAGTTTACCAAATGATCTCATCAGGTAAAATCAAAATATTTTCTCCCCCTAGAACTTTTCCACAATATAGAAGGGCTATGTTTGTCAAGGTAATATATAGGTCATCCGTTGCACATAATAAAGACAGCACTTGATTCTATTGCCATTATTAGCAAGAAAATGCTGGTTTGGTACACAGTTTCTTGCTGCGTGCTAAGCAGTTCGAGTTAATCCCAAAATTTTATTAAGAAAGTTTGAAAAAGTTATCCGAGTTGATTATTTGTAAGCAACCAAAATCCAAATCACTTCCAGCAGATCAGTCTGGAAAGTATGACAGCATTTGACAAAATACGAAGATCATGCACATTGAAAGCACGATGTTTCCTCGGTGTCCTATTCACATTGACAATATTTTGTGCTTCACAATTGAATTTGAGAAGCAGGAACGCTGGGCTCTGATTGGAACATTGAAAATAGCCTATTGCTAAACTCACCCAATGAGAATTTAGGTGACCACTGAAATTCATCGGAGCATAGGCCCTTGTCAATTAAACTTTTGACAAGTCAAAGGACTTTAAGTCAAAACATTTTTGCCTCCCTTTGCATTTGAGAAAAGTCGGTAGCTAGTAACCTAGGGAAAAGCGTTGCTATCTTTACACGTATAATTTTTCTTAGGCTTGCTTTTAACCAAATAAATGCTTTGTATTCTTTTTTTCGTAAAGGAGCATTTTTTCAAATTTTTTGTATGGTATGACTACTTCTAACTTCTTCACCGTCTCTTTTCATAGCCTTGAGATCGATGTATTTTCTCGATTTGAAGAAGAGGCTGGTGGCCAGCTTATGATAGCCACGCTGTGTTTGCTTGAGGTATCTCGTCACGGACTTCTGGAAACAGAACTGCTTGCATTGTTGGGTGACAAGAACAATCTGAAGCCGCCCGAGTATGTGGAAGGCGAGGAAGCAGGTATTGTTGCAAAGACAGAGGATATGGTGCAGAGTGACGTCACAGTTGGTATTGAGAAAGATGATGTTGAGAAACTGACGGAACAGTTTGCTAAGTTGGTGAATGATGCCTATGTTGTGAAGGATGATGACGATAAGAATGACAAAGATGAAAATAAAAACAAAAGAAAGAAAGGAAAGCAGATTCAATTCTTGCCAGCCAGGGAATGGGCTATTATTTATCGAAATTTAAAGCAACTGCTTAGGCCCTGTGGTGATCTAGGGGAGGGTCGGCTTGATTTCTATCACCGATCATTGAGCAAAGCAGTTAGAAGAAAGTGAGTTGCTACCTTCTAGATCAGTCTGATATTAATCTTTCCCACTTTTTACATCAGTTTCCTTAAATCGTCTTAAAACGTTTAGTGTCCCACTATTTTTATGTAGAGCATGCCAAATTTTGCTTGACCCGATATAGGTCAGGTCAAGCCGTTTGCTATCCATCAAAGCTATCCAGTGGGCATCAAGTCTTTCTCTAACAATAGTTCATTCTTAATGCAAAAATTCAAAGCTGCACAGGATAGCAAACATTTGAATTCTCCTTGTTTGTTAAATTTGATCTGATGAATAAGAAAGCGACTAACATGAAAACAGTAGGTTCGTTGCATTGCCTATGCATTAGAAACAATATGGGAAGCGATACAATTCTAAAATTCAGTACACTCGGATCTTGTTTAAACGCTTGAACGAGAAAAAGTACTTTGTTTTTCTTAACAACATGGACCTTCTTGGTTTTCTGCTGCCTGCCGTCCTATTTTTTCAGAGAAGCACAAATTTCCCTTTATCTGCCACATGTTTCCGAATCGAAAAAGAATATAGATGGTCTGTTTTTTGCATTTTATACTTTTACATAAATTAATTGTTTTTCCTTTTAATCGCTTATGATAATTTTTATTCACATATATCTGATTTCAAATTTTAGGTACTTCACAGGCACTGATGAATACAATAAACATGTCTACAATTATTGGCATGGTGTCCTTGCCGGCTATTTCGAACATGTTGATGATATGGACCGTAAGGCAGAGGTATGTTTTTTGAGCTCGATGCTACATTATCTCAACAAAAGCCGTAATAGAGAAGCGGCACTGATTGGGCAACCTCAACTGTCATCATTTCCTTTCCTGTTTGCCCTTTTCAGATCCACAATATATCTTTCTTAGCGTGGAGTTTTCTGTCTATGTTGTGAAGTTTTATACTCTGAAGAGTGTCAGACGAAAACTTTAGTATGTTTTGAAATGTTAAAATGTTTAAAAGGTATTTTTAAATTCTGTACCACAAAAAGATTGTTTGCAAAAGCCGCAACTGTAGAATTTGCATAGTTAACAGGAAAACTTTCAACTTAGGTAAAATAAAGTTTAGATACTGAATAAACCTGAGAGTAAATAAAGACATGATTGATCAACGTCATAAAGCTTCTTTTTTTCATATCCAATTCCTTAATCTCTTCCATTATTTAACCATATGCTTCTAATTACTTAGGAATTGCCATATCACTTGGAACAGTTGCTCGACAACAACAGATTGATTCGATGTTTGTTAGAATGGCCTGTTTTCAACCGACTGTTCTCTGAAGATTTCAGTATCGATCTTCTTCATTCTTGGAGAAAAGCTGGAGGATACAGTGTTGCATCAGCTCTGTATAAAGAGTCGTGCAAAGTATTAAAAAGATCGGGGATATCTTTGATTGATTATGGAGATCAACTTGAGAAGGTCGTCATGTTTCTGTAAGTATTATTTCGTTGAAAAAATTTTTATGTCATTAGGAGTTTTGACATTTTTACAACCAGTAATGAGTTGAAAGACGATAAAATTCACAAATATATATGCTATAGAAAGCTATTGTAACCCAACCTAATCTTCTAGCACTAGCGAATTTAAAGGTACACATGGTTTTGCCATAGTAATTTGGAGAGGGGGTAGGGACGTTTGAAAATTAGGCGCTGGCAGACATTTCTCTATAAAAATTTTCCTAATTCCTTTAATACCTCACCATAAAAGCAACTAATTTTGCGCATTTCCGTTTCACTAGCTGTTACACAAATGCACACATGGTTAGTCTATTCATACAGTAGTTTAAAGGAATGACTTGTGTTTTCAGGATTCAGGCGGGTCAATACGAGGATGCATACACAATGTTGGAAGAGAGACTAGAGATCGAGGAAGAACAGCTTGGTAAACGTGGTGATGAGCTTGCTGATATTTACCAACTAATGGGCAAATGCAAGAGTGAGGTGAGAATTAGATGCTTCTCTTTAAGAATAATAAGTACACGCATTTCTCATAAGAAATAACCACAGAGTAAGTACTCAGTTTCTTAATGATTTTAATACTAAATGTTTCTTTAAGTTTTGTCAAATATCTAAGGGTTCCCTATAGCTTGTATGTAGTCTTAGTTAGCTTTTGATTCTTTTATATATAATAAATATGCAAAAGGGTCGCATAAAATACAAGTTTTGCTTAAATTTATTTTAATGTTGTATTGTATGAAACAAGCTGAACTGAATGGAATTGAATCTTTAAAAAGAAAAGTTAAGATTTAAAATGATCTCTTTCCTAATAACAGGACATTAACAATTTTTTGAAATATTGAAGCCATTGGTTTTATTCCAGTTTTTGTTTGGGTGCTTGAAATTTCATAAAAGTCGTATGCAATACGGTTTTTTATAAACATCCTTCCAATTGATGTAGCTATACATAGTAAGAAGTTTTCAATGCTTTGTCCATTTTATTTTTGGTTAAATGGTGAAATTTCCATTATTGTTTCAGGTTGTGAAAAATTACAATTTCGTGACAAGAGATCAGTTAGAGGAAGACAAAGAAGTTGTGGAATTTTGTATGAAAAGTTTGGAATACCGGAAAAAAATGAGGGGAGAAGAACACGAGGTATTTTAGCTAAAATTTGAAAAGGCAAAAACTACAATCTATTGAGAATATAATAGATTCGCTTAATGAAAATTACTGTTTAACCGGTCTGTTTTTATGTCGTTGATGTCGTCTAGGCAGAGTTATAGTGTCATTTTTATCTTTAGTGCACCTAGGGGATATTGGATAATGTTGAATTATGTTATTTATGAGGAGATATGATCTGATGGCAGTTTTGACAGAAACACTTTAAATAGTTTTAATCAACCGTTTGATAAATTTTCACCCCATCTACATTTCTTTTTATTCTCCTTGTAGTTCAAAGCTGCAATGACCAATGTCCTAGTCGCCCATCATCTCAGTATAATAGCAGATTTGGAGCCATCGAAGGGGGCTCAGCATCGTCAACAGGCATTTAAAGCAGTTGATGAGGCCATTGCAACCTTTGAAAAGGTGAGTGTAGAATATGTTTTCTTTATAGGCCCGCGGTACTGATTGCACAACTTAACCGGTCATATCTTATATCAACCGGTCACAATTCGGTATATATTATTCATCTCGTTCTCTGAATGTCAAGCGAAAAAACCTTTTAATATTTTGTGAAGTTTTTCACTTTTTCAAAGCAATTTATCGCCAAAAATTGTTCACAATATTTTTTATTATTTCTATGTATATACTTTTTATGAATTGTATTATCGGATACTCAATTGTTGCTCCGGGAATCTGACGCAGTTTTATAAATAGGAGGGGGCAGGCAAATTCTTATGGCATGCTCATACCAAACGACTGTATATCTACATTCTATGTACCAAAATGTTTTTGCTTGGCTAAGACTTTTCTGAACCAAAATTTGCATGTTTAATTGCTGTAACTTCCTTGTCAAAACTTTGCTACTATTACCCATTTTTTGTATATACAATAATTTTCTCGAGGGGTAAAATGTAAATGCAATTGAATTTTGCTTGCATACTGCATAGCCCTGTGCATTTGAACTGTGCAAAATTGTATATCTATGTGATATCGAAATCGTATCTGCAAGAATATTTGTTCAGTTAAATTCTCTATTATTCAAAACTTCCCCCGATTCTCAGTGTTGCTAGCCATCTTTAAGATGAATCGTAGATCATATAAATATCTAAAATCCTGTGTCACTGCAGTTTTGTCTCAACGCATAGTCTAGATCATCGTACTTACATCATCAAGGGCAGAGGGACATTTGCCATCGTAAAAACCCATTTGTTACTCCTCCACAGTTTTGTTATGATTGATTATGCCCTATTGATTAGTTCATTAATCGATGTTTAGATTGGGGATATCGGACATCTTGCTGAAGCAATCATGACAAAATCATTTGTCAATCCACGTAGCACAAGATTTTTTAGTGAAAAGAAAGTGGTGAGTGAAATCCTTGTAAATTTTTGTATCATAATATGTATGTAGTTGAATATGTAATTGATATTACTATTGATATTGATACGATGTCAAATTTCTTGGGCACTGATTGTTTAGATCGAAACGGATGATTGACGAAATGGTAATCTGGTGCCCATACCCCATTCCCATATGCCTATCTTATGATATTCAGAATGGCTTCTTTGAAAATCTTGACTTTTTGTCACAACGGATTTGTTGCACATTGGTGCTGGCTTTTAATGTGCACTTTTAGACTCAAATCATAAAATAAAAGAGAGCTAAATGTCTAAATTTAAGGCTTTTGTTATTAAGTGGTGAAGTCATACCCTGAAAAATGGGTTTGGTGTAACTCAAAGAGCGAGTCTGTAAAAATGACCCTTGTCACCATGTCATAGTATTGTCAAAAAATGGCTTTATCTAAAGAAAGATATAATCAACGGCGAAGTGTTACGAATTGACAACGGAATTATCCTGGGGGATCCTACTGTGTTCTTGTTTCTGTACAGATACCCCAGATCTCCCTCACCGTCCTCCCTGACTAAGATCACCATCGAAATTAATTTGAGGTTTAAACTGAACCTAAATGCAAAGTAGACACAAATTCAACCCCATGAGGACCTAATTAACCCGTTTAACGTTAGATTTTCTTTTTTGCAGCAACTAGAGAAATCCAGCGAGTTGTGCATGAAGGCGTACGGTGAAAAACATCTATTGGCCTGCAGGCTATATCTAAACATTGGCATTCTTTATGAAGATAATCGTGATTTCGAGATGGCCTATGATTATTTCGTTAAGTGGAACGAATGCTGCCTCGTGGTTTGTATTTTACCTTTTGCGTCGTCGTTTTAAGTTATTTATTGAAGTTATGCTCGCTCTATAAAGATTTTTAATGAAGGGTCCAAAAACTAGACTTTCGTTGATTTATGAGTTGTTCATAGCTACGATTCAAAGGTAAGTACCCAACTGGAAGGACTGCTAGGATAATTCTATAATATGAAAATTTTGTTTTAGATCTGGCAAAAAGTGGCAAACATTTTTCAAATAAAGGAAAATCGATCTCTTATGTTCATGATGGACACGCTGGTGGCCTCCCCCCTTTTTTCATTATGTTTGGTGAGATGGTAACAGAATGATTGGAAATACACACTGCAGTACAGATTATTATAAGGGGAAATTGGGCGGTTAAAATGTTACTATGTTGCATTTTGGCCCGTATTGTTGTTAAAGTCTCTCTTAGATAAAGCACATTTTATAATCATCAAATTTCTTAGAAGGGGGGATATGTTGCCAAGCGTTTTTCATTCATTCAAAATTTAGTTTCTACAGCTTCCCTGTCTGTATGTTCTTGTCTGTTTGGTATTGCCTCTCAAATTTGAAATGGCCCATGTCTTTGTTCATGTCAACGTAGAAAGGTCTATTGAGGAGACTTAATTCAGAGTGGCTCATGTTGATCCGTAAGACGATTAATGAAGGCTTTCTTGCATTCGGTTGTTGTCAATCAGTGCGATCTTGGTGGTATTGCTTTCACCTGAGAACTGATTTTGTATTATGAATGCGAACCGTTATCTATAAATTGGCTTGTGGTAAATTCATTCATTGAAACCGCAGTCCGTTATCGGCGTATTTTAATGGCCTTGTTGAGCTATTTGGAGCTTCTCTGTCATTTTTTGGTTATTGACTCAATGAATGATGTCGCAAACGGGAAACCAAAGGTTCAGGACTTTTTTCTGTGGTCTTTCTTACATACATTAGGTTTTAAACAGCCATAGATCCTCAATACTACCTGTACAAAATCTTGATTCTTGACCAGCAGTCTTTGATTTAAATGACTGTTCTTGTGCTTCTAGAAATCAACCTCAGGTTTAGTCTTTTGTAATTGGCAATCATATCTCGACCACCACACACTAATGGATTTTACAACCTTGCTTAATTTTGTCGTATTTGGCCGATCATTTTGTCTCGAAGCCACGGACAATGTGGTGTCAGAAAACAGATTTAGATGTCGTTGAATGGACAGATTTGTTTGTTGATTAATTTCAATATGTATTAATTTAATTTGAAATGTTACCTTATACCTACTATTCAATTCTATCACTTTTAACTGTACCCTTTTGTTCTAGGTGCTTGGTGCTGACCATCCAAAAAGCATCAGAGCAAAGGACACCCTTGCTGAGCCAACATACATCCGAATCAGACAGGCTAGAGAGAAAATTGCAGCTGGAAGCGCTTAAAAATCATCCGGATACAGAAATTGATTATTTTTTTAACCCATCGTTTACACCGCATCACATGTGAATACCTGTTTTAAGATTTTCGGTAAATAAGAGGATTCCCACCAACTATGGAACCAGCCAAGCGCCCCATGCAATCCCCGCATCACATGTTAATGCATGCAGCATAATTACCCTTTTTGGTAAATAAGGGGTTTCTCAAGAAAGTTGCCTCATCAGAGAAATTGGCGAAGAAGGTTAGCTTCTCCAATCAGAGGGCTAGTCTGTGATCTGTATATTTCAAAGTCCACAAAACTTGCACAGTGCACAGCACAGCAACAGAACAAATTTTCCTGCTTAAGAAATTACCCAATATATTGTTGTTTCCTTGTTAAAGGTCTAAATGTCCCTGATTGATGGGTTGCTATAAAGACCTTTCTGTTCCTCACTCTGGCAACTCCCCGCTCCTTTTCTAATTACGTCCTCCCTGATTTAAAGAGAAAAGGTCAGGAGAGAGGAAGACAGTTTTATTCCTATATTGTTTCCTGGCCGCCTTCTTGAGCACTGAATAAAGAAGTCCCTTAAGTATGTAATTGCAAGATGTGTGTTTCCAAGGGCCCTTGTGTCATGAATGTAGCAACCCAGCTTGTACTTGCGGTGTACCCCTTTTTAGATAACTTCATAGCGGCAGCTAGGGGGTAGAATATTTATCCTAATTATGATTTTATTTTTAAAAGTCAACCATTATTTAAAGTATCACTGTATTTGTTTTATTTCATTAACAAGCAATAATATTTTGAATTTACTCAATTTTTTACAAATTTCCAAACATTTTGATTTTTGTCTTTGTTAAGCGTAAAGTAACACGTAATGGCCTAGGGTTTCCTAAGCAATTCGGTAGTGCATTGCCTCTTTCATTGGAGCCAATTAGATGCGATAAGCACCGTTAGTATCCAGTTTATAATATCAAAGTCTCAAAGGGAGGCTTTTTTGAGAGGGGAGGTATCAGAACCACTGATCAGAACCTGCACACCCGGGGGACTGTTTGGATACAATCGTGAACCCGGACTAAATTTGGAAAAATACAATATTCAAACCCGGAATCGTGCCTGTTTTCCGGAAAGTACCCGAAACCCGGGAACTAAAATTAGCCAAACCTGCACCCCTCCCCCCCCCCCCGCGTAAGATCCCAAAGCCCGTCTTTTTCATTCGTAAGAAATTTCATTGCTTGTGAGCCTGTTCTCTTGAAAATTAGTTGGGACTGTAATAAAGTATAATCGAGTAAGTTGCAAAAGCTCTTTTAGAACTCTCTTCCATGCGGAAGTCAGATAGTAAGAACACAGAAGTCAGATAGTAAGAACACAGTCCCCACTATGGCATGCTACCAGTAGACCTCATAGAGTTCCTGTAATTCATAGAAGCTTTTAGTATGTCTCCAGTTTTATTAAAGAAATGATGTCAGCGCTTTCGCTTCTGTCTAGCAATTGCTTCTTTTCTATGAGGAATTTTGTGTTTTATCTTGTAAATAGGTTTTGCTACCCCCAATCTCGTAATACATTTGTTTATAAAGTGTGATACTAAACACTTTAATTGGGATAATATGACAGAAAATAGCTTGAAAATCTTTCGCTACTTGTTGTTTGTTCCTGTAGTGACAGCTTACCCAGATATTTTTCAGCTGACAGCCAGTGGAAAATTGTATTGCCAATTTTGCCTTGCTCTATAGCCAATGTGCCATAAAGGATACCGCTGCATTAGCGGTTTATGTAAAGTCTTTTTAAGATCTACACTTAACTCTTTTCTGTTGATAATAACCTGAATGGATTTTTAGATTATCGTCTATACGACAGTATCACGATTTTCTGTTAATAGTTAACTTTTGACTGTTTACACCAGACTGTTCCATCCATAACTTACTGTAAGATATTACCCGGCTCTATGGAAGCCAATCACAATATAGAAAGCTAGCGAAGCAGAAATAAACGATCTGGGCACTAATGACGTCATATAGAAGTAATCATCGAGCAAATTTAAGTGATATTTTCTGGACGTCTTTTGAGCTTTAGGACGATTCTTTCTTTACCTAATCTCTTATTTATAACATTGCAAATCATTGATTTAAATATTCTAAGAAGCAAATTAACAGATGATGAGACAACGAAAACCTGAAAATTTTGCACTTCTGAGAGATGTAATTTCAGTTTTTGCGACATTGTTTAATGTTAACCATCCTGACTGTTGCAAGCTTAATGTAGAAAAGTTCCAAACTTTGTCTCTCCAGCTCTACCGTTTCTAGAGCACTATGAAAAGCGAGATTTCACTGTACCTATTCTGGATACGAAAGAAAAGCCACATTTCTGACAGCAGATGAAGGAAAGAGACTATATTATGGATTATGGATAGAAATAGACTATCCAGAGTCTATTTCTTCTCATCTCCCTTTTTTCTGCCTTTGCTCAGAAGCATTTGAAGTGCTCGATTATAGTACACCTAGACTCTCCATATTATTGTAGCAGCCTAGACACCTCTGACGACAACACATTATATGACGCCTGTAGACCCCGGGGCCTTTAATTATTCTTTAATTTGTTTTATCTCGTTTTCCGTAGCCTTCATCAGACATCCATCACCGCCATCAGACAAGTGATCTATTTAAGGTCTAAATTTCCTGGCTGTTCTTGAATTCTTGAAAAGAATGCAATCGCTAGCTGCTGTTCTCAAGTGTTTAGAAGTTTGAGAATTCTCCCACAGAGCAGTCTTACATTGCAAAAAAATCCCTCCTTATAGGATGAGCTTTTTAAGGGTTTTTTATAACTTTGTGCCAAATTACAGTTTACTGCACTTTAGCTTACTCTAAACTTGTTCCTTAACTTTGATTAACTTGTGAAGAACGGAATGAATTCCATACCTAATTGAAATAAATCATTTCACCTCCTAATTTAATCAGAACAATGGGAGAAATCCCTATATTCATTTCTTTCAAAGTGTAACACTTTGGTACAAAATGTCAAGTTTTCTGGCAAAATGACAGTTAGCCCTACAGGGGGGAAGGGGGGGGTTTGCCTCCCCTGACCGTCTCTATCTACGCCACTTCCTTACCCTATGTGAAATCTTTAATCGGTTTTATTTCATCCAATCTTTAAATAGTACTCTTTTCGTAACAACTTAAGAGCTTCTCAGTAGACGTCAGAAATGAAGAAGCCCACCCTCTAACGTGACGTATTCGTAGGGATCAAATAAAGTCTTAATTTTAATGCAACCTTCAGCTTTCTTTGTATACTCAATCTCGAAAATCTTGAAGCTAGCTTACCACACGTTGTTAAAAAGAAGTGCTACTTTTCTCAAGCTATGATTTTGTCTTTCAATTAGGTTTCAAATATCAGGACCCCGAGGGTTAAGGTTAGCATCTTGGGGTTCTCTCCTACCGATGTTGGTAAGATACAGATCTAAATATTTATAATCGCTACAGAATCTATGTTACTTTTCTGTCAGCGATACCTTTATCATCTGTTGATCCGCCATTCACAAAGTAATGCAAACTTGAGAAAAGGAAATTGGTATCTGAAGTAACAATGCAGATGATCTTCAGTGATAGATTAATACACTATCCAACTTATTTTGTGGCAACACCTAAACATACAAGATACACTTCTTATTTCTAGGTTATTATCAATAGTGTTGCATACCTCGTAAATGAATGAAATGGTAAATGAAAAACCTCGATACCCTCACAGAACTTAAGGTTATTAAAGCCATCGAACAATTTTCTTGACCATACCTTTTGAAATTTTGTTTAAAGATGTTTTAAGTTTAGGTTGATAGTGGGGGTAATGGCATCTGGGAGAAAGTGAAGCTTCGTATATTCTCTATAGTACTTCAGCTAAAGGCAAGCCTTTGCACTTGCAGAGAAGAAAGATGAAATAATATAACTATTGTTTTATCTTGATACGAGAAGAGACAAGTCTAAAGGTGAAACCGAATAACCTTTACATGGGCTTGGGGTAAAATTGCACCCTACAACCCCAGACAAAAATGGTTGAGGCTTTTCAAGGAAAACTTATATCTTCACTTTCCTTTCAAAAATAACTCCCCCTCCCCCAAATCAATGTTGAATGCATGATTTTGAAGGAGAAGTGATAGAACTACAAACCCAACATTGTTTCGGGGGGGGGGGAGGAAGGGGAGGATTCGAATTGATTGGGGCGACATAAAGTAGAAAATTTTAGAAATTGCATTTTGTCTCAATAATTATGTCCGGGATTGCAGCTCATTCTTCAATAAAGACGTTTGTCACTTTTCCATAGCTTTCACCTGAAGGTGTGACCCAGGGCAAGATAGCAACATATTGTACTGCACTAATTTCTATAGAAATAACTTTAGTCGTGTATATAAAAGTATTTGATTCTCTTCTCGGGGCTGTCTACTTCTACTGTCACAATATATGTGTTCTGTGACAATATCTCTTGCGCCTTCTGGGTGACCCCATGACACGGTTCTGTAGCATGAAAGAGGTGGTGTGGCATTGTTTGTTCCCCTATTTATTGTATATTCGCTACAGACTATATAGAAACTCTGACGATGTACAGAAATGGTTAATGTCTGGCCTGCTTGATCAATTTGTAGTTCTTTCAATTCAATCTGCAGCCTTTCTCACGCCCAAATGTAAATAGATGTCAGAGCCAATTTTACATTTTCCAGCTTTAACGATCATGGCAGCATAGTTAATATTCAATGCGTGTTCATCGAACCTCTCGATATTACACTGTCGTTTAAAAACAAGTACCCCGAAGGGCTAATTTCGCTTCTAAATCAACTTGCCGAGAGAGAATATTCAGGAGCTGTAACCAAACATTTTTTGATTATTTTAACGGGACTGGGGGCGGGGCAAGCTCACTGCTGATAGACAAAACATATTGGTTTTCCACGACACTTGCCTCGCCTCCACAAAGGGAAGCTGTTTGAAAATGCAAGGCACTGTCTCAGGCTATCAGTACAAAAAAGACATGCCAAAACCACAAACATTTTGAAGAAAAGTTTCGGGAAAACCACTATGGAGAAAATCTTTTGGATGCATTCTCGAAAAATTCGGACAAAAGGCATCTGTAAAAACATTGTTTGAATGATAAACCAAGATTTATGCTGATATCGAGAGTCAATTTGCGTTAGTGATTCATCGACAAACAATTTATATAGTTGTCATAGAATGAAAAAACTCAACCAATTGCGAAAATTTTGAGCAGCGAAGGAAATGAGAGTTATAAAATTAAAAATCATTTTCCAACGATTTTGTAAAATGTGAGTCATGTAGCAATTCCAGAAGAGCATTTTGATTCTGGTTATTGGCTTTTTCTTTCATTGGTATAATGTATTTGTATAAAAAAGAATGTTTCTGACACAGAAAATGAATTAAGGTACATTAACTTGGCTTAAAGCTTTTTTTATAAAATGGGGAGGATATGCTAGTCTCTCAACTTGGAACCAGGGTCCAGGACTGAAGAGGCGATTGCCCCCTCCAATGTTAGTATGTCAGAAGCGCTATGTTCCATTGTATATCAATTTTAGCGTTGTTGATTGAAAATGTCTTGGAACAAATTTATTAGTCCACGCCACGGGGGCGGGGGATGGCTGAGGTGGCCATGCCCCCCTACTTTTTTGCGAAGCAAGACGTTTTAAAGCTGAAGTAAAAGGGGAAAGAAGCCGCGACCCCCCATTTTCAAATTCGTTACATAGGCCCTGAAATGTTAACAAGGGCATATTGATAAGAAACAGGCAGTGGAATCCACTTTTATAGAGGCAGTTTGAAGCTTTTGGGTCTTGAGCACATGACTCTGCAACTGTGAGCGTTCTTCGCCCAGAAGTCTAGGCAAAGTCTGAATTTCCCTGCATCACTGACCAGAGACTTTGCAGTCTAAACATACGAAGGATAGTGGTCACACCGTTATCCCACCAAAGTCAAATAGGCTTTGATTGCTTGCTCTGTTCGGTACCTGCTATTTTTACTTCGATTAGTTGGCAATCCTGATCCTTAGTGCCAATTCACTGAACAAAAACTTGGGATAAAAAACCTACACTTTGCAAAGTGGTCAAGACGCTTTTGCCAACACAGAGACAGAGGTAACCTGGTACGGGAGGCAACCAAGGTCTTGATGATGCAGAAAAATTACCTGATCTTCTAAGTCTTTGCATCGCTCTCCTACAAAAAGTCAGATAAGAAGGCCCTTAGTAGTTTAACTTTTAAGTAAATACATGGATAGGTGTCCAAAATTCCAGTTAGAATATTTAAAGGTGTCAAGGAAGGGACCACAGAACATATAACGGATTACTGGAATATCAAGCTAAATTTATTTTAGACCTAGCTGAATCTGTTTCTTCAAAAAGTGTTTAGCTTTGCTTAAGCAAGGTGTGGGGCTTTTGAGGTCACAAATATATCGATTTCATTGCCAGAAAAGGAACCATGTTCCGGCGTTTTGATCCCTATGCACTGACGGTTTTTCTTAGTGGGATACAATTCTCCGAGCATAAGCTTTTCATATCGTTTTTTGACTTATAATCAGGGTCTTCTTGAAGCTCGCTTGCATAAATCTCAAACAAATCTAGCAGTAAATGCTACCAGCACGATGAC